ACAAGTTTAGATGTAACAAGTATATAATTTGTTATATGAGTCAAGGGTACAAGCGGCGTAGACATTTTTTGATTTAACTAAAATTATTTTCAGTATTTCAATACTTTTTATTATTATGCTTATTTGAAAAAGTATATAATATGCTTATTTATCGAAGTAGTCACGAGCCGTTTTTAATTATATGGATTTTTTTAAATTATGGATTCAAAATTTCGAATTAAAAAGAAATAGGGTACTATTTCTAATCTTGCCCCATGAATTTTAAACTCAATAAGTAGAACCCTCGTAAGCCAGGATATAAATAATTGGTCCATTAAGTCAACTTACCATATGGACGTCCTCAAATCAATTTTGTAGACAATGGCTTTGACTCGTAGAAATGAATGAATGAATTATCTATTGAAATTATATGTGCTGTTACGTCTAAAAACTAACCACCGATTTTGATATAAAAAAAGAAAAATATAAATTGAAGGTATACATAGTTAAAGTTAGAGGTAAACATTAACTGATAAAGGAGGACATTGAAAAAGGTGGTTTATCTATAATTTTTTTAATTAAAATTAATAAAACGAACACTAAAATTCTTTATATTATAAAATAAAATTATAATTATTATTTATATTCAAAATTTGTTATTTCATATTTTATGATAAATACTAGTAATTATTGAAGATTGTATGTTGAATTCTATCAGTAGGTAAATAATAAAATTACAAGTTCGCATGTTCTCTATAATCACTGTTGATAAATATTTATAGCATACTCGTATTATTGTATTTCATTTTGAATTAACTTTAATTTTATTATAACACCGAAAAATATGTGAGAAACAAACATCTAAAGGTTGTTAGAAAAATATTTCCTTTACCGTCTTAAACGTGCCTTAGAAAAAATCATTTTTCTATGTAAATACGTTGTAATATTCTTATTCATATTTCTGATTGGGTAAAGCCAACTTGTGGCTTTGAGGAAAACCGAATAAAACTCTAAGGAATAAGATACGACTGAAAAACATTTTAACAGAATGATCACTGTCTTTTCCGCTTTCATATTTATATTTGACTTTACTTCTTGACTGTAGTTGTAGCCGGATTCTAGATTATAAAATTAAATTTCCTCAATGTATTTTTTTATTCTGCAATTACTGATATACGAGTAAAGGTTGCTGACATTTTTGATGAAACTCGTTCTTGTCAGTTTATATTGATATTATTTTAATAAGACCTCAAACAATTTAACATATACTTTACTTAATTAATCAATTCTCATGAAGAAGCATTAACTAGTTTTAAAACAATGTTTAATATAGTGTGCTAGTGCACACAATACGAAAATACAATAAAAAATAAAAATCAATTAATTAATAAAATATTAGCAATTTATTCACCTGATTTACTTTAATAAAATATACATTGAAACACAATTATCTTTAATTAGACTTCTCTCGTAATATTTTAACTCGTTGGCTATAACCTTCAACTCGTTTCCATAAACACGGCTGAAAAGTAATCTAAATATCTAATCAAAAAAGAAACAAATTGTAAACAAGCAATTACAAAAAAGATTCAATTAAGATACAATATGAAAAGCATTCTCATTTTATAAAAAAAAAACAAACAATGGCCAAATTCCGAAAAAACTAATTTCTTCATACGAATCTTAACACAATTCTTAGTCATGCTTATCACAAGTTTTCATCACACCACTATTTACGGAGCATTTGTTGTTTTTCATTGATAAGTCACCATAGATTATGGTATATGGTATAGCGTAGTTAATGACGCTGATCTCTAAGTTACATACTTACTCTATACTCTGCAATTCCTCATCACGAATACACTGTCAGAATAAGAAAAAATAAATAAGAATAATATGTATAATTCCTTCTCTACTGTTAATTACAACGAATAAAAGTTTATAGATTAAATAAGAATAATTTCATATCTGTGTACATATTTTGCATATTTGTGTACACGTTATAATTTGAAAACTATCATATCATATTATACTTACTACTTCATTCTAAAAGACTAATAAATAGTTAACAAATAGAAAAAAACGACAAACATGACTGACAATTTAATTATTTAAATTATACAATATGTGTCATCTGTACTATGATGATGATGTAAGTGATACAAAATTCAAGAATTATAGCTAGGAGGGACACGTCCATGGGTAGTAGGTATAACATATAGAATTTGAAAGGTCTAGCTTCTATATATCTAAGGAACCTCTCCATAGCCAGTATTTGACGTATGTCTGAAAGGATATACAGTCCATTATATAGGCCATTTAATCCCTACTAATATTAAAAATGCAAAAGTAACTCTGTCCGTCTGTCTGTTTGCTTTCACGCCTAAACCACTGAACTGATTTTAATGAAATTTGGTACAGAGATTGAGTTGACCTTGAGAAAGAACATAGGATATTTGTATCCCAGATTTTTGAAAGGTGCTCTTGGAAACGCGATATAACCGAACTCCACGCGGGCGAAGCTGCGGGCGGAAAACTAGTCTTAAATAAAATTCGTAATTTAAAGCATAATTATTCTCTAAATCGAACTCTCATTACCGTTTCATTACCATAAGACATTTCTTTTTGTTGACATATAAAAGTGTAAGCTACCTTTTTCTTCGAAAATTCGTTTATACAAAGTAAGTTTTATTTCCATCGCTTTTTGTCCTAGCCAAGTTGCTGCAACGGCTGGAGTAGCTCTGTTTGTGATTATTAGCAACAGAGGGATATATGGTACAAGCAGTCCAAAACTTTTCTGTAACAATAAATATTGGATAGTCTCCGAAGTTTCTGCTCTAATTGAAGGCGAAACTTAGCTAACCCTTTCAAAGTTACCTAATCCTCGCTCATCATGCACTGCTAAATAAATATAAAATAGAATATAAAATACTCACGTCACCAGTTTTCTGTATAGTCTCAAGAAGGTAGTATATTGATGCCATTACCCCAGGTATATTAAAAAGTAAGGACAAAATATACTAAAAAGAATATAAATAAAAATAACTGATAATAATGTTATTAACATATAAACTATTTTTACTTACAATATATCTAAAAGACTTCATAACCTTTTCTATAGATTCTACTAAAAACTTATAATGTTGGAGTAAACTGTGTACAGAGGATTTTCGATTTTCTATTAATATTTTAATTCGCTCCAGTCTATAAAACCGAAATCCAAACCAAGCAATATTTGAATTATTATAAAAAATAATTTAAATTTTTTTGGAATCACTGTAATATTGTACTGTCTTCGATTATTTTTTTCAACACGTATCATATTATTACTTTTATACATTTTTCTCTTTAACACAAAAATATGATTACTTTCGGCCGCTGGTTCTAAAAAGAAGTGAAGAACTGACGGTTTATACTTTTAAAACGATGTTGAATAGCGAATGGGGCCGACACTATCATTTATCTTTCACATTTCCTATTCTATAATTGCTAGATAAGTTATTGATTGTTTTTAGTACTGCTCAAATGATTTATCTTCCATTTTTTTATATTTTAAAATATTATTTCTTATTGTTTTGAATAAATTGACCAACAAAAGCCTAAGAAGATCTGTAGTTTTTATGTGCCTATAACTTTAAAAGCAGCTTAAATAACAATTGGTTTGAGTGAATGAATGAATGATTTTGTTAATAGATTCGCTTATTATATAACCAACTACTGTAAATCCGAAAGACCTTTCAGTTTGTATTTGCTCAACTAGGCAGATATTGATATGAAAAACACGTTTTACTTTATAAACATTATGCTTTTTACTTTATAATTGATAATTATAATATATGAGAGTTATATGGGTATTTTATTAAAAATGTGATGAGTGCGCACAGATGAGTGATTAGAAATAACTCTTAACCAAATCCAATAATTATCAAAAAATCACCTGTAGGTAGTACTATTTAAAGTCTTCTGTTAGGTAGTAATCGAACTTAAAATGAAACAATTTCCGAAACTATCAAAAAAAAATATAAAAAGTCTTCTTTGAGTCTTAACTTAATGTACCTAAAGAACGTAACTCATGTAACACCATTCAATAATTATTTGGTTTTGAGAAAGCGTGTTTTTTTATTGTTACACTACCATAATTTTGTTCTTTTAATTAACTTCCTTTGTTTCACTATTTCATAGTTAAAACTGCTACTTTTGCGAACCTTAAGAAGAGTTACAGGTTTTATATCGACACTAAACTACATGTTCCTTTAATAATCGCGTGTGTGCAGATCTTTGTTGAAGGCTTTAGATATTAATAGCAGTAATAGCTCATCAAGGGTTATCAGGTCTAGCGTGCGCAATATGTGTATTCATTTATCAAGAAATCCTATCGTAATATAATGGATTTTTTTTTTGTACTGAACATAGCGTTTGTAAATATATGTATAATCTCCTGATTATCAAGTTAATATTTTTAAAAACAACCTTTCAATCTATTAATTTTACTTATTGTATATAGAATTTAATATTAATAAAAATAAAATAAAATAATATATATTCTATGTGCGCGATATTAGTGTATTCGTTTTAGAAAACCGTGAGTCTTATATTGGAATATTTCCATATTTTATGTTGTTAAGAAAATGTATTCAATTACAGATCATTTATTTTTATCCACAGAATATTTTATAATTTATAGTAAACGTTTATCAAATATTTTTTATTTTTTATCTGTAATCCACGCACACGATCATAACATTACACAATAAATTCAACATGGCTGTCTACGGTTGGGGTCACTTGCGGCAAATTTTTCTTAATTTCTGTATACTGTAGCTATTTTCAATAAGAAAATACATTGCCTTATGCCAAATAATGTAAGTCAATGTGTATAATATAAAATTCTTCCGTAAGTATACTATTTATATTAGATCTAAAATGATTTTCTCCTCTATCCTTGAACGATCTATAAAGTAGCGAATTCTCTGTATTTTATAGTTTTATTAATTCTCGGTACTTTCGCAGGGGTACTGAAGATGCCAGTTAACTCTTTATCAGAAACGACAAAAGGTGTTGCGAGAACTAAATTGTCACTCTCTCTTAGAAGAAATAATGCAACAAATCCGATCAACGCAAATCAGAAACCAGGAGATTTAAAGGACAGCTCCTGCAAGGGATCAAATGACAATAAAGAGAACAAGCCAGTGAAGAGACCTTTAACAGGCACATATCTTAATACATTGAATGCTGCTAAAAAGCTTAAGCCTTTGACAGAAACTTCGAAACCGAAAGGTATGTTTATATTCAATATGTGCTTAATAACTCGTCTTTTCTCTTAAAGTACTCAATATTTCACTTTAATAATTCAAATATTACATCTATTTTTATCATAATCTTAAGCTATTGTTTTTTAGAAACTGTTAGTGAGCCACAGCTAGTTGTACTTGAACCATCAATAAGTAACATTGAAATGTTGAATGGCCATCATCCTTCGGACAACCAGTATGGAGGGAGTACACAGTGGAAAGCCCCCATTGCCACACTGTCTAATCTCGGAAATACTTGTTTCCTCAATAGTGTTCTGTATACCCTACGGTTAGTTTTAATTTTTATATGAACTGATAAAACATAACATCACTAAATAATAAGCCTTAACTTTTCATTCCTTCTGTGTATTAAATACATTAATTACATTTTTTTTTTAAATTAAGATATATAGTTCAATGTAAATCATTTACATAGTTTTTATATATTCATTATAGATATGCTCCACAATTTGTCCACAATCTCCACCATCTAGTTTCTGATCTCACTAGAGTGGAACAGAAGTTAGGCAGCATTAGGTTAAAAAGCTCATCGTTGGGTCGAAGCGCTGCTGGCCTTGCATCTTCTGGCACTAGATCGTGGAGCAGTAAAGATTTGTTATCTCTGGGACAATCAGACAACAGTGCGGGGAAAAGTAAAATACAGGTAAATATATGTATAATTATAAAGCCAAGCCAAAACCTATACATATAAAGCGTAGTACTGTGACTCAGTTTTACCATTCATTGTACTTACAGGCAATTACATTAACATAGTAATCAAGGCCAAGACACACTGGTTGTAACATATTGAATTTAATAACAGTTTAAGTGTTAAGTGATTGTTTAAAAACAATAATATTAATCTCTTTTCAACCTGGCAATTTCCCAGCTTTAGCCAGGGTCTGCTTTACATGTTGTGGATAGTTTTTGGACCCCTAAAAGTCGCATTGGTACTTGCCAGGGCCAGGATCGATAATAAAAAAAATAATGTTAATATGCATAAGAAAATATTTGCACAATTAATTTCTCATGAAAATTAATATCCTGTCAATGATAGTATATTTATGCAGATATGTTGAACTCATGATAAAAATATCAAGTTTGAATTTTACTTTTGAGATAATGTCACTTGTTTATTGATAACAGATGATCTTATACAGGGTGACTGGTGAATTACTATCGATATTTGAGGACGTGATATTTGACGATCATATATGACAAAATAAAAATTAATATAACATAAATATTAATAAACTTCTAAGTAAAGTTAACCAAAAGTTATGTAATTAATTACGCATCGTGTGAACACCCTACAGATAAGGTATACACTGACACTCACACATACGCGTGTCGTGACGTAGTGTTGTATCAGCACGCCGCCGCACGCGTCCACACTTGAACATTTGGAACGTGTCAACACTTTACTTATTTATACGGAAATTTTGTCAAAAATTAAGTACCTATTTTTTTTACATAATTCGAATGAGAATCATGTACCGAGTATTCTCCTTAAATATTGATAGTAATTCACCAGTCACCCTGTATAATACACTATAAATATTTTTTATAGAAATCAAAGCTATAGTACAAAGTGTAACTTCTGAAGTGTAATAGCTATCTTATTTAATACATTTATAATAATTTCTGGTTGTATAACGGCAAGCTTATTTGTAAAAGCATTTTGTATAACATGTTAATGTAAATAAGACACTTTAATCATTTATTTAAATAAAGATATAAATGATAACATAATAAAGATGATTTGATAAAAAAATATCCATTAATGCAAAGAAACCTGTTAATATTTGTAATGTTTGACAATTAAAGCTAAACAAGCAAATAAAACTTTATACCAGAATAATAAAGACAAATACTTTTTACATATAAATAGGAAATCTATTTTACACTTCTCATTAAATGACAATATAAATCTTCATATAGTATTATAATTATTGCAGATAGCCACAGAAAAGCTTCATGAAACATACCTTAGCCTACGGGCAGCGGAAAGCAAGTGTATAAACAGTGGCGCTGCTGATTCAAGCCCTGAACCATATGCTGCTGATGCATTTCTTGCAGCATTGAGAGAAGTCAACTCTACATTTGAAGGTAATTTCTATAATATGTTATTAGTAAGAAAGCAATTTTAATTGATTTAAATAAATATACTAAGGAAAAAATCTCAGAAATTTGAAACAGATTATTAATTAACTAATAATTTTACCTATGAATACAATTTTAAAATAATTATTTTGAAAATACATATTAACTTGTGATTTTCTTCCTGATCTATTACATATTATAAAGATATCCCATTCCTGATATAGAGCTAAAGACATACTAGAATTTGAACATTACATATAAAAAAAAATACTTTTCACGTTTACAAACAATTGTAAATACAGCGTGTTCTAAAAACTGTGTCCTCCCTTAAAGGCATTACATATAATTATAAGCTTATTATTAAAAATAGTATAACTTAAAAAATATCAAGCAGAGGTCAGTTACAGTGCATAGGCTAAATAAGTTTTAAGCCGACATTATTTGAAAAAATGTTTCAAACATCTGACACATGAACGGTTAAGGCACGGCACGGCACGGCTTAAGGGGAGCCGGCGTGGCGCGACTCGTCTTTTGTTAGTTTTTCGAGTAGAGATTTGCAAGTTTAAAAATTAAGTATATCGATAAATATTCTATCGATATTTTCAATATTGCTATAAATAGTTATGCTTTTCACATTAAAATAATTTCATTTAAAATAACTCTTATTAATAACAAATATTATTAATCAATATTATAATTTGGAAAAAACTACAAACCTATTTTGGTGAAAATTCACTAATGTAGTTTGAACATGCTACAAATATATAAGCTAAAATTTTATCCCTTAGTGCTGTTTGACTTATTTTAAGGAACGCCTACATAATAGTTGTATTTTCTGAGATCACGTGACAAACTAGATGGCGTTGCTTGTCTTATATATGACTTACAAATTCCAGTAATGGCCTCGGTCGTCAACCCAGCCTCGACGGTGATGGCAGTAAGACGTTAGGACATCTACGCAAATCATGGAAAAAACGCAAAGAAACAAAAACCACTGATAAAAGAAGCTCACCCTCAGAAGAACGACCGCCCTCACCAGACCCTGAGAAGGACGAACGCTCGAGACCTGGCTGGGACTTTGTGGCTGATGATTTTGAAGGTATATTATTTGACTGACAATTTAGATATAATCCAACTTATGTATGAGAGAGAGTCTTCATTGAATTTATTTGTAACTTGTTTTCTTATATATGTATGATACCTCATAACTGCAAAAATTTTTTTATTGTTATTCCCTTATAAAGTTTCTTGAATATCATTTAAGGTGCAACTTGATTACATCTAATGATATAAAATCATCACATATATTTATATAATTCTTCTGTGAGTGTGTATGTCACTGAACTTCTCTCAAACGACTTGACCGATTTCGATGAAATTTTTTGTGTGTGTTCAAGGAAATCTTAGAATGGTTTAGATTCACAATTTTGTCTGCTGGACAATGTTTTTTTAATTAATTTTTAATTTATTAGTAGTTTTTGATAAAAACGTTTTTTTTTTTGACATTAGATTTTACAACTAACTAATATGTCAATCACTCTGTCGCACTTCAAAACATGGAGATTTATGGCTTTAATAGGTAAACTCCAAAAATAAATAAAAAAACGTAACAGATATTTCTTGATTATAGGGCGATAAGAAGTTCGCCGGGTCTTCTAGTATTATATATTTTTATTATATTCCCTTATAAAGTTTCTTGATTATAATTTAAGGTGAAACTTGATAATATCTAACTACATAAAACCATCACATATCTCCACATATTTTATATTATGTCCAACATATAAACTGTTATTCTGTATATAAACTTATAATTTACGTTGATTTTTTATGTATATATATCTTGTTATATAGGTACAATGGTTGTTAGAACAATGTGTCTGGAATGTGAGGCGGTGACAGAAAAAGCTCAGGCTGTGTGTGAGCTGTGTGTGCCAGTCGGTGATGATGACACCAATGAAGAACCATTTAAAGCTGCATGTCTCTCTAGTGAATATTTGAGAGACCAGAATAAGGTTAGTACATTTTTGAAAAACACATCTGGTATCATAGGTAGTTAGATTAAATTAAAAGGAGCTTGAAGATATAAAACAAACAACACAATAATATTTTACTCATTTTAATAAATACTTTAGGATGATACATAATATATAATCTAGTAAAAAAAATCTTACAATATCACTTACCTTACATTTTTATGAGAGGTATACTTTTATATGTAAATAATGTTTGACTTATTACCATAAATTCTTAATGTTAAGACACTTAAAAATTAATAAATTCGACGACATTCCACACTCAATGTTTAAAGAATTCTTAAATATAAATTCTTTTAAAACTAATTTGTGATAAAATTGAATATTCTTCAGACTCAATTCATAACAAGGTCATAGACACAAAATAGATTTAATTGACAAAAAATAGTATTAGCATTTTTTCGTTGTTCGGCGAATATATCTCCCTAACAACATTATTTTTCAATTAGATTTGAATTATAAATTATTACTTCTAGAGAGGCTCAGTGGGTAATCATGCTATATTTTTCCCAGTTCCTGAATTTTTTACCCAAAAATCATAATTCAATAATGTTCAAACAAAACGCACCTCCGCTCAAATAGTGTCATAAGTCAAAAATCCCAACTTTTGAATAAAACGCGTTTGAAGTTAATGCTAACTTTACTTTTCGGCTCATCACTCAAAAACTGTGAAAGTTACTGCAATATGATTTTAAGTAAGTTATAATGATTTTTGACACTCAACAAAATGGTGTAATAGACTTTTGGAATATATTAAAAAAAAAAAATAACGAATAACGGATGAAAAAAACGAATAATTTACGAAATATTGACATCTATGGATAAATAGTTGAACTATGGGCATGACATTATTTGAGATAAGATTTCGAAGTTTTCTGATTCCAATAGTGCAATAAAATTGAATTCAACGTTTTTTGAGTTGTGACACTATTTGAGCGGAGGTGCGAAAATATAAGCCTGTATTCAGAACATAGCTTCGAAGTTAAGTATTCCCGAGGCTAAAGTTAGGATAAATAAAATTCAATATATCGTATGTAACAGTATTGGTGCGAGCGCTGCCTGCGCTACAACGAAGCTAGACGCAGTGTCGCGTATTCGCGACTGCCACGGCTGTTAGTGTTGCAGCTCAAGCGCTTCAGCGGCGGCATGGAAAAAATCACAAGACACGCGCCCACGCCACTGCTCATGCCATGCTTCTGTGAGCCGTGTGCCAAACGGCCACCCGATCATCCACCCACACACAGGTAAACAATTTGACAATAAGCTGCGCCCCGCGGATTTCAGGTATTTCCGAGAAGTAAAGTAGCCTATGTGTTATTCCTGGACGTCGTCTTCCTGTATACAAAATTTTATCAAAATCGATTCAGCCGTTTGAGCGTGAAGAAGTAACAAGCATACACACACACTCACAAACTTTCGCAATTATAATATTAGTAGGATTATACTGTTCAATTTAAATGTATAAAGATAAATCAGTATAACATTAACTAAAGCAAGAATAGGTCCATATAATGTAATTTTTATGCAATTTTTAACATTGTCAACTTTTTATAAAATTATTAAGCACTCTAGTTAAAACTTAAAATCAAGGTATTTATACAGGGTGACTGGTGAATTACTATCAATATTTAAGGAGAATACTCGGTACATGATTCTCATTCGAATTATGTAAAAAAAATAGGCACTTAATTTTTGACAAAATTTCCGTATAAATAAGTAAAGTGTTGACACGTTCCAAATGTTCAAGTGTGGACGCGTGCGGCGGCGTGCTGATACAACACCACGTCACGACACGCGTATGTGTGAGTGTGTGTGTATACCTAATCTGTAGGGTGTTCACACGATGCGTAATTAATTACATAACTTTTGGTTAACTTTACTCAGAAGTTTATTAATATTTATGTTATATTAATTTTTATTTTGTCATATATGATCGTCAAATATCACGTCCTCAAATATCGATAGTAATTCACCAGTCACCCTGTATATAATATTAATTTCAGATACATCCTATGGGCGGTGATAATGCACCTAGGACAGGCGTTGACCGGTGGCCACTATGTAGCGTACGCGAGAGATCGTTCCAACGGTGACGGCGAAGTAGCCAGCAAATGTGAGAGAACCGGCGGTGGTGACGCAGCATCTAACAACAGCGGGTCGAGCTTCATGCGAACACTATTCAATCGGCCGAGAGCACAACCTTCTGGCTGCGCTGCCAATGATTGCTGTGTACCGCGCCCTCGGCTAGACACCTGCTGGCTGGCCTGCGACGACGACCTTGTGAAACCCATATCAAACGAAGAGTTCGAGGATCTACTATCAGCTGAGCCAAAAATGCGCTCCGCAGCAACACCATACTTACTCTTCTATGTCAAGAGCGAAGTCGGTTAATACGCTAAAGTCGACGAGATGGCACCGAACAAATAGTGTAGATGGTTATTGGTACATTACCAATATGCTTCAGTCAGTGTTGTGTGTTCAGTAGCCTGTCTGTTCTGAGTTGATTGAATGTTATATTATATAACTGTAATGTTGATTTATATGCTTAAAAAGACAATCGGGGCGGATATTTAGATGTGTTCGCCCGAGTGATATTATGAATGTAGCGAGATGTAATGAAACTAGGGTACGATGATATCGGTTAATATATTTTAAAGTATAGATATAGAGCAATTTCACTCTTATCACATTGTTACGATTGGACAATATTAACTAAAATTTAAATGAATACCTATATAATTTTCTAAGATTTATACCATTCATTGTATTAATGGTTAAAAAAATATTAAAACAATGTTGACGTCAAATATTAACAATTATCAATTTTATGCTAATCAAATAATAATTGACAATATAGGCCTAAATGTAACTTACAAATTATTGACATATTAAATGTTTATTGAAATCTTGAAAGAAATATTTTCTGATTGTCAGCCGAGTGCTTTGAATGGGTATTATTTGGCCTTATTTTCTATATTCTATATTTTCTATAGTTTAAAATTGGAACTATATATAATATAAAAATAAAAGTATATCCACACAGTATTACCACGAATGTTATAAGTGCACTTTGTCCTATTAGATATTAATAATAAGAAAGTATATATATGTAGTGTTCCAAAACTGTACAAGTCCCTTTCACTTGTCTTCGTGGTAGCACTGTTCTTACGCACCAAGATATGTTCAATTTTTTCATGTCATAAATTCTCTTATTGTAAGTCTTGGATGTAGATAATAGACTCTTTACTTATTTTTATTATATAAAAATTGAACATTGGGACTAAAACTATAAATTTGTATCTGCTTATGACTGCTTCTATATACTTAACATTAATATACAAATTTTGCTGAATATAAGACTTGCCTTCCCACAGATTATTTTTATAGTCTTGGTATATATACTTCTTTCGATAGCTATTTAATCACAGATTTTCTACAAGTCGAAGTGAAACTTGTTAATTTTGAGTAAAATAGATAAATGGTTTTATTGCATTATGTAACATGTTTTTTTATTTCAATCAGTTATGTTGCTCAGTATACTCATACTGCAGTTCAAATAAATACTTTTTTAAATAAATTGTCTCATATTATGTGTATAAAACCTATAATGCTGATGTATTTGTGATGTTACTCAATGTGTGTGTGTCCTCCCTGCACTTCGAAGATATATGAATGTGATTATACCCAGTGTCTAATAAGTCTGTCAAAATACCTCATATCTGTGACCAGTTTCCGGTTTTGAGTATCTTTTTTTTTTGTCACTGTGAAGTAAATGCTTCTGTATTTGTAAGCTGTATATTTGTTGTGGATGCCATTCCAAAAACCTTTGAAAAAGGTAAAATTCTTGTCAGTAGATATCTAATTAATTAATTTTATTACAACACATTATGATTAATTTTCATTGTAAATTGGATTGGAATAAATATAATTTGAATAATATACCCATCTTTTTTTGCCCTATAGAATAACTTCCTATTACGTTTATGATTATGATCGCAGTAAATGTTAACTAATCAATCGAGGGTAAAGTTTATTGACAACGGATAAAGATAAGAAGAGTCGATTTTATATCATCAACGCCGATCGTATGAACGATCAGAATTTTATTTAAGTAAGTTCCATTCGGACGTGTTCATTAAAAATTTGAAATGAAAGCCGTGGAACGACGAAACATCTCATCTAAAGTGAGTAAATTGTTATTTTGCTTACATTCTGCAAGTTTTTTTGTTTTACCATAATTATTCAATAGGATTAGGCTATGAAAAAATAGTTTTATTTGTTTGGTCAGTAGGCTTGTATTATATATTGACATTAGTGCATTCACAGGAGCACACAATTTTTAAGGATATGTACATATTATATTCACGTATGTAATATACGCGATATATATATGTATATATTTATATTACGTTAATGTAGAAAAAATCATGTGAAATTACATTAAATGAAATTCCTTAATTAACATACATTAAATTTATTAAAGTTAGTGATTTTGATGAATTTCAATCTTTGTCAATGTGGCTATAGCAAAAATTCCATTCCACTTGTGACATTGTAATGACCTTATGTCCTTGATGACTCGCTAGTCACTGTCAAAATTGTAGTTCTCATTTCGTACCTATCTATACAACTTGTTAAATTTATACGTGTTTGGTAATAACTGAAATAATTCTCCGAAATGGCAAATGTAAGTAATAAATTAATATTTTTATATTGAACATAGAGTCTATATAATAGAAGTAAGCTAAGTTTTATTACTCTCAAACTCGCACCATTTCCCTAATACCGGCTTAGTAGTCTAAAAGGCTAATACTATGGTAACTAAAATTAACCTACTTATATTTTTCAAAATCTCGGGATATGCGTGTACAAAAATTATTTGATACATTTCTATATTGTGCCCATAGTATCAATGTTTACATTTACATCACAATCTTAAAATGTCTGACTAGATCTGTTTTCGAAAATATTTTCTCTAATCTTTAAAGCCATCGGTTTCTGAATATTATAATTCGATATTTAAATATGTATATTTTGACATACATTTCACTATATATAAATTACAAGTTTCAATTCTAAAAATATGAAATTATGATAATTAAACATTTTACTGAAAAAAAATTTCAAGGTATTTTAAAAGGTTTCACATGTCACATGACACTTGTTAGACAATTTAAACCTCATTTATGTATTTTGACTGTTTAATCTTATTATCCTTAATAAAATTTTCCACAATTCCAGTGCGAATGAAGCCATTGCCTAAGTCTGTGATATATTCAATGTAATATGAATAATATAATGGTATTTAAATAATTATTATACAACAAATGTAACAAAATGAAAATGTAAAAATGTTTTTAATATATTTGAAATTAATGATATAAATTTAAATGCTCTAACAAGATACTTAAATTATACTACCATTACATACTTACAACTTTCACCTTGAAATATACTAAATAAATATATATAACTATAAACGCTTGTATCAACTTTGAAATATTTTCATGCACTAAGACATTATAATTTAGTAAATAGTTGTCATGTCACTAAAATCAAAATAAAAATTTATTTCTTCAAATTATCACAAAATATTAATGTGGCTTTTAGAATCACTAAACATACATAATAAATGTGTATTTACAATTGTTGATTACTAATATATATTTGATACATTATCAATACCATAAATAAGAAGTAATATAAGAATAATAGCAAATTTATATTAGTCACGACAACAAGGCGTGACGATGGAAAAAAGATAATATGAAAAATTTAGTACAGAAAAGTGACGGAAAAAAAACTTACAACAGCAAATGTCATGAATATTCATTTCATTTGATAAGTTAATTATCACAAAAGTCAATGTTAGTGAAAATTTCAAAAATAATTTCATACAAGTCGGGTCTTGTTGGCAAATACATTGGCCCATTTTCAAATGTTTAAATTTAAATATAGATCTTTAGCTGTCTGTCCAAAACCTTAGCCTTACCTTCGATTTTATATAAACACGAAACAATTATAAAGAAGGGTTGATTTCGACTGGTTCTCGTGAGGGAATAGTTTGATGTATTCACCCTAATTTTTCTGACAATACCCCGCGCGTCGCTAATGCGCGCGCCGACGATTGTGATTCGGTGTCCAATACGCAAGTCCGCATTTCGTAGCTGCCGAGAGAAGTTTTCCGCACTGAAGGGCAGTTCAAGATCACTAGCCCCGACGGTTTTACTTAATAATATTAGTAAAAAAATTGTTAGTTCGAATTGTGTTAATATGGTTTGGTCGACAGTCTACGATGGAAAAACCGAGGTAAAAGAATTCTATTTCTGTATGACCGTAATATTATAACGTAGCGTTGGATAATAATAATTGTATAACACGTTTTGTAAAAACTCAAAATTATTCGAATAAAACATTTTGCTTTAAAATAACAAAAACGTTACCTGGTTGTTATATAAATTACATAGGTATAAATACCTATAATATTTTTTTTATTATAAAAATTGCAGAAGCTAAATAATTATAAAGCATAAAAAGTGATATATTTCTTCAATAGAAATGTAAAATGAATATTTATTTTTCCATTTATTGTAAATGATGTCATATGTGCACACCATGGCGATTTGCGTTATTATGCACTTAGCGTGACTAAAATACATTCGATCTTGCACCTTTGCTTTTGAGTTACAGAGTTTAAAATGATAAATTATATATGCAATATTATCCATACACTTCCTATGTACTGAAAGATAATACTGAAGTAGCTATAGCTAGTTATGATTGCTTCTAATAAACGATATAGTATTTATATTCTAGACGAGTACTTATGATGTATTTATGTAAGATATACGTTGTATTTTAGTTTCTTAATATAAATTATTAGAATATTATTTATTATATTAGAAATGATATGTGAAGTATTCTTTTACGCGTTCTTTGAAGCTTATTTTGAAGGTGGTCGAACTTATTGTAGTAAATCGTAATTATTTTAATATAGGTATCTTTTTTTTTCGTACTGCAGGTTCTTTATATTTAAAGAGTTATATTCGTTTATAATAATTACGAGTGCATCTATTGAATTTGTTAGTCTATTTCTGTTTGTTTTCTTTGCCAAGTCAGTCATCAGGTGTTCAAGTCATCAATGATAATTTATTTATTTATTCATTTTCATTTACGTTTACAGATATGAATTAATATTATAAACACTATACAAATTATGAAAACTTGCTCATCAAAAATTTACTTATCAAATATAAAAATACATAAAACTTATGAATAACTTTTCAATCAAAATAATATAACTAAATTATTCCTATTTCTGAGTGAATCTTTTATAGTTTTTATAAAATACACACTACATTTTGATCGTATTTATAATATAAGTAGGTACCATAAATTTTTAGACGAATTTTCGAAATTAGTGTTCCTATTTCCTCTAAGACTTATTTCATTTATTATATGTTCAGATGGGATCCGGTGACAAACCAGCCATGCAACTGGTGGCTGCTGATGCTGCGTCTCACTTGCAGCACATGTGCGCTCTGGACATAGATTCCAAGGCTTCCTATGTCCGTCTGTCTGGCATCATCTGCACCATTGGTAATTACACACCACTCTACAAACCGACCTAAAGACCTATAGATGTATCGTGCCCTAACAGAGAATATATCATGCGATATTCATAAAAAAATGCAACTAAACCTTGAGATTTGTTCAGAAATTGATTCAATCGGTAATAATACCGAAATTTATTCATACCATTTCACGACGAAGTCTGTTTTTTCTTTGGTAAATTAAAAATACCGTCTCGATCAATCGATTATTACTTTCTAACGTTTTCTTGTAAAGGCTTCCTTAGGGCTTAGGTCATTATTGAATTCTATTGTATTACGTTCTAACATCGTAATAATATTCATTGGAATAGTAAAAAGTATAAATATAAATAAAATAACTATACACATATAGTTTAATTAATAAAAAACAGCTGTGAACAGGTGTTTGTCCACCATTTTTCTGACTATAAACGGGAATTCATGTTATTTTGCTTCAAGGCTGCTCTCGATTAGAAAGAGGGTCAAATTTTATTCCTTCCATAAACGTTTATAGTGACAAATTTGTATAACTAATGATAATTAATTTATAATACGATTTACGTCCTACAATAGCAAATAAAATGGCAAGCTGACTCCTATCATAAGCGTAGCTTGAGAATTTCGCGGAAACGAAACATGAACTCAGGAACATCGTTGTTTTATGAGATCAGCCAACATAAAGTAATAATACTGAAAAAAATTAAAATTAAGTGGTCTTTTTTTTGATTTATTAGTGAAACATTATACATCACTATTGTTATCAATTAATCCTAATCAAGGTTTTAAGAATTAGTTGCGTTATATTATATATATTACAAATCTTCTCAAATATGGATATCCATTTTATTTCCACTTTCAAACCCAATACAAATCATCTAAATATATTATTAAACCTTTACTATAGGAAATCCAAGGAGCAGTCTTATAAAAAACACAATATTCTATGAATATTCTTTACAATTAATATCAAAATGTATTCCAGGGCCGGCATCTCGCGATGTGGCTATGTTGGAGAAGATGATGGAGACTGGAATGAACGTGGCTCGTATGAACTTCTCTCACGGCTCACACGAGTACCACGCGGAGACCATCAAGAACTGCCGCCAGGCCGAGGCAAATTACAGCAAGAGGCTGGGAGTTCCATTCTCACTGGCTATAGCACTCGATACTAAGGGACCAGAAATCAGAACCGGGCTTTTGGAAGGCGTTAGTATATAATAATGATTATCATTTCAAACGTAATTTCTCCAGTATATTGTTATTATGTGTAAAAATTTTGGGACGAAACAAATACTCTTTTATATTGTTATATAAAATATGTTTCTTTAACCTACTTAACAAATTTTATAAATAACTAATGAAATTTTAGAAGTATCCCTTTTGAAGTTAAAAAAATCTCAACAAAAAACGGCTAAATGTTTGATTTTACTTTTACACCTGTTATTTTTAAGTCAATAATATAAATCAAATTTATTTTAGTATCTGATGTATTAATAACATGTAACATACAATTAAACAAACAATTTGTATATCACTTGCTATACAATTTCACTTCCTAACAGTCTTTGAATCTAGACAACTTAGATTTCATGAACAAATAAATATAGAAAACACATTCTTTATACAGGGTGGTTCAGCAGAAGTTGAATTAAAAAAAGGCGAGACTATCAAATTGACTACAGATCCTGCTTACCAAGAAAAGGGTTCAGCCAGTGTTATATACCTGGACTACAAGAACATTACCAATGTAGTGAAGCCAGGGAACAGAATCTTTATTGATGACGGTCTCATCTCAGTCATCTGTCAGTCAGCGACTGGTGACACCCTCGTCTGTCAGATTGAGAATGGAGGTACAAAAAAATGCATTTGTTAACTTAATTAACAACTCTTACTGTAGAGCAAAATCCCAAAACTACTTTTAGTCGTCACTTATTATATATTTTATTAAGATCAATAATCCATAAATGTTATTCTCGGTTTGTTCCAAAAAAAAGGCTGTAAAAAAACATACTTTGTTCTTTTCCAACATTATGAACATAAAGAAAAAAAAATCACACTTTATTTACTATGGATATAATTTTGATTTAATATTTTTAACTAATCATCTATTTTAAACAATATCTAAATACAAATAATAACGTAAAAATAACAAAAACAAATTTTGATAAAAAGAATATGTACTTAATGTAATAAGAATACTTTATATGTAATTCAATTCTTCTTTTTTCATTATCTAACTAGACTTCTTTATTCATTATTTAAGGCTCTAATAGTAATATAAGTCCAAAGAAAATTTACCTTTATGGGACACACTGCACAGTAATGTTAAATTGTACGAGTGTAATTTTCAGGTATGCTTGGATCTCGTAAGGGTGTGAACCTCCCCGGCCTGCCGGTAGACCTTCCAGCTGTTTCAGAGAAGGACAAATCTGACTTGATCTTTGGTGTTGAACAAGGGGTATGTATTTAATTAAGTAAACTATCATCATGCATATACATTAATTTCAAGTGTTATTAGTAATGACATTGTTAAAAATTATTTTAATATTATTTGTAGAAGATAAAAAAATTATGAATAATACTTAATGTATATAATAATAATATAATAACTGAATTATAACTCATAAATATCTAAACCTGTAAAATCTTGTTCCCAGGTCGACATGATATTTGCTTCATTCATCAGGAATGGTGCTGCTCTGAAAGAGATTCGCGGCATTCTTGGGGAGAAGGGAAAGAACATCAAGATTATCTCTAAGATTGAAAACCATCAGGGCATGGTTAACCTCGATGAAATCATTGAGGTTAGTTTAACTTTATAGTAACTGGATACAACCAAAGAAAATCTTGCCATTATATCATTTCATAAACAGATTTTTATAAAGTACTAGCTGCTCCCCGCGGTGTTACCCGCGGATTTCCGGGATTTTCGTGATGTAAAGTAGCCTATTGCTATTCCTGGACGTCAGCTTCCTGTATACAAAATTTTATCAAAGTCGCTTCAGCCGTTTGGGCGTGAAGAAGTGACAAACATACACACACACTCACTAACTTTCGCAATTATAATATTAGTAGGATTAAATTGTAATTTAATTAAAATTTGCATGATATTGAGTGTATTAAATTAACTGAACTCTATATAGCCGGGGCCATTTTAATGAAGTGACTGTGCAAAGGATTGTTATTTGTATCTAGTTGGAACTAGTTAGCATTTGTTTGCCAAGTACTGACGGATGTAACAATTTGCTCAATGAATGATCACCTTGTATTGAACAATAGCTTGAAGTCCAATAAATTGGACCTAACTCTTATATGTATAAATGAATGCAAATAAAAAATATGTTATACATTAAATATTTGTGTTATTAAAGCTTCTGTCACTTTATAGACTTTGATGATAAGAAAGATTTTTAAAATGCACTTTTTGGTTTCAGGAATCCGATGGTATTATGGTAGCTCGTGGTGACTTGGGTATTGAGATCCCACCAGAAAAAGTGTTCTTAGCGCAAAAGACAATGATCGCTCGCTGTAACAAGGTAATAAAAAAAGAATTATACAATTGTTTACTTTTACAAACTCACTAACTTATAAACTTTTATAAAAAAATAATATGTTATTTAATTATCAATTGTTAATTTCCTCACCACTATGAACTATCATATCAACTTTTAAACATAATTAAACAATTCCAGGTCGGAAAACCAGTGATATGCGCGACCCAGATGTTGGAATCTATGGTGAAGAAGCCTCGTCCCACTCGTGCTGAGACATCTGACGTGGCTAACGCTATCTTGGACGGAGCAGACTGTGTGATGTTGTCCGGAGAGACAGCTAAGGGAGACTACCCACTGGAGTGTGTCCTTACAATGGCTAACATCTGCAAGGAGGCTGAGGCAGCTATCTGGCATAAGCAGCTGTTCAACGACCTTGTACAACAGGTGAAGTTATAAGAAAGCAATTCATGTAATATGTATGGAAAAGATTTAGATGAAATAAGAATGTAATTAAAAATGTTTATTTTACTTCTGACGTAATGAAAAAAATTGCTTTCGATTTTTGTTAATCTCATTTAAATTAAGAAATCTTTTCATTTATTTACATTTGCATTTCTTGCTCATTTGCATATCTATACATATTTCTCTTATTGTTACTAATACAGGACGTCTTTGATAAATATATTTTAATTCTAGGTAAAAACTCAAGGAGACCCAGCACACTCGGTGGCCATAGCAGCTGTTGAGGCTGCCACCAAGTGTATGGCGTCTGCTATAGTGGTGATCACCACCAGCGGCCGGTCCGCTTACCTTCTTAGCAAGTACCGACCTCGCTGTCCCATCATCGCTGTCACCAGACATCCTCAGACAGCCCGACAGGCACATCTGTATAGAGGAGTCTTGCCCATCGTTTACGAAGGTAACATATACTATATGTAATTATATATAAGGAATAGACTTTAAAACTTCACTTATTAAGTACTGCTAATGTGTATAGCTTTATTATATTTTTTATTGATTACAATCTTGAATTCTCACTTCAATTTGAAGATATGGTCAATAAGAATTAGCGTCTCAAATTAATATGAGTACTTCTTAACATTTCTTAATTATATAGTTACATATTAATATTACAGAGGGCGTTGCGAGCGACTGGCTCAAGGACGTCGACAACCGCGTCCAATACGGCTTGAAGTTCGGTCGCGCGCGCGGCTTCCTTCACACAGGCGACAATGTAGTAGTCGTTACAGGATGGAGACAAGGATCCGGATTCACTAACACCATGAGGGTCATGTGAGTTATACTTATTTTTTAATATATATTATACTATCTTCCCCTGCGTGGAGTTCGGTTATATCGCGTTTCCAAGAGAACCTTTCAAAAGTCTGGGATAAAAACTATCCTATGTTCTTTCACAACGTCAACTCTATCTCTGTACCAAATTTCATTAAAATAGTTCAGTGGTTTAGACGTGAAAGCGTAACAGATAGACAGAGTTACTTTCGCATTTATAATATTAGTAGGGATTAACACAGTCCAAAGATAAAAAGCCCATATTTTTAATTAAAATTAATCAAATTAAAGTTTATATTATTAAATAGGACAAGATAGATCCTATAGAAAAGATAAATGTAAAAAAATCAATCTTTTCATTGTTTTTTTTTTACATTATTTTATTTCGTAATTTGTATAATTTTTTTACAGCCAAGCAGAATAGACTAGCCGGATCGTAGCAAAAAAGTATTAGCTGAAAGAGATCAAATGTCGAGATTGTATCATTAATTAACACACACCAGTGATATTTGGATATCCACTGTAAATGATTCTCATAACTATACATGTAAGACTAAAATTATAAAATGTTATATTTATTTATGCAAAACACTTTAGATTCAAATGTATGTGATGCAAAATAAATTATTTAATGAAATTCTTGTTTTATTACCTTCATTAAAAGCTATTATATATATTAGTATGGACTGTGTTTGTAACTTATGTTACACAATTATAAATCCTTTACCACTCTTTTATAGCATAATTAACAAATCACGTAAAACTGGGAGGCAAATATTATTTCGTTATTTATTATATACAATTTTTAGGTAGGATTTTTAAATAAAACTAAACATCTCATTTTTTTAAAAACAAAACAGGATATTCACAGACATTCTCGGATATCTACACTTAACCTGGCTTTAATATTTTTTTAAGTAGTTTAAAAATAAATTAGAAGCTTTAATCAATTACTCTAAATTATATTATAGAACAAAAATGTTGGGCTGCCTAAATTAAGTAAACATATGTTTAGAGAGATAGTCATGTAGTATTTATGTGAACTAGGGAACTTATAAGTAATGGTAGAATATTATAGATTAAAATAAAATTTCATGAAATTATACTTCACAATTAATATATTAAAAACATTTAAAATACACTCAAAACAACACCTTGTGTGACACAATTTTTCTAAAAATATCTCTGTTTATAAAAAAATAAATATTTATGTGACAACAATCTCTTAAAATAAACAAATGATACAAACAAAAAAAATAACATTTTAACCTTTATGTACTTCGTTTACATGTAATATATACAACTAATATAATTTTTCATCCATAAATCACATAATATTTCTTCTTCAGTTTTTAACAATACTATCACTTAATCGTTTTTTTAATTTACTAATTTTTTAACTGATATAATCTTAATTTTTTTGTTTATATATATTGGCTTCATAATTATTGCTTTCTTGTTAACAAAGTTTTCTTTATTAGTTTGCACTTCAATATTTTTCTCTTCCTTTGTAAGAGGAGAGAGTTTGACTTCTTCTTGAATCGTGAAGATTTTATCAAAAGCTGTGGGCACCGTAGTGATATTCTGTTTAGTAGAGTTTTGGTTAGAATCTGTTGTGTAATTGTTTTGCTTAACAGAATTATCAATTTGCTGGTGAGAATTTGGTGGTGGACTAAAAGGTTTTTTGAGTAATGGCTTTGTAAGTAATATGATAGGGGTTCTGTACTTTTGTATATCTGATATGTTATATCTGTTCATCTTTATGATTTTTATTGTTTTTATTTTGGTTTTGTTTACATTTATTGGATTATCTATTGTCTTTACTTGCACTGGTTGAATATTCAATGAGTCATTTAAGATTTTCTCATTATCCATTTCATTACCAAATTCATTATTTCTAGTAACAGTTTTTCCTTTTTGATCTATAGATATTTTTTGTGGACTTGTTTTTGTAAACTTATTTTTACTTTTTATGATTTTACTGGGGCCAGATTTTTCAGATATTCTGTTCAAACTAATGTCCTGAATTCCTTGTGGGGATATTTTTAGTTTGTCAAAATGTGCCTTTATCTCCTCTGGAGAAAGTGCTGCTCTTGAATGTGTTGTATTTTGGCTCAACCTACTAGAAATTTTACTTTTATTTCGTTTCAAAAAGTTATGTATGTAATCAAGACCAGGCATATTATCTTTGAATCTCTTTACTACTACTCCTAAATAGTCTAAATAACCCTTTATAAATAATCTTAAGTCTGTTGTTTTAAGGGGATGTCCTCGTTCTGCATACCAAACATTTATATGTTGTATGAGGTGTTCCTCTTCATTTTCGGTTAAAGCTGTTTGACCGCCTTGCTTTTTCACACTAACAGTATTGTGTCTATGCAGAACTGATTTGGAGACGTTATATTTTTGTGAAATATATTCTAACGACATGTTAGTATTATTATATTCCTTTAATGCCTGTTTTATAAGCATTTCGTCATATTTTTTATATATTTTTTCTCGGTTTGGTGTATATGTACGGGGCATTATGGAAAGTCCATAAATCTGAAAACAAATTACACGAAAAACCTATCAGTGTAAAAACGTTTCAACACTTGTCTACGATCAACCGTTAGAAAAAAATTAAGCTCACATAAAGGATTGTCGTAAATATTTAATTAATATTTAATTTTAAAACCTTTCTTATGAATTAAAGGTTCTGATAGTTTTCGACGAGAATAAATTTGAATGATTTTTTATTTAAAGTGCCAACCCTGCTCCTATAGGCTATATTGACTATCTTTTCACATACAACCTTTTTAGTAATTATATTTTCCGTCCCTATTAACCCCTTGTACCAGTTAACTCCCCAAAGTATACTGAAAAACTTCATAGGATATTAATATATTATTGGTTATGATAATATGTATTTTAAGAGTTAAAAAATCTTTCAATAGTCTTTACTAACTAAGTAGGCACTTGCAGATAGTTGATATAAAAGTAACTACAAAATCAAATTAATTTAATAAATGTTAAAGGCGACATTTCAACCGCACAGCTTCAAAAAGATGTTTTGGCAATTGATTTCTAACTTCTTAACCAAAAAATGTTGCCAGTTCAAAAAGTAAGTATTCCACCATACAATTGTGATTTGTAGATTTAACCCCGATTTTTCACAATTCACCCACAGGTTCCTCTTCACCCCATTTGACGGTACTTTTGTAATAGGTTGATATTAGAGTGAGCCCTTGAACAAATTGTATTTTTAGGCTTCAGATAGATTCTCACATAATCTCTTATATAAATAAAATTGAATGTTGTTTAAAAGATATTATTTAACTTTACGTATTAGCAGAAGGTTACAGTTGTAAGATGAAAAAAAATGGCTTTTATTGCCTATAAGTGTAATGCTATCTTATATTTGATAAGCATACAATGTTGTACGTTAAAATATAAATGAGGTGAGGTCTCGTCTTCCCGTAGTTACAATTACTGAAAGGTTATCGAATCAAAGCGTAGACATATTAAATGTTTTTATTTGAAAATAAAAAATATATCAAAAGTACCTCGATATTGTTTTATATACAAGAAGCCTATACTTATCCAAGCGTCCTATATTATATTCAGTTGAATCTTCTATACGGGTTTAATTTAAAGACTAAGACTTGTTTTAAATGTATATATGTAATGTTTAACAGTTTTTAATAAATTATAGTGTAGTCTTAATTGAGGCTGTAGACTAGAGTAGAATTTGTATGATTGAAAGAATTGAGTAGCGAATAATTAGTACAACTGTTATATTTACGACAGTGTGTTAGGCGATTTTATGGAATGGGATAATGTGTACGTACCCTTTGTTTTTTATAACTGGCAGCTCAAATATCCTTTGTGTGGAAAAGCATGTCAGCCATCTTGAATAAAATTTGGTAGTGGCAAAAAGTGATATTCGAAATAAATACAGAATGCATTTAATACAATTTCATTACTAACCAAGACATTCTAAATTATAGTCTATATTTTTAAAGTGCCAATAACTTTTAATACTTTTATTTTATAGCTTTTGTATTATAAAAAGATCACCAATAAAGTAAATCAGCTGTTATCCGTCAATCGATGTCAACAAAATTACATAATTTTGTTTGGAAAAACAGTGAAGTTATTATTTTTTGAGCGTCATTTTGAAATTTTCAAATATGTTTATTGACTGTTAAGTTTTAAAATTAAAATTAATAAAGTAAATGTTTACGAAAAAGTGAATTCGATTGGTGTATTTTTTTGTGATTATTCTTAGAATGTAGCCTAACAAAACTAGTTATGGATCGCAATAATATAATAGAGTGCGGCGGATTTTACTTTATACATAATTTTGACTCAGGGAATTTAGGGCATGTAGAACGAGTGCCCACAGAATTCATTGGTGAGTGTTTTAATCTTTTATTAATGTCATCTATGTGGCCTTAATTTCGCCTTTTAATATTTTCCTACATCATGTATTTGTTTGTATCCACAATTATTATACGATAATTTTAATTCTCAGCTCCAACATTAAATCCGAAAACAAACGTTTCGGAGACTCCCGATTATGAGTTTAATTTATGGACTCGACCCGATTGCGCTGGCACAGAATTCGAGAATGGCAATCGTACCTGGTTTTATTTTGGCATACAAGCCAGTGAGCCTAATGTACAGGTATTACGAATGAATTGACGAAGAAATTTTTAATTAACTATCAAAAATTTTATTTTGTATTCCAACAAGTGTTTGACCACATCTTTGCTCTTATAATGTGATATTTATTACTCATGTTTGTTTGTATGATATATATTGTCCTGATTATGGCCTGTGTTTATAATGTTTTATATAAAAAGTCTAAAAAATATGGTATGCACATACCTGCTTGTGTCCAAAACTTCAAACACAAAACATGAAGTGCTAAGATTTGTTTTATTAATAGATCATATATTTTTATTCTACCCTATTCAAGTGTTTTTTAAGCAATTTATATATATCAGGTGCGGCTTAACTTGATAAATCTCAACAAACAAGGCAAGATGTATAACCAGGGCATGGCTCCAGTGACACGGACTCTTCCAGGAAAGCCACAGTGGGAAAGGATAAGGGATCGTCCTGTGCATTCAGTAAGAATGACTACTTTTATATATGGTTTATACTTAACATATTTCCTAAGAAATATAAATTAATTTCTATAAGACCTTAAATATTTCTAAATTTCATTTTTTTTAAGGTATTTATTAATTTCATTTTGTTTTTCAGACAGATGACAACACATTCACACTGTCTTTCCGATATAGAACATCAGATAATCCGAAAGCAACTACCTTCTTTGCATTCACATACCCATTCTCATTCGCCGAGCTGCAAATAGCTCTGAACTCTATTGATCTTAAAATGTTGCCAGTCCCGCCACCCCAATCACCCGATGACATATATTACTGCAGAGAATGTCTAATATATTCATTAGAAGGTGAACAAAATAAAATAATTAATTTAACTCTTGAAGATATGTTTTTAATAATTCTATGAATTTCAGGAAGGCGTGTAGATTTATTAACAATTTCATCCCACCATGGCATAACAACGGAGCGAGAGGACAGGTTAAAGAATTTGTTCCCAGAAAATCAGGAGAGGCCTTTCAAATTTCAAAATAAGAAGGTAAAATAATGTAATATAATTAACTATGAATACAAAACAAACGGTTTCATATTATCAATTTAAATTGCAGGTCATATTTATATCTGCTCGTGTGCATCCAGGGGAAACTCCATCAAGCTTTGTGTTCAACGGATTCCTAAACTTACTATTGACCAGGAATGATCCGATTGCAATCCAATTGAGGAAACTCTATGTGTTCAAAATGATTCCATTTTTAAACCCAGATGGTGTTGCCAGGGGTCATTACAGAACTGACACAAGGGGGGTTAATTTAAACAGGGTGTATTTGAATCCATCACTTCTCTACCATCCTACTGTGTATGCGTCAAGGTCTCTTATAAGATATCACCACTTTGGATTCGAGAAAGAGGAAGATAATTGTGAGGATATTAAGAGCTTTGCATCCCGCAGCATACAGAATATCAGTGAAAGTGTTGAGGTTTGTTATTATAGCAAAATACTACCTTTTGTAAGTTAGTCAATTTACTCAGGGGACACCCATTAATTACGTCAACTTAAATAGTTGTTTAATAAAATTTTGTCCAATTCCACTTAAATCGGAAATTTCTGTATTTAGAAATCTTATGTCACTTTTAAAAAAAAATTGACAATAAACAGTTTTCAACTGTTACAACTATTATTCTGTGTTAAATATCTCTTTTTAACTATGAGAATATATTCACTCGTAACGAAGACAAGAGTCCTACCACATTTTACTCTCACCAAGAAAGTAAGGAATAATCATTATAAAAGAAACCCAGTTCACATAATAGTTAAATATTGCCTTACATGAAATGCTTATAGAAAGTCTAGTAATAGGCATGTTTTGAACATCACACAGTATCTAACTCAATAATAAAATTTATTTCTATCCATCAGCTGGTTGAAACAAAGAAGAAGAAAGCCCCTCGGTCACCAAACATCAAGGGTGACTTCAAGCGTGATAAGGCCAAGACACAAGCATCAAAACCATCGGCTCTGTACTCCGAGGACCACAGTAGGGATGAGTTCAGTGGAGACGCTGCCAACTTAGCAGATCAGGTTCATACAATTACTCTATATCTTTGTTTGTGTTAACTTTTATCCATATTTTTGTTCCTCTTTAACCACGAAACGGTTGGACTAATTTTGATAGCGCTAAGCTTAATAACAAATATAAGTAAACCGTTAAATTCTTTCGAGCTATAAAGAGTCGATGTGTGTTTATAATTTATTATTTTAGCTTTGGCCCTAACCATATTGTTATGACTTAATAATAAGATATGTACGTGTATGAATTTTAATTATTATAAATCTTAAATATGTTTCATTGCATATGTTATATTTAAATATATAATTTGTAACGTTTTTGTATGTGTTACAAAATATTGATTTATTTTTACGTACTGACGCTTCTAATTTATTAATTAAATATGAAAAGTTTGTATCATAAGTTTTTTTTGCCATTTTCCACTTCAACTTATCATTTAACGAAGGCTTCAATGTTAATCGGTGTGTAACATTAATCTATAGCCCCTACCAATATAATCAATAAATATATTGCATATTATAAGTATACAAGACTTGTTTGATATATTTATCAAGGTCATTAAAGGTTAATCACTAAACAAGCTTTAACCCAAGCTTTCATCTAACACCAATGGCTTCTTAATCTTATTTTATTATACAGGGTGACTGGTGAATTACTATCAATATTTAAGGAGAATACTCGGTACATGATTCTCATTCGAATTATGTAAAAAAACTAGGCACTTAATTTTTGACAAAATTTCCGTATAAATAAATAAAGTGTTGACACGTTACAAGTGTGGACGCGTGCGGCGGCGTGCTGATACAACACTACGCCGCCAAACGCGTGTGTGTGTGTGAGTGTATACCTAATCTGTAGGGTGTGCACACGATGCGTAATTAATTACATAACTTTTGGTTAACTTTACTTAGAAGTTTATTAATATTTATGTTATATTAATTTTTATTTTGTCTTATATGATCGTCAAATATCACGTCCTCAAGTATCGATAGTAATTCACCAGTCACCCTGTATAATATATTCTATGTATACAGGGTGACTGGTGAATTACTATCAATATTTAAGGAGCATACTCGGTACATGATTCTCATTCGAAATATGTAAAAAAAATAGGTACTTAATTTTTGACCAAATTTCCGTATAAATAAATAAAGTGTGTACACGTTCCAAGTGTTCCAAGTGTGGACGCGTGCGGCGGCGTGCTGATACAACACTAGGCCGCCACACGCGTATGTGTGAGTGTGTGTGTATACCTAATCTGTAGGGTGTTCATACGATGCGTAATTAATTACATAACTTTTGGTTAACTTTACTTAGAAGTTTATTAATGTTTATGTTATATTAATTTTTATTTTGTCATATATGATCGTCAAATATCACGTCCTCAAATATCGATAGTAATTCACCAGTCACCCTGTATATTTATGTATGTATTTAATATAGTATATATTTATATTATATATATTTATTGTTATTTGTGTTTAAAAGTAAACACATATTAACATTATGATCCTTTACCCAAAGGTTGCCTGGAAGATATCGCTGCTTAGGGATAAGGCCGCCTGTTGCACCTCATGCAACTAATATGTAAAGAAAATGTTATTTTTTAGTTTTAGAATTGGGTGCAATAAAGAATAAATAAATAAATCTTCAGGTCCTCGACATGAAGCTGCAGGAGATGCCCTCACAAACAGACAATATATCGTCGAATCCATCCAACGCTAACTTAGATGAGAGCTCATCTCTCCTCAACGATAACGTACTGCGGTCGTGTCTGGGGTCTAACGTTCACCTCAGCACGAGCGAGGAGCTCAATATAAACGGCCTCAACCCTCTCAAGCCGCTGAGAGATACATTGAAGAACAGCATCAGTCTACTCATGGAGTCTAGTTCGTCCGTCGTCGGGTAAGGGAAATAATATTAATAGATATGTACAATTTTATGAAAGTATATTTTATACTGAATTCCTTAAGAGGATTGATGTCAGGCAGGCGGTCGATTGCAAAAACAATTAGCCAAAACTATTCACAACATGTAATGCTGACCCTGGCAAAAGCTGGGAAATTACCAGGAAGATGGACAAAATTTTCGATATTGAATAACAAAAAAAATATTGAATGGATTTTTATTATGTCAAAGTATATTTGAAATATCAGAATTCCCTTCCACATTTTGTGTATCGCTATATTAAGTCATATAATACAGACGATAGATGGCGTTATCGGTTGCTTGTTATATTGAAGGCATATATTATTTTTTATTAAAACGAATTACGCAGTTTTCTATAGTAATAATATAATTTGTTCCCAGTGAGAGTATGACTCCGGAACTTCCTGTAGTGAAGATGGGATACTGTAAAGTGTGTCGAAGGGATAGGGACTCGATGGTATGTACACAATACACATGTGAATAATGCAATATTTATTATAACCACAAACACAAAAACAAATTCCTTTATTATATGTATTTCTATGTGTGACACAGTATACCAGTCTTCATATGACATAGAGTATAGTGTATGTTTACCACAAATATTCGTACATTAAACTATTAACTTAGGTTTATTATTTAAAAACTGAATTGTCTGTATGCAGTTTGATGATACAAATACAATAGGGTACATACTTAAACTATATATTTTCTATGCCATATAACATTACCATATTAGCGTATATGTGAATTTATTCCTATCAATATATTTGAATATGTCCCAAGAATTTATAATATGTTTTATATAATATATGTTGTTTTGTTTATTACACAGATGTCTGAGCTGCCATCGTATAGAAATATCGAGGAGTACGGAGAACATCAGAGACAAAAAATTGATACTAAGGAACAAAAGGTTCATTGAATATGATTTATTTAATATTTCGTTACACCCTGTATGAGTGTAATTATTCTCAACATTTGTTTTATTGCAGGTCGACGACCTTGAAGTTCTTGAAGGTTCGGTGAATGTATTCTTCTGTACGAACTGCTTCAAACGATATATTGTGACGGATGGTAACGAGGAAATTGTGAGTAAAATTACATATAAATCTTTCTAATGTAACACATAAATATGGTACTTATGTAAGATTGCTCTAGATTTTTTTGGATAAATTATACAGGGTGTCTGGTGAATTACTATCGATACTTGAGGACGTGATATTTGACGATCATATATGACGAAATAAAAATTAATATAACATAAATATTAATAAACTTCTAAGTAAAGTTAACCAAAAGTTATGTAATTAATTACGCATCGTGTGAACACCCTACAGATTAGGTATACACACACACACACACACACACATGCTCGTTTGGCGGCGTGGTGTTGGATCAGCACGCCGCACGCGTCCACACTTGGAACACTTGGAACGTGTCCACACTTTATTTATTTATACGGAAATTTGGTCAAAAATTAAGTACCAATTTTTTTTACATAATTCGAATGAGAATCATGTACCGAGTATTCTCCTTAAATATTGATAGTAATTCACCAGTCACCCTGTATATATAATGAGATTTAAGACTTTCACATCTCGTATCTCGGTTGATGAAAGGTAACCGAAACGTCGGGAGTATGTAATTATTTTATAAAAATAAAGCACGCGTAGTAAATAAAATATTAGTTTTATTTAAATACTAGCTTTCGCCCGCGTGGAGTTCGGTTATATCGCGTTTCCAAGAGAACCTTTCAAAAGTCTGGGATAAAAACTATCCTATGTTCTTTCTCAAGGTCAACTCTATCTCTGTACCAAATTTCATTAAAGTCAGTTCAGTGGTTTAGGCGTGAAAGCGTAACAGACAGACAGACAGAGTTACTTTCGCATTTATAATATTATTAGGGACTAGGGATATATGTATATGTATGAACCTGTGATCAAACTATATAGTTGTTTGATGTTCCCCAGGCTACCGCTACGTCTTCAGGTGACTGTGTGGAGGGCCCCCCTCTATCTCCTAGGCCTCAGCCCCCGGAGCGCCCTCAGCCGCGATCCCCCGCCGGAAGTACAGGAGACTCGTTACCGGTAACGAACATTTTTATTCTTTTAAGTATAAAAAATTCTATTACTAAGACTGCATATCTTTGTGATTATTTAATATTTTTCACCCATTGAGAATAACATTCGATCTTTTACAATTATAAATGGTTTTTACAAAATAATCATATTGCTAAGCAGTTATTTTGATTTATATCTCTATGACGTCACAAAACAGCTACTTATTTAAATCGCTTTATATAGCTAAACAAATCGTCTTCATACACAAAGTCATAAAATGTTTTATTAATTATCATATCACCTCTCAGCCAGTGACAATCCGTAAGGTCGACAAACCGAAGTCAGCTCCGAAGTCGTCTAAGAAAAGGCCCCCGGCCGTGACCGCAGCCCCCGCCCCCTCCCCCGCCGCTGCGCCCGCCTTGAGACAGCACAAGGACGTGGAGTCCGGACTATATCTATATATAGATCTACACGGACACGCCTCTAAGAAAGGTATTATAGAAACTAAGCTGTTAGAAATACTTATAACATATACTTGTATGAGTAATGATAGTAAAATGATTTAAATTTGATTCAGTCTAATAGAACATCCCTACTTAATATTATAAATGCGAAAGTAACTCTGTCTGTAACGCTTTCACGCTGAAACCACTGAACTGATTTTAATGAAATTTGGTACAGACATAGAGTTGACCTTGAGAAAGAACATAGGATAGTTTTTATCCCAGACTTCTGAAAGGTTCTCTTGGAAACGCGATGTAACCGAACTCCACGCGGGGAAGCTGCGGGCGGAAAGCTAGTACAGAATAAATTTATCAACGTAACCCGCGACATTCGATATTTGTAGACTGTAATTATTTAGTGTATATTTTCAATCAAATTTTTTAATATTTTTTCCAGGTATTTTCATGTACGGCAACCACTTCGAAGACTTGGAGAGTTCAGTGGAGTGCATGTTGCTGCCTCGCATCATGTCCCTCAACAACCTGCACTTTCACTTCTCATCTTGTAACTTCACTGAGAGGAATATGTATCTCAAGTAAGATTCACTTTTACTTAATATTTAAACCTTATAAAATACTATGCTATACATTTTCGTAATACTACTATCCTATTACCCTCATATTCTGTTGAACAAATCGTATATAGTAACCTCTAGCTAAGTTGATCTTTAACCTGTATATTTTCACTTTTACTTAATATCTAATCTTAGACCAAAATTGATAGCCATAAATACTATGCTATACATTTCCCTATTCATGTTCTGGTAAACAGATTGTTGTATAACCTTTACACACTACAATGTAAGTGATATATATAATGTGACTTCTAACTAAGATGACTTTTGACCTATATACAGGGGGTTCACTTTTACTTAATATCTAAACTTAACACCAAATTTGACAGCCTTATAAATACTCTGCTATACATTTCCCTACTCATGTTCTGATAAACATATAGTATATAGTATTATGTGTATAGGGATCGTCGTGACGGCATGTCCCGCGAGGGCTCTGGTCGCGTGGCTGTGTTGAAAGCCACGGGCCTGGTCCGCTCGTACACGCTGGAGTGTAACTACAACACGGGCCGGCTGGTCAACGTACTGCCGCCGCCCTGCCGCGAGCCAGCCGTCACCACGCAGCCCGCACCCCCGCCACCCAAGTACACGCCGCACATCTTTGAGGAGGTAAACCCGTTCCAGGTTTGTGGACTCACACTGCTGTGTTGTACACTGTACCGACTGCCGGTCTATGTAGTGAATAGTGTGTAACACATTCATACGTTATACTAGACTAGAATAGATTTATATGGGGGTTAATGGGGTATAATTATATAATTCATACAATAGTAGTCCCAAGACTCAAGGAGTCTTATACCTTTGATTCATAAGTATGTCTTACTAGTCAACATTATCTATGAATATGTATTACTCATATATATTACCTTCTTTACATATATCTATTATGTAATTCTCATTTATCTAGACTATTTTAGTAACTCAAGTCATTACTCATCTTATATAGTGAATAGTGTTTATTTAGTATTTGAGGAACTACCAAAATTTCAGGTAAGGCAGAATCGCGCTAGGGTAGTGAGTTATAACGGAGATATAAAACCATTAGAGGTTCGTTTGATGTTCGTAGACAGCTCGGGAGTTGACACTCTTAGTATTTAGACTCGCACCAAATATTTTAAATCTACAATTAAAGTTGATATGTGATTTCAACATTATCATTTTATGTTTACTCTCATGTAAATAATGCAATTATGTCTGATAAATATTTTAAGACTAGAATAACGATATTAACTTGTAGAAATTAGTTTGAATGACGGATAATTGAAATATAAACCATGCTTAAAGAAGATTAATAAAAGATTCCTCTTTACGTTATCTGAGGAATTTTTATTTTTATTTTAAACGGACGTTCTGAAATCAAACTTCATTTGGTTCACTTGAAAATCTTGAGTTTCACGAATTTGTATGCATTGTTATATATAAGAAAGTATTTCCTTACACTTTTGGTTACCACTTAGTCATATTCACTTATGTTACACCTTTGTATACAAAAAATATCAACCGACAACCAATTTTTACCATCTCACCAAAAATATTTATTCCAGATCATATTTCTGGCTATACCATGTGTATATATTTTATAAACAAAAGTAAAGTATTATATCTAACTGTAAATAATAATAAAATACAATAGGAATAAAAATGTACAAACAACTCTGTAAATACACAGATGACTAAATTGATTTCTAGAAATCACACACGCAGGTACAAGCGATGTGTTAATGTACACCTTATTTAGTGTGCTTAAAAGCTCGAAATATCTCCGATTACAAATCTATATAGAGTATAAATACTTCCCAAGAAAAAATATACATAAATGTGAAATTTAAGACATATAGATTAGGATAAATTACAATATATAATCAGGTGGGGCGATCTCTGGGAGCGTCAATACTGGATTTGACGGGACAGCATCCGAACTCACGGATACCTTGCTCTGAACATCGAAACCTGGCGGCTGTGAGGGACTGGCTTAGAACACACTCGAGAACCGCGCGACCACAGGTAATATAGCTTGTATAGAACACATACTTAGGAAACGAGGTATTTTTTTGTTGCCTTGTTGGCTATGTTAATCTTTCATGCCAGTTCTAACTTGTACTAGGACCTTCCATTCTTCATACTATTCTTTCTTACATACATCTCTTTTATACTCAGGTTGTACCTTCTATTTTTTTTGTGTACCTAACTTATATTCTATGTACTAGTTCCTAGGATCAGGTGGGGGTTGGAGACGAGGTATTAGGACTATGTAGGTAAAAAATACATAAATAGAGTAATGCGTATATAGGTAATGAAACACATATGGGTAATTGGTAAAGTATTTGCGAACAGATATTTGTAACTACCTAACATTTGAAGTCCCTATCTGTCTTCTTAATTATATTTAAAATTTATGACTTTAAATACACATAGCCATGTTATTTTTCAAATGAAGTTATTTTCTATGTCTTTATTTATTTTATGTCTGTTTGTATGTACACCAGCTTTATTTACACATTTATTTTCTTTCGATCATTAATTTTATTTCTTACACTAAATAAGTCTTATACAACAACTTCTTTTAACTAATAATTTACCTTAAAATCTGTAACCTCATTTTATTTTTTTTAGTTCTTAACAATATATATATTTATCTTTAATTTTCAGTGCTAAAACATCCCCCAAAACTTCTAGATAAAATACAATCAACAGCCTAATACTTAATATGTTAGGTAAGGAACTGATTAGCGTGGTTATAGAATGGGCACATGGAATATAAACAACGCATGTCGTTTCCTAGAGCTAACACATGTTAATAGTTATATTTATAAATATATCAAATATTATCCCAATATTCCAGTTGACTATGTCGAGACTGCGACCGAAGACATCCTCACCGACGAGGATGCCGTTGTTCGCGCGCTCCAAAGCTAAGGTGACGGATGAAAGGAAGGAAAACGCGTACGTAGCGGCCAAAAGCGACACAGAGAGACGCCGCAGTCCGCCCATACTAGCACCGCGCTCAGGGCTCGACCTCACCAACAACACCAAGTTCGGCAAGAAGAACGAACCGGCGAAATCATCGTCACGAACACGCTACCTAGCAGACAGCGAGCCCAAACCTAAAACACTATCCACCAAGAGACGCAACGTACTCGCCATACGGAAACCAAACACTAGCAAGACGCAGATGAGCGGGATTGTAAAGGCGAAAACGAACAGACGAGCAGCAGACGATTCTGACGAACGAGCGACGTCCGCCAAGCTCGGGAAGAGAGGATACGTCCGGCCAGGGAGGGCGAGGAGGCAGCCCACCTCCACCTCCTCATCAGAAGCCGCGGGAGGGTCCAGCTCGTGGGAGGCGGGAGGCTCGCACGAGACAGCCCTCGCCGCTAAGAGGCGCCAGTACCCGAACCCCGCGCCCTCACACCTCAAGAAGATACGCCTCAAGAACGGATTGTAGCGATACATGCACACACATACATGATGAACTATCCCACTGACACACACGCATACAAATTTTACAGTTGGTCAACAAACTATCAATTTTATATCATATATAAGTAGTGACGATAGAATTCATTATATAACACGTCTGGGGATTTTTTTTTAACTTTGTTTTAAATATTTCAGTATTAGAGCATAAGATTTATCAGGAGACTTTGTTACTTTTATATAACGGATCACGTCTATCGCTTGCCATTAGTTCTAGTGTATTTTTCTGGAATGTATTGTGCATTTTAAAGAAATTTATAACTTTTACAATTCATATTCATGTTGTTCAGCGAGGTGTTTTAGTACGGTAGCTCACTGTCTAGACGATTGAGAATAGATAATTGTTAGATATAAAAATATTGTAATTAAAATAAGACTTCAAAAGACAGGAAGAAAACATTTTATTATTATTATTATTATTTAAATTGTAAAGTATTATCGAACAGATAAGTACGCTCAAGGAGCAAACGAAAGAATGAACCGAATGATCTCATCGCAATATAATCAAAAAATTTTTGGAAGAAAAATAAAAATTACTACAATAACTATAAATAGAAATAAATATAGAAAAAAATCGACAAGAAACTAATGTTAATATTTTTTTCTATTTTTTAAAACTTGATTATGTTAAAAAAATACAAACATGTTTGGTGCGCGGTAATTAGGTTAGCTGAGAGTGCAATATTGTTGGAATAGTTGACGAAGATTTATAACGCTCTTGTATGAGGTAAATAGAATTTAAAAAATATATGTACCTACCATACTAAAAATTAAACGTTGTGTATAAATAAAATATTTAAACATAGAAATCATCGTCTGTATATTATTATATGGTAACTATTTATTTATCTGAAATATTAATATATTAAACAATAACAACACCGACTTACTATTTTTTTTTTTTTGCAATCAACATTGACACGTCAAAATTAAAAAAAAGAATGTTATAAAGAGAAAAAGGCCTTTTAGGTGATTTATGAAAAAAAAATTAAATTATAAGTAGATGAAATTTGAATGAATTTGACTGAACATTATTATTAAAGAGAGACATCAGCTTCAGATTGCTCTTTTAAGGCTTTCGCTCTTATTTCTATATGTATCGATCTCAAAAGCGACTAAAAGTTCTGTTATGTGTTGCTGAATAGACCTTTGAGAACTATGTAATTTTTAAATAGTTTTTATACGGAATATAAACTTCATATATTTATGGGCTATAAAAAAGAATTCTAAGATTCAAGTTGACTTTGAAAAGTATTCCTTTTTAGCAAAATCTTTATAGGTATAATAAAGAATAGAATATATCTTAGATTTTTTTGTGTTTTGCTATTCTTAAAAAAATAGTAACATTAAACATCTGTTCCACATGCTGCGCAGTTTTTAAGTACACAATTAATAATATTTTCAAAAAAAAGTTTAAAGTTACAATTTATTTCAAGTAATCAAGCAATGGCTTTGAATTATTCTGTAAACCTTATCATGAGAACTCAGTATTAATTTTCTATCAAAACCGTAAGACTCCGAAATTTTATGACACATTAGAAGTAAAAATCACATATAATGAATTTGTACACAATATTCAATATTCTTTTAAATATTTATTGAGTTAGTTTTTGTCCAATCGACCTTTAAATATTTTTTCTTTTTTGTAGATCAAATCAGTATTTAATCTGATTATTTCCATACACAGTGGCGCGGCAAGACCTAAATTTTATGTGGGCAAGACAGATTTCGCGAGGCCCTATTCTATGGAAACCTGAAGCTCTTACTACCAGCTAGTTTTAAAAACTTAAACGTCGATGTTTTTTTTTACACTTAAAGCTTTGGTTTCCTTCAAAAGATATTATAAAGCCTATTTTATAGACAAGTAATTACTGCGTTACGTACTTATCACCAATTAAATATTTGTTACTTTATGTAAAATAGACGAGTACAGGTACCGATGTATTACAAATCAGAAAGAAAACAAAAACAATTAAAAAATGTCACTGTTTTCGGGGCAATCAATATACTTAAACTCTATCTATTTATTCGCTAAATATTATTAAAACATTTAAACACTATTCTTGTCAAAATAGGTTTAATTAATTCTGATTCCCAAAAAGGGTTGATGTCAGGCAGGCAACCGGTCGTAAAAACAAATAGCCAAAACTATTCATAACATGTAAGGCAGACCCTGGTTATAGCTGGGAAATTGCCAGGAAGAAAAATAAGATATATTTTTTAAAATTCTCGCTTTAAAAATTTTTGAGGCGCGAGGCCCCTTGTACCGCGAGGCCGTAGGCGATGGCCCACGTCGCCCACGCCTTACGCCGCCACTGTCCATACAGAATTTCAAATCAATAGCAATTAGAAAATTATGACTGTCTAAAAAAAATTGACAATTACTTTAGAAACCAAGTCATATAAATTAAAGGAAATTAGTTATTCAAAATACTATGTACACTAAGACATGGAAACAGCTAATATGAACCGGCTATAAAACAAAACTACATGCGATCTATTTCCATACAATTATATTCTAACATTTAGCAAGAGCAAGTTCTTCCCGCGACCGTAGCTGATAACATGTTTAATTACTAAGTATAGTAGGTACAATAAACTATTTTGGATTACAAATTTTTGAAACTTAGCTGAGAAAAAATAGTTTTCACCCACTAAGTTGGTAATCTAGCAGACCTGTGGTGTCAAGATTATGGAGCTATAACTTCATCATCTCTTCCAGTGCATCTTAATACGAATTTAGACAAGATCGACAGTGTTTCTTAATTTGATGGTAATAAAGTTTTACAACTTATAAGAATATCTCAACAATAAGTTCATTAATAAAAATATGTCTCAAACTTAAATATAAACAGAACTTTATTAATACTGATAAGCTAACACAAAACTTTGCAAATTAAGCTCATTTTCAACTGGAATAAAAAGTGTTTTAGAACTAGTAATTTATCTGAGGCATTTTTTCCAAAGAAAACATGAAATAAATGGTCTCATTGTATTTTGCACTATGAATATTAGTTAATTTGTTTATGAATCAAATCTTAGATACTTTGATGTCTTTTCTTAAAACATGTTTTAAAATTTATTAGAATATTTTTTCATTGGATCTAATAAACCTCCTAGTATTCTTCAAAATAATGACAAATGCGTAGAGTACAGGGTGTTTTTAAGAATGAAACAAAATTGAACTGTAAACCATTATATTGATTCCACAGTAGCTTAAACTAAGAAATTACAGCCTGCGTCCTCGTCTACCTCCCTTCCTGCGGGTAGAGTCTGATGGCACCGGAGTGACGTCCTCAATGCGGCCAATCTTCATGTTTGAACGAGCCAATGCACGGAGGGCAGACTGTGCTCCGGGGCCTGGCGTCTTAGTCTTGTTGCCACCGGTTGCTCGGAGCTTGATGTGGAGAGCTGTGATTCCAAGAGTCTTGCATTTCTCAGCAACATCCTAAAGAAATAGTTTCACTTTAGTGGACATACTCTACAGTGAATTCTTATAACAGTGGACTATGTAATCTTGTTATTTATCCTATGTAAACAATTATAGTAAGCCAAATAGAACTTGAAATAAGATTTATAGACTTTAATAATATATGATTTAGTAATAAAATAATGTAAATAAAAGTAGGGTTATGTATAGTAGACTTATCAAAATTTCAACTTGTTTTTGTCATGATAACAAATAACGTACCTGTGCGGCCAACATAGCAGCGTAGGGAGAAGCTTCGTCACGATCGGCCTTAACCTTCATGCCTCCAGTGACTCGGGCAATAGTTTCCCGGCCAGACAAGTCGGTAACATGTACGAATGTGTCGTTGAAAGAAGCGAATATATGAGCAACTCCAAAAACGGTCTCCCCAACCAAATGTTGAGGGCCAAGAGTTACCTGCACCTCTTCTTTGGCAACTTTGTTTTTCCTCGGAGCCATGGTTAGCCTGAAAATAACAACACTTCAAAGCACCAAAGTAACCTTAAAAAATCACAGCAATCCGTAAACTTTTGGGGGAAATAATAGTGCACTGACGATAATGAAGGATGTATCTAAACGTTATTTTATGTATTCCATTAATATTTACGAGATTTCACAAACTTTTAAACTTAAAACATTTTTGTACCTTTAGCTTTGAAAGCTGTCAAACACTAGAAAGACAGAAACATTTCCGGATGACTATTGTGTTACCAGTTGTAAGTATTTGTATCTCTATTTAAAATATTATAAGAACCTAATGTACTTGTTAATTCATGCAATTTAATATATTGTAAGTGAAATAATTTACCAAATTATTAACAACGTTTGCAAATATATTTTTTTAATTATTTGAGGGAAAAGTTTGTTAAAAACCAACAATTACCATTTAACAAAAAATAAAAGATTACTCATTCAAGTATAATCATTTTCAAAATAAAATATTTATGTAATAAAACGTATTTGTACATAATACATCACAAAATAGATACACCTTTTGAATGTATAACTATAAAACCTATAAAAAAAAATTATAAATGATTTAGTTAGTATGACTATTATAAAGATTTATATATTATACCATTTCAAGAAATTAAATAATTAATTATAATTTAAACATTGATTGGGCAGAGTGTCAAATCTTTAGTTCCGGAAGTACAACAGACATAAGTCAGTGCACGTCACTCATTGCCAACAGATTGATATTTCTTCGTATGTGAACATTTATGATATCGTCGGTTTTAGCGACGAAACATATTGCTAATAAGTGCGAAACATTGTGATACAACTAAATTTAGTGTTAGATAATCTAGTACAATTTTAATAAGTGAGTATTTCATTTTTATATTTCAGGAATTTCTCTATGAAGTTTTAACTACGCAAATGACGTCTTGTCATTCATATTACTCAATTCATTATCGCAATGCTATGCGATTCGCAATGATCTTTAAAAGGATCTCAACCCAAATTTAAATTGTTTAAAAACTTCAATCAAAGCTGTTGGTGACGAACTTAGTTTAGGTGATATTTTTTATCGTAACTCGCAAGTCATCGTTTTCAAGTGAAGTCCTTGTCTAGTGGAGCTGGGTATAAGTTTATAATTATTTATAATAATCTTTACAGATTCGAAATGTTTATCTGGGATTGGTTCACTGGCGTACTAGGGTTTCTTGGTGAGTTAAATAGCATATTGTTTTTAAATATTGGCTTTTAAGAAGTAAACCAATTAATAGTTTAAAAACTGTAGTTTTGACTTAAAATTACAATTAAATTTGATCTTAATTTATAATCATTTTATTTCAAAAATATCAAATTATTTATATTGATTTATAAACATTGTGTTATCTGTTAGATAAAGTTTATTTTATTGCTTTTATCAGTTTGCTATAAGAAGAGTTATTATGTATCAAGTATGCATTGTTAATAATGTAGCAAACAGTGTTTTTGTCTGGATCATACTCATTTATAATTCTAAAAATACATACATTTGAATATATAATACTACTCTAACAATAAATACTTGAATTAATAATTCTATTTTATATATAGGGTTGTACAAGAAGTCCGGAAAGCTCCTTTTCCTGGGATTGGATAATGCTGGCAAGACAACACTGCTGCATATGTTGAAGGATGATCGACTAGCACAGCATGTCCCAACATTACATCCTAGTAAGTTATATATATAATAAAAATAATATTAATTGAAATATACACATTTGTCTTAGTTCTAAACTAATTAATTATCACACTAATTCTGTTATTAACTTAAATTGTTTCTTATTTTTGTTTCATAAGACACATTTTTGCTTAAACAGACAATACATTAGCAAAGTAATTTCAAATTAATTAGAAGCGAATTGTAATGTAATGTAGTATTGCATACATTTTTTGTGTCGAAATAAAAGTCTTATAGGAATATATTAAAGTTGAATATAAGTTCTCTTGATTTTAAATTACAAAAGCAGTTTATGGGCATTAGATTGTATAATTAACTAACCTTAGATTGCATAAGTAGATTTTGTATGAAGTAAGAAACATAGTTTGTTATATCCTGTATTGTGTTTATTAAATAAATTTTAATAATAAAACAAAAATATTAAGAAATCATGTCAAGGTCAGGTCACCTTGACAAAAATTATTAAATAGAATTTTAAATTTTAATATTGAAGTTTTGTGCTATAAAAATATATTTGATTGATAACATTAGTTTTTGGGTGTCCACTTTATAGTAGATGTGTGGAAAGAATACAGAATGTTTGTACTGTTTAGCTAAATAATGTTCAAATATTTTACATCTATAAATATAAGATTATCTTTGAATTTTTAAGCATAATGGTGTAATATATTATGTAATAATAGATGTTTTAATAATGCAGAATATTTTAAGGTGCTAAAATTGTCACCAAACTGGTTGTAGTCAGCATTCATATTATAAATTTGTAAAACTATTCATTAACAATGTTCTATATTTTAGATATCCATGTGATATTGAACCTTTATTTGTGTTTTTATATATGGAATGAATTTTATGTATGTCAGTGGGGCTTGTTATAACGGTCACATAATTTGCAGCATCAGAAGAGCTGTCGATAGGTAGTATGCGGTTCACGACCTTCGACCTCGGCGGGCATCAGCAGGCGCGGCGTGTGTGGCGCGACTACTTCCCCGCCGTGGACGCGATTGTTTTCCTTGTGGACGCCTGCGACCGAGCGAGGCTGGTCGAGTCCAAGAACGAACTAGATTCCCTCCTCACCGACGAAACCCTCAGCAACTGTCCCGTGCTCATACTGGGGAACAAAATCGACAAACCCGGCGCAGCCAGCGAGGACGAACTGCGCCAGTTCTTTAACCTCTACCAGCAGACCACTGGAAAGGTATGTATATTGTATGGTTATGTGAAGTATGGTGAAGTTTCTTATCCTAATGTATATGAATGTATGTTCCTCAGAATAAAGTGTCGCGGTCGGAGTTGCCGGGGCGGCCGTTGGAGTTGTTCATGTGTTCGGTGCTGAAGCGTCAGGGTTATGGAGAGGGTTTCCGTTGGCTAGCGCAGTACATAGACTGAACGTAGTAGCCCGCTCGGCCGTCTGCCCCCACACACACCGCTTCCTTATATCCCCTCCTTCGTAGCCCTGTTAAGACACTGCTCGGGGCCAACGATACGATCGAGTCTTATCTTTATCCCGTTTATTATGTACTGACAATAATGACATCACATTTTAATGGTTTTATTTAATACAATTGTTCTTATTATATAGAAATGTTTTATTTTAGATGATAGACAGCAAAGTATGGCGGAACCTGTGTGGTTCTGAAACGTGTCTAGTGAAAAAGATTGGGCCCAATAATAGAATATCTAAAGTGTCAGTTGTAATAAACGGTTGCAATTTGTGTGTATGGGGTTGCATTTTTTTTAAACTAGCCTAATTCTCGTCTACTAGTAATGCAAGAATTCGGCTCTTTAACCTTTCCATCCATATTTTTTTTTCGAAATTATTGCACATAAAATAATAGTTGCTATTAATTTAACGAATATATAATATATTTAATCGATATGTACTTACCAAAACAAATCAGAGTACAAAAATAATCATATTGCCATTTGGTTGTGAGCCAGGCGTTACTAGTTATTGACGTACGTTCTATAGCAGTTTTTTAAAATAACTTCGCCTCAAATAGCTTTCATTGTATGTATTATCGTTTAGTATCTCAGGGCAGAATGTTTTAATGAGCGGGTTAGGTGCCGCCATCGTCAGATGCATTGGTAAGTGCTTACGATAGGTTTTATTTAATGCCTACTTCAAAGGCCTTTACTTTTCATGTAAACAATCATACATCATGGTTGAGTTCTGTACACGATCCTCACAGCACAGCTGTCTTCAGTGTAGATTTGTTAAACTTACTCATATACTACTAGATATATAATGTAATTATTTCTTAATTTCAATTGTTTAATCTATAATCTATATCATATATTATTTCATTTCGGTTTGTGAAACCATATTCGATGTCATTGGGTTCTGTATATTTAATATGATTTTGATGCAAGCATATGTATTATCTGAGTTTCAGATTTTTTTAATTCATTATATTTTTTTTGTATTGTCATTGTAGCGGTAGGTATTATACATTTCATTAATTTCCATGTAATCAGAATAGCAATATTAAATTGTTTGGTATATTTATCGAAGAGGTAATTTCATTCCAACATTTAAGTTAACTCATTGTGTTGTATATTTGTAAACGCGACATGTTTATTATATTTTTGTAAAATATTTCCGTCATTTACCTTGGTTGGGTGTATTTGAATGTCATTCAAATACGTGAGAATATTATGAAACGGCTGGTCTAGTATGTTTGTCATTCATATACAAAAAAATACATTATTGTCTACAATATATTAATTTATCCTTTGAATTTTCGTTTTGTGTGCACAATTTATATAATTTATTATTTTTCTGAAGTGTGGAAAATCGAATCAATTTTTATTACTACGACGAGCCGTTTCTCAAACACTGGTTTAAGTCCAAAAACAGTTTGTAATAAAATTTTTATGGCAGAATTTGTTTTTTTATTTATAACTAACCAGTTACTCGTAATTTTTTCAGTGCCCAGTTTAAATGTGTATGATTTTTGAACAGATGATATACAATTAAATAAAAAGTCATGTTATACTTAAAATTTTTAATGAAAGGAAAATAATGTGATAAAAATAATTATAGAATATTTCTAAAAGATATATTTTCACTAGCTCTCGAAAAACTGTCCAGTGAAACAACAGTCAGTTCTCATATAGGATAAATAATAGGGAATGCTTTTAATAAATAAATTGATGGAAAAGCAGTTTCATGTCCTAATTTAACTGCGTATAATGCATTCAACATAAATACATGATTTATAAATTATTCACAGAATTGCAAAAAGTGTATATTATTTACAATCAGTACTGACTTCATATTGCACATTTAAACTTATAATTAATTACACCTCGTCGAAGTTCGCGGATGGCAACCTGGAGTGAAGTAACTTAAACAACTATTCATTTTTATTTTCTCATCAGTGCCATAAAATTTCCAATATAATCCAGTAACAAAAATGTAAAAACTGTTCTAATCCGTGTATATCACTCAAAACTATTCGAGTTTCTTTTTCATTATTCCTCTATATAATACACGCTATATTTCATTTGTGAATCCTCTCTACGCTAAACATAGTTGATCCTTGGTCACTAACTCTTAATTCCGATCTAAACGAGGTGGCCACATTAACACTTTCACTATAAAACTAAACTATAGCAATGGTCGCTTTTATACATTTACTTGTGAAATAAAATCTTTTATTAAAACTATCTAAATATAAATCGCGCCCATAAGTAACGATCGATTCTCGCAGGCTTTGAAAAATCACTATAAAATATTATATTCTTTTTTGCGATCGGTGTTAGGATTACTATAGAGATTCAATTTAAAAAAACACCTCACTGTTAAAAATAAATTATTTGTTTGAGCGCGAAATCATATATTCTACGAACTAGAAACGCGGGCTGTCATATAAAACCGGAGAGGCACGATGCGGCATACGTTACACTAAACAGCTAGTAACACGTGCTTACTAAATGCAGACTCGTCTATCACTCGCTTAACCTAACGTTCCCATTCAACTTATCATAGATTTATTGTACATATATATTCTTTACACGCAGCGGCGATCGACAAATGGAAATAATAAATAATCATTACAGTAACACGTATCGATAGAAACATAATTTTATGCAATCCATTATAAAAATATTAGTTAAATCGACGCCAACAGTGAATATATTTTTGTGTTATAACAAAGTGAGGAAATATATTTATATCCGATAAAACAAAGCGGTGACGAAACATTTATACAATACATTAGAAACGAAATTACATCTACACCTACGTATACTTCCAAAACATTAATATTATGTAAACATTAAAAATTTATAACAATGATCTGTATCGACTATGTACAAAAAGTCTCCTATACCAATACCTAGCATTCTACAGCGCTAATACAAAATTACTGTAAAACAAACTTCGATTGTAAAATTCTGTCGATATTGTCGTATAAGAAGTTAAAATCACACTTCAGCTCTATGTTAGGTTCATTAGCTATTGAATATATCCACTAGTTAAGTTTAAGGTTGTAAGATCACTTTGGTATGTCCAATTAGTTCATAGCCGGGCTCTCAGTTCATCCACTTGCGACAGTTGGGCGCGCCGCACATGCACATGATCTTGTGAGCGTCGTCCTCGATGTCGAACTTGTAGTCATATGCCAGCTGGAAACACACGTAATACTATTAAAAGACACAACATTGATATATGATAATGACAAAGTTAATGGCTGTTTTTAATATCTATACTACCGGGATTAAAAAATAATAATAATTAAACCTGTTTAAATTATACTCAATAAGGTGTTTAAGATATCAAGCAAAGAGACAGGACTGACAGACACGCGGGACTCTTAAGGACTGTTCAAGTTCCTAATAAGGTTTCCGATAGATGTAAATTATTCAAGTAATTAGATCGACAAGAAGAATTACAGTAATTAGAAGGTTCATTAGTTTCTTAGATGTTACTAAAAATTTGTTCAGCCTTAGTTATAATTACTCATAAGTTAGATATGAAGTATTACCGATCGAAATTTAAGTATAATAGAATCAGGTTTCTTTCTAAACAAAAATTAACATGAAGATAGCTGATATCTTTAATAAAATAAGTATTTCTCAAGCCGACCTCCTCCCCGCGCGCGATGCGTCTCTTAGCGAAGATGATGATTCTCAGATGTCGGTCCACCTCCACTGTCTCTGCCACACAGTTGGGTTGACACGAGTGGTTGATGTACCGCGCCAGTCCACCGCACAGGGTCGCGTCCACCACGCGCCGCTCGTCCAGCCGGAACATGTAGATACCGCGGTTCTACAACACACGGCCCTCTTTAACACTTCTATTATAATAAACAAACATCTCTACTGAACTCGACTAACCTTAGCCTCGTATTTCTTCTCCCGGATCTCGGAGAGTTCTGACCGTATGATCTCTCCTATGTACTCTATCACCATCGTGTGTTTCTCGAGATCTCTGGCTGCGTAGAGACCTAGGCCTTGTATCTTGGATCTGCAACCGTAAATATTTGATCAGAAATTGAATGTGAAGGAGGGTTAAGTTAAGGAGCATCTCGGTTTGTAATCGGTACCTGGCCAGGTAGACGTTGTTCCTCCACTCGAGCTTCATCTTCTTGTACTGGCTGCTCTTGGTGTGCACGAACTGTTTAGAGTAGGGGCAGGCGGGGTGCGTCTGGTGTGCGGGGTCGTGTGGAGTGAGCGAGGTGGGTTGCGGCGTGGGTACGGGCGGCGCGGGCAGTAGGGAGCGGGTCGCGCGTCTCCACGAGCGGGCACAGCGCGGCTCCCCACGTGCACACCCCGACGGGTTGACGGCCAGCCCGCCCTCCAACAGCGCCGAGCGACCGAACTTGAACCGGTAGTCCGTCAACGTTTCGATACCTGGCAAACTTTCTAGTACCCTAACGACCGCGGGTTCCGTGAGTCCGAATAGATCTTCCCCGGTCACGTAGTTGGGCCACAGTTTCAAGACGCCCTCCTCGCCCGCTTCCTTCCGTCCGTCTCTTAGAGCGGCGACGGCATCCAAAACCTATGAAGAAGATACGAATAATGATCGATTAAGTTAGAATTATTTTATAATATATATGTATGTTAGGGTAGAGTGTCGGTATGTACTCACGGCAGCCCAGGCGGCGCGCGGTGTGGGCGCGCTCATCTCGTGTCTGGACTCGTCTTGTACCCGCACGTGGAACCTCGGCCGGCCGTCGTCCTCGGAGATCCAACACACGTAGCGACAGCGACTGTTCGCGCGACGCATCGACCAGTAGAAACGAACCTGATTCACGAAAAAACAAGTGTGGTCAGATCAAAAATATTTAGTTGTATGATATAATGTATATATCTTATAAAACTGTTAATTTAAATTCTTTTTAATAATATAATTGATCCTAAGAAATCAATCTTGTGATAATTACTAATGTTTAATATATTTAGTACATGCTGTGATTACCAATAAAAAGGAATACAATTATCAAGTGTGTTCAATTGTTAACTTTATAATATTTGTAATACTGTTGTCATTTCTGTTGGTGATCCAAAAAAATAAATAAATCTTTATTAGAATCAAATCTGTTGTTTTAAGAAAACGACAAACATATAATGAATTATTTTCTAAATCTTTCAATTTAATTCCAAATGACGTGTTTTTTTTAAGTAAAAACAAGAGTATATCATACGATTTTGTAGCCGATGGGGTAGATGTAATTTGGCGTATGGAAGGCTGCGAGTTGATGTGAGAGGAGATGTCCAGGACTGAGGAAGATGAGTCCTCCCACACGGATGAGGTGGTTGGTGTCGGAGTGAAGCATCACGGACGCCACCTGGCGCTGCTCGTCACGACACACGTACACCCGCCGACCCACACTCAGAGTCGTTAGTTCATTGTCTTTTTCGTTCTGTGAATGGTACGGTTAGGTTAGTTAACTTAGAATATAATTTGTATATTTTCTTAATCGAAATGGCATCAAACATTTTCTGGGCTGATATATAATTAATTATAGACACTTGCTCTAGTCGAAGGGTGCAATTGCCAATAAATTAATAATTTTAATGTGTTATTATTATTTTAAAACATTTATTTATTTTATTAAATGACACAAAAATTTTAGGTAATTAAAATAATCTAATATTGCTTAACGTCCTAAACTCCAGCCAAATTCGATGTGGAATGTTTAATAATAAAGCGTTGCTTAGCAACCAACGTCAGGCAGTTGCTCAAAACATTTTTAGAAATATGTACAACAATTATTTTTGATGTTAATTAAAATTAAATTTATAATAAATATTAAAATATTTAAGACAAAGGACTAAGCGCATTCTTGGTTATAATTATAATACTTATGATCATCTGGAATAATGTACATCTCAAAAATACTACCTTAAATTTAAAATGATATCAGAAATCACCTCGTAGTTATATAATTCGCTTTATTAACTTTATCTATCGCCTCCCAAACGACAGGACTTATTTAGATTAAATTTTGTGTATATTTGCCAATTGCATAAAAAACACTCCAAATGTTACAAGCCTGCGATTTCTTTACGTCAGTATTAAAATATAGAGTTGCTAGTTTTGTAGTAATATTATAGTGGCAATTAAAGATTTTTAAACTTTTATTTTAAGCTAATATTCATATGAATTATGTATTGACCAGCTAAATAAAATTTTTAGATTCTATATTAAATTAAAATTTTCGTGTTTAAACAGGAAATTGTGTTATAATGGGTATAGTTGTGATTATAATAATTATTATTTTTTATTAAGAGTGTATCAACCCTAATTATGATGACTCATGGTTTGTTTACTAGAATTCCAGATCGAATGTGGCTGGGGTGTAGACATTGTTTTGAATAGAATTATTGATTGACTTATAAACTAGTAGCAATTTTATAAAAAGATACTGTGATATTTACCTTAGGGGCGTGAGATGCGCAGAAGGCGGTTTTATTCTTGTAGAAGACACAATTATCTTTGACAGCACACCCCAAGTGGTAGACACTTCCGCAGCGGACTTTAAAGCAGCGCACGGTAGCTCCTAGACGGCGGCACACCGCACACGTAGCGTTCGACCCGGCCACCAGAGCCGTGTCCACGTTCATTAAGGCTCCACTGACTGTCTCATACACGCCCTCCGACCACAGAGCACAGTTCAAGTGAACCCATCTGTCGACGTCACAGTTGAGCAGCCTCGACACCCCGTCCGCCACTCCGTCTCCTTGTATCCCACATAGTTCACATTTCCGAGTGTCTTCATTGGTGACGGGCATAATGGCCACTCCCGTCCTGAACACTAGCTCGGTGAGCTCACGATCCGTAGGTCGTTTATATTTGATGGGTGGTCCGATGCAGCCTGGTGACCATGTCTTGTACCGAATCCCTTTGAACTTCTCCGTCTCGACGCTTTGATTACTCTTATCGTCCTGTTCGATACTCTTCAAGTCTTCATTCAGAGCGCTGACGTCATCACCGACCTCTTTCATCAATTCGTCGTTATCTAAGGAGTCTATGAAAGACAAATCCATTTTTTCGTCTTTGATGTCTGGTTTAATATCCAAGTCGTCAGTTTCCATGCTCTCAGTGGATGCTGTGTCGAAATCGTCTCTGTCTTTGGAAAGATTAGTTTCGACATCTGATTTATTATCTTCTTTAACATTTGCAATTTTAGTTTTGCCGTCCAATATAATATTAGTTGGTCGCCAGGCAAACCGTTCATAACACTGTGTACTACAGAAGTATAGCTCTGAATCACTATCACACAGAATTTCTTCAGCATTTCCTTTGTTTGCTGCTAATAGAGGAAACTCTGATGCCTTCGCTCTCACCACTGAATCTAAGATAACAACGTCACAATGGCGACAGAATTTGGCAGCTCCGTTTAATATACTTTGTATATCAATAGGCGTTCCTTCTTTGCCATCTTTGCCTTTAGATCTATATAGACCCAGCTTGTGTGATGGTGGGGTAGCCGTGCGTTCGATGATTTGATACGATGTAGGTGGAGGGATATGCAATATTCCGGCCAGTTCTTTCAATACACCTAATATATCTTCGGCAGCGCCAGATGTAAGAGTGAGAGTTACTGTAACGTTTTCATTACTCTCAGAACTACTAGGAGAGTCGTCGCCTTTCGTCTTGAGAGGAGCATCTGAATCCAAACACTTGAGTGATTTCTGATTATCTTCTTCGTCTTTCAACTGATACAGTGAACAAGGTTTAACTCTAATTGGAATGGGAGCTATGAGAGGTATGATGGGGGAAACTTTTCCGGATGGAGATGCTTCTTCGTCTTCATCTTCATCATCATCATCGATAGGTTTAAGGAAGGGAAAACTATCGTCAAGCTCAATTTCATAACCTTCAGGACTTGAACAACTAACAATAGTATCAGGTGTTTCCGTATCTCTTTCTTTACAAATAAAATCAAGTTTCTTATCCTCTGGATCTTCATCAAATACAATGGGTTGAAATTCTTGGTCATAAAATCCTCTTTGAGTAGAAGCGGTAGATTTCTCTGGTAAGGGTTCTTCATCGCCAAATGGTTTAGTATTGTAATAATCAGCTACATTAGGGATTTTAGCATTACCGAACTCCCCTAATAAGTCACCCTTTAGAATATCATAGTCCTGATTTTTGAGTTTAGTTAAATCACCAGAACCAAATAATGGACAAACAGCAAAATTAGTAGTGAGTGAGGGTTCTTGAATTTGCATAGGCGGTAGTAGTCTCAATTGCGCCATTAAATTATCTATAAACGTATCATAGTCCTCTTCATACCTTGAACCCTTACGAGGTCTCTTTTTAGCATTGATAGAGCTCATGTTATTCTCAGCAGCAGCTTTCATGTTCAATTGCATTTGTTTACGTTTCTTTTGTTGGTATTCTCGACGCTTACGTTTCTTAGCCTCAGAAGGCGTTTCCGACGGGTTTATATCTGATGAGTGTTCCATACTAATGCTTTCAGGATATTCTTCTTTCATCGGTTGTTCTAGTTTTCCTTGATCTGAAGCTGTTGATACACCAGAGGTCGCTGATTGCTGGGAGCTTTCATCTAGCAATTCTTTCTTTACATCTAAGGGAGTAAATGGACGATGTACGGGACTTTGTTGCGGTGGGGCGACTTCCTTCTTTATAGGTTGGTGTTGGTTATCTATACTCATCGGATACATTGGTAGAGTTTTCATTGTTGGAGAGCACTCTGGCAGTGGCGTGGTTTCCTCCTTATTCATTATTTTCATCGGTTGCTTTCTTACGTCCATTAAAGATTGTGTTGACGTCTGTATGAGAGGAGATAATGTAGATGTAGACATAGTTGACTGCATCGAACGACTTGCGAAATGGGAACTCACAGATGTTATGTGTCGAGGTGAGTTTTTAGGTATATCGACCTCTTGTGAGAGGGAAAGCGTGGGGGGTGGTATCGATGGTCTAGCTAGTTGTGCTTCTAACGAAGGAATAGTACCTAGCGCCGGCGCCGTTCTTTGGATTGTCATTGTTCTTTGAGGAACTACACTTGACGAAGTAGTAGTAGTTTGTAGTAATTGTTTCAGTAACACATTCTGGGACTCATCGTTTCTTTGATTAACTACGTTTTGCTGTATTATTTTATTAACAGAACTTTCAGGCGTGGTCGTTGGCACATTACTGGACTCTTCAGTTTCCATTGGTTCAGATTTAACCGTCACCGATTCAACACTGTGTCGTTTTGTAGGTTGAATGTGACCGACGATCACTTCAGTCTTTGGTTCATCTGTCGATTTTGATCGTTTTAATGGTGACGTCAGTTGTGTGTGTAACAGTTTCGAAGATGTTATAAAGTTAATACTGCCCTGTGAAACTTTAGTTTGCATTTGATTCATTCCCGGACTGACGATACTATGTGTACGTACAGTGACATTGGGTGCTGGTTCTTTGTTACCAATTATTGTCCTCGAAGTCATGACTAAGGCAGGCGGTTGACTAGAACTTATACTTTGTGGATTGAACTGTAAACTACTTGTATTTATTTGTCTCGTCGGCTGTAATAAAGTATGGCCTAGAATACTCGAAGGTAACGTTTGTGACTTTTGAAAATTGCTTACACTAGTTGTAATAATATTGTTTCCGTGCATAAGTGAAGTAGGTACTGATGAACTACTATGTATTTTAGATAGAGCTGGCATTTGTAATATTTGCGTGGACATGGATGTCGTTTGCGGTTCATCATTTACAGTATACGATTGATTATTTATTAGAGGAGATTGTGCTGGAGACTTCATAAGATTTTGATTCGAAATGCCAACTGGTGAACTAATAGGTGAAACTGTTGGAGATTTTCGAGCTTGTCCAACAGAAGACAACGCATTGACCCTTGATCCTATTACTTGTGCAGCACTCATTGGTACTGGCTCAGAACAAGAAGTAGAAGTTTGAGGTTTTTCCATTCTCTGTATCGGGGATGGTCTTGAAGTAGTTACTTCAACTTTAGATGAAGGAAGCAAATTTTCAAAATTGACTTGCGTTGGAGTAGTAGGTTCACTAGATTTCCTCATAACTGTCTGTGTTTCAGCTTTGGAAGTGTTAGTGTTGAGCGAAGACATAATAGTTCGCAGCTGTTGTGATACATTGGCCATGTTAGACGTTAATTCGGCTGGTTGAGATAAAGGAGACAGTTGTGGTACTGTAGCCGACTGAAGATTGAGCCTTTCAACTTCCCTTGGTGGAAAAGAGGATTGTTCTTGTTCTTTAACTTCTTGTTTTGACACAACATTACGATTCTTAGCCTGCGGAACATTACTCGGAGTAGGCGCTGAGCTGGTTTTAGGGTTAGATTGTTTCATCGCGAATTTTTTTGCTTCATCTGTTATATTTTCTATCAAACAGAGCATTTCTTCAAAAGATTCGACATGTTTTTGGTTACCTTCAACCGTTTCCGAATGTTCACGCATAGTAATGTCGTTCAAATATCGTTCTTGCGACGGCGTCGGAGATGGTATCGAAATCTGAACTGAATCTTGTGTTAAATCAGAGGTAATTTGCATGTTAGAGTCTATGACCATTTCTTTGGTTTGATTAGCAATGGCTTTAATTGTTTTTACCACATTTTCTTCAGGTTTTTTATCAGTAGCAGGCGGATTTAGAATACTTTGATCTTGTATTGTCTTATTATATGATAGTAGAAGGTGACTTTGGAGGTTATCTTCAGGCTTATCTTCATCGTCACCTTCCATTATATTATCAGGTATTTTTTCGGGTATGGGGTCGGGACTTTTAATATCTGCTTTGCCAAGGAGAAGTGGGGTTCTGTCGGAGAGACAAATAGTATGTGGAAGTTCAGTTTGTTTACTTATTTCAGACTCTATATCGATGTCTTTATTTGACTCCTTTAAAATGTTAGACTTTTGCTCTGTCTGTGCGTGATCTTGTGACGAAATCGACATTATATGTCGTGATGAAGTAGGGTTTTGCATTTCTAAATTACTTTCCGTAGATACAGTACTATCAGGTGAAGCGACATCATCTTGGAAAATTTTGGCTGGTAATGTTGCGTCGTGAGTCACCGAAAGACTTGACAATTTTGTGTTAGACAATGATAAAGCCATTGGTTTCTCTATAGTTTTTACTATTTTTTGTTTAACTTGATGTTGCGTCAGTAAAGGTACTGGAACTCTCGTGGCACCAGCAACTGTGTTAGATGTAGCCAACGTTATAACCGGGTTAACCGTTGCATTTTTTACATTTGAAGATATTACACTTATAACCGAGCTTATTGGCTTTGATAGAGAGGATGACATATTTACTGTCATTGGTGAATTACTTATATTCAAGGGAACTTTTTTGATTTGTGATTTTGCCATCCCGCTAGCATGACCGGTGACATTAGCGATTGGGACAGAAAGACTTTTTAATACTGGAACGGATATAGTGTGATTAGCGATAGAAACGGACGCAACCGTAGCTTGAGAGACCTCATTTAAAATTTTTGCGTTAGAGTGTGGTGAAATCACTGTAGCACTTAATACCGGTAGGCGCGTTAATGCAGAGCTTTGAGAGGGATTTAGTAATTTATATTGTTGCATATTAGATGACGGCTGCTTTGCTGGTGCTAGACTTATTACTGCAACAGTCTTAGTCGTTGTTTCTGTCCTAGTAATAGGCTTCTCTTGAGAAACTTCTTCCTCCACCTCGTCCTCCGGTTTCCCGCTGTCGATAAGTTCTTCGAAATCTTCTTCTGTGGCTATTCGTTCCTCTGGAGAGATAGCACCGGGCTCGACTACAACAATGTCATCATCATCCAAATTCTCGACAAATTCTTGAAAATCGTCATCATCATCGTCTTTAGAAAAAGTCATGCCTGCTGCGTCGTCCGAAGTAGTAGATGCATAGAGAACGTATTGCCTGGTGTCCGTCGTGTCTCCGGCATCCTCCGAGCGGTCGCCACAAGGCGCCGTCTTACCCGCGAATCTTGGTCTGGGTGGTGTTCGGCGTTTAAGAATGGATACTTTGTTTATATGGGTCGCGCGTCGCCTATCGTCGTCCTTGTTAGGCCAGACGGGTGCTCCGCCAAACAGGCCGGGCTTAAAGTATCTATAACCGGGGGGAATTGGAGCTACATGGTGGTGGTGTCCGCCGCCGTGGTCGTGATGAGGCGCAGGAGACGCGGCTGGTGACGCAGACGGTGTGGGCGTGCGTGCCACGTGCGGCGAACGAGATAACGATGGAGATGATGGCGCTCCTCCCATAGGGCTGTACTGCTGACGCTGAAGCAGTTGTTGACGCTGAAACGGTCATCACTCGTTATATATTTTATTTAAGGAATGAAACGGTGATCACTCGTTATATATTTTATTTAAGAGCTGTACTTATAGTTATGTTTATTTTTAATAGTTATGTTTATTTTTAATAGTCTAATTTATTTTTAATAGTTATGTACTCTGGAAGTTCTCCAGATAGTCCCTCTTATAGATTATTTACAGAAAATTTACATTAAGCTGCTAAAACTATTAAAAAAAAAATTGAAAGAGCATTTTCCAAACGATATCGAGTGTCATTTCATTAAAAGAGACATGATTATTTTATCCAAAAATGGTACTGCAAGTAAGAAATTTATAGTTTTTTCTTCACCATCGGAAAATAGAGATTTCAACAAAAAGAAAACACACCTAATTTTTGAATAAAACTGATATTTTGACGGGTGATTTTTCGATTGAAAATGAGGCTGATTTTTCGATATTTATTCAAAATAAGTTGAATAAAATAAATATTTCTAATCAAATAAATTACAATGTACTTGGAACATTAAAAGGTAAGTTTTCACCAAATTGCGTGACAAAATATTGTTTCTTGTAAAAGATAAAAATAAAAAAACAAAAACTTGGTTTTTCGAATATTGCACATAAAATTTGAGGTTATGTGAAAAAAATGTTAGTATAAAAGTTTTAGGTCTTTTTATTACCTACAACTTTGCCATATAATTTTTATCCGTAGGACTTTGTTTTGTCGGAAATCGAAAACCCATTTTTTACCCTTAAATAATCACCCCGATACCCTTCCCGACCTCAGATCGCCCGTAAATTATTTTTCCTTTAATTTTTAATATTCTCCTCCTTTTCTAATGGGTTTCATTCTACTATAATTTATTTTCATTTTTCATTAATTTTGAAGGCTTCTGCACTGGCCTATTAAGCTAATATTACAAGAAAGAATGTTTAATGAATGTGGTTATTATCAAATTTTAAAAATATAATTATTTTATAAGTTATAAACTCATTTCAATTTAGTATTTTGTTCAAAAAACTAAAGGAGGAATACTATTTCTGAAAAATATGATACTTGACAAAGACTCCTCTCTGCCTGGTGTTTAAGTTAATTTGATTGACTCAAAGTACGTCGAATACCCGAGTGGTATAAAACCACAGGGGTTTATAATGTATCCTTGAAAAAAATATTTGTTAATTTATAAATAATAAATATTTCTAGTAAATTTTTTATTTTATAAATAATCTGGTCTCACAAAGACATCATTTCATCTTTAATGCATTTGAGAAAATTTTCAGTGAAATAGGGTCACTTCGTCGAACACTTTCTTGCTGCTCGTGGCCTTCTTATTGTATTCATTTTATGTTTACTTTTATTGATATCTTTTTATTACCTACAACTTTGCTATATAACATTTTTTCGTAGGACTCTTAGTTTTTCCGGAAATCAAGAAAACCCATTTTTTACCCTTAAATACCCATCCCCATACCCTTCCCGACCTCAGATCGCCCGTAAATTATTTTTCCTTTAATTTTTATAATATTCCCCTCCTTTTCTAATGAGCTTCATTCTACTATAATTTAATTATGTTTTAAAAGCTATCGGCACTGGTCTATTATTGATATTTCTCGGGTTCTTGTTATATGCTTACCGTCATTTCATTGGCATTATTTCCTGGTGATGGAAGAGGTTGCGGACTTCCTAGTGGTGATGTTTGTTGACGATTAACAAAAGGCACTCCTACTCTCATACCTTGAAGAAAATATTTTTTAAGCTATTTTGTTTAACAGTTAAAATGTATTTGATTATAAAGTTACAAGTGCAGAAATGGTACCTTGCTGGTGATGAGGTGGTCTTGCAAAACGGGTCGGTAGTGGAGAGCAACCCGATGTTGGGCGGGGAAATCTGCCCGACGTGTAGTCAGCCTATGAAAGGTAAAAACATTGTATAAATGAAAATACTAAAAAAACATATCAATATAAAAACTAAGATGTAGCAACCATGTCTTACGTTTTGCATTTGGGGAGAGTGAGAAGCAACTGGACTTTGAATTTGCGATTGTTGATAAATCTAGAACAATATATTATGACTAATGTTAATAAACTATTTTGAAAATAATATTAATAAGAATCAGCATTAACCAACCTGTGGACTACGACTAGGAGTTGGCAATTGAGGACTCGTCCTTTGAGCTTGCAGTTGCTGCAAGAAATGCTGGGGAGACATCGAGGATTGCATCGGCGACTGTTGTGTGTGCATTGGTGACTGTTGCATATGCATCGGTGATTGTTGGGAATGCATTGGACTCTGCTGAGGATGCATCGAAGTTTGTTGTGGATGCATTGGACTCTGTTGTGAGTGCATCGGACTCTGCTGCGGATGCATGGGACTCTGCTGCGGGTGCATAGGACTTTGTTGGGGATGAATAGGGCTTTGCTGAGGATGCATCGGAGAATGTTGCGTAGTCATTTGATTCTGAGAATGCATGGGTGACTGTTGGTGTATCGGAGATTGCTGAGGGTGCATAGGGCTTTGTTGAGGATGCATCGGGCTTTGCTGTGGGAGCATCGGACTCTGTTGTGGATGCATCGGACTCTGCTGAGTCATATTAGAATTCTGCTGCACATGCATCGGCGACTGCTGCGAGTGGAGAGGCGATTGGGTCGAAGGATGCAAGGGCGACTGTGACGTGTGGTGAAGCGGCGACTGTTGAGAGTGCAGTGGAGACTGCATCGGCGACTGCATGGGATGCAGGGGGGATTGCGGCGCGAGCGAGTGGTGAGGAGACTGCGAGTGAGGTGACTGTACGTGAAGGGGCGACATCGCTGGACGGGCTGGTGTTCTGGGGGCGGGCCCACCAGCAGGACCTCGCACGCCACCGAGCTGCTGCTGGCTGAATTGGACGATGCCTCCCACCGACTGCGGCCTATCCTGTACACCGGACAGCTGCCGGACTAGTTGCTGCTGCGGCGCCCCCGCCTGCTCGATCACAAGCGTCCGACCACCTTGTAGGATCCTCCCTTGTGTATTCATAGGCGAGGTGACGAGGCCGATTCTTTGCTGCGACATCGGTTGTCCGTCAGAGCCGAGAACCGTTTGCTGTGTTCGTATCAACGTTTGCTGTTGTATTTGAGAACCTTGAAGACCTATTTGCATAGTACGATTGATTGTCTGTTGTTGCATTTGTTGATTTTGTGTTATGTTTTGATTTTGGGCAAAGACTGTTTGACTTCCGATTTGTGATTGGTTTATAATGGTCTGTTGGGCTAGCTGTGGATTTGTTTGACGTTGTTTTGTTTCGTACTCCTGCAAAATTTATTATGAAATATATAGCATATAAAAATCATCAGAGACATACATATGTGCATGTATGTTTTAAAAGTACCTGTATTAGCATACTATGCTGTCTAGCTTGTTTTCTAGCAGCTTCTAAATGTTTCTGAAGCGCCTGCTGCTCTGTCGAAACCCGTTGGAGTTCAGCAGCATCGTTAGGCATTAACTCATTTCCGGATTTTCTTAATTGGCGCTGCTTACTATTCAGCGACTGAAAATAGAACATTAACAGTGTAGGGAATAAAAGACAAAGAGTATATCTACAACCCCCCGTTAGTACACATTGACATTCGGTTAACACAGGTGCCAACACCCCCGACGGAAACCTGCAAAAGAAGTGTGACTTTCGACCGGAGGACGCAAACACGCGACTACAAAGCGCACGAACACAGAAGCACTCTACTGGACACTCACCTTGCGAATCTTGCGCAACTTCTGCACTTCCTGCTCATAGTAGCGCAGCTGGTCGGCCGCGAAGGTGTTGTACTGCTTGAGCCACTGCTCGTACACGAGGCGAGCGTGGTGATCGGCGTCGGAGAGCGCTCGGTCTGGAGGCGTGGGAGGTTGTGGTGGGGCGGAGCCAGCGAACAGTGGCACAGTGGGGGCGGCGGCGGCGGCGGGGGGCGCGGGGGGCGCCGGGCCGGGCCCCGCCGCTCCCCAGTCGCCCCCCTCCCGCTCCTGCTCGCGCTTCTCCTGCTCCAACAGCTCCTCCAGAAGCAACGGTTGCTCCTGGTTTACGTTCTGACGGTTAAATGTCTGTTTTCACATCGCTCCTCGACGCTCGCGCACCGTCGACTCACTCATCGTCGGTCGCGATCCGTTCCGCGGCTCGGTATCTCGGTCCGCACGATTCGATTCGGTTCGTTGAGGGAGCGATGCATTATTTAATTTATTCTATTACATTGTCCGATATAACTGCTATTGTTAAAAAAATAAAGAACGATCGAACGTCTTAAAATTCTCTACAAGCTCGTTTTCTAAAAAATATCAAGTAATGCAGAATTTGCTTTTACATTCTTAAGAAAAGGGTGCAGTGTTTTCGCCTTATTGATCTAGTACTACTTAAGGTGATAAGAATTGCATAAAAATTTCTATAGCAAAATAATAATAAGGCTGTGTTCAATTGTGTGGCTACCGATTGAAAAGACAAGTCAGTATACAATAATAAATTATTTTTAATATAACAATATTAAATTATATGGCCTAAATAGATATTCAAAGAAATTAATTAAATAATAAAAATAAGGAATATATTACTTAACTAGACATATATTTAAAAAATCATTCCTTTTTCAATGTTTAATTTTAGAACTTAATTTTTACAGTATAAACGATCACAATAGCCAAAGTCTGATGAAATCCATCACCGAGCGAATAAAAAAAGCAAATTTTGACGAATCCTACCTGCGACCTGATACATTTGTGGTAATATAAAATTATAAGGTTAATATCTTAGTGGTTAGTGTATTGTTAGAGGAAATGCTGAAAAGAAATTAGAAGTTAATCAGTACGCATGCGTGCTACGAGCAAGCAAATAAGCTCTAACTACGAGGTGATTAGTAGTGACAAGGCCCTAGAGGTGGAACATTCGCTCTGTAGGAATCATCTGGTTTATACAGGGAGCAGTCAAGAAATAATGTTGTGTTGCTGGAAGTACGGAAACACGTAGAGGGAAAAGGAAGGTTTCACTTTAAATATAGAGTTACTTCCATTAAACGAAGCAAAAGTCTGTAGAGTCCATCAATCGATACAAAATTGCAATTCATTCATGCAAAATGTGATTATTATATCTATTATTCACCCAAAAAATATTGTTCCACTAATTTTGTATATACTACATTCGTATATTTTAGTTAGGACTGTGTTCTCTAGAGTGCAGGGTCTAGGGAATGTTCTAGAACACCAAATCAACATTCTAATACGTGATCGTAGAAGATAATAGGTATCACAGAGAAGTTTAAGTAGTCTTAGACTATTTAGAATGGGAAGCCATTTAGAAAGTTGAGGGTACTTCTAAGGTCGGAAATGTTCTGCGATTGTGTCTAAGGGTAGGCAAGGTGTCGGGAGGGGGGGTTGCAGCAGGGTGGTACCTGCAGCAGCAGCGGGCGGCGGTGCAGCCAGTCGCCCCACGCGTCCGCGTCAAAGGGCGCCTGCCGGACAACCAATCACCGACATGCAACAACACGCCTGTATCGACTATCATCCTCCGCTACCACGACGCCCCTTTCACTCACACTACTTTATACGAATGTTTTTTGAAAGGGGAGCCAGCGTACGGTATACCCATGCAATATTAGTTTCTGAAGCTTTGCATGATTCATGAGCGTTTCGGCTCGGTAATAAACGTTAATCCTTCACCGATCAATGAATTAATATTGCTGGATACGTTACGTCCGAACATGTAACATTATACTGCGATGCGGTCACATTATAAGCAGAGTAACAAATATTAATGGATCATATTTATTAAATCTTTATAAAGATCCTAAATAAATATGAACCGTCGCCTTGTAGCATACATTTAAAGCTTTAAAATCGGCGTCCCTTTATGGGGGAGCACAACGAAATACCATAACAATTAGATTCAAAAAAATATTATGACATGCACAAAAAATCGAATTTTAATTTTTCATAACAGAGTTTAATACAATTACTATATCTGCACTTATATGCATTATTAGTATTATGGATATTATATTTGTATATAAACGCCTCTGATTAACCTTCTAAGTTTGATGTTATCAAAGATAATTTTACTGTAATTAATACACGTTATTCATTTCAATAATTTCTGTTCATTGGTATGTATCATTTCATGAGTATAAAGTCAATATCTTAGAAGGTGTAGAGGTATGTGTATAGTGTCCGTACCTGTTGTAGCTGCGGGTAGGGTGGCGGCGGCGGAGCGCGCAGGCCGGGATAGGGCGGCGGGGGAGCGCTGCGAGCGGCACCTGCTGGGAGGACTGTACCATGTATTCATTTGTATTACCGACAATATTCGGTAGTAATAACTATCGAAAGACATAGAACTAACACATCCCTTTTTGTATTTGACGTATTACGATGAATCCTTTGTATACCTTTATTTCTTCTCATTATATCTTTTCCTATTTATAGGTAAGAGTCAGTTTCTTAAGCTTGAGTTATGAACCAAAGCCTAAGGTGTTGACATTTCTACATTGTGACGGTATATAGTGTATACATCTTTATATATATAAAAATTTCGTGTCACGTGTTTGTCCGCGATGGACTCCTAAACTACTAAACCGATTTGATTTGCATTCCGTGTGCATTTTAATCCAACTTGAAAGATAGGATAGCTTACATCTTAATTTATAGTCACAATATAATTTTATTGCAAATTTTTTTGTTCATTAAAGAAAATTAGGTGTCATTATTACAATTATCTGTTGACTGAGTTAAGTATTCAATAGATGGCGCCATGTTAAAAATACAAACGTCATATATGAGCAACTATTTAATAATAGCATAACCACCACGTGTTTCTGCTAAGGTATAAATTAAATTTATTTATTAAAAAAAAAGTAACAAATATCTTTTGATTATATGGCGATACGAAGTTCGCCGGGTGCTCTAGTATATTTTCAATGTTAATTATTACGTTTCTTTTTATAAAATTCTACATATTTCTATTTAATACACGAACCAGCAACAGGCGTGTCCTGACGCAGCGGCGGTGGCGCATGAGGACGAGCGGCGTTCACCATACCACGAGCGGCTGTTGATTGATATACAACATACATCTTTTTAATAATATTATCACATTAACGTCTATCTCCACAACAAAATATAATATATTGCACTATTAATTACATATTCGTCGGGGATAGTGTTAATTCGTGTACCTACTATTGGATAATTCCTCGTTTAACTCTAAAATAAATTAAATACAAAATAATTACTAATTGTGAAAAAATAACTTGATAAGTCGTTAATATAGAAAATATTTCAGCTCAGACTTTCTTCTAATAATTAATCTGCTTCCAATGTAGATACGAGGAATTATCCAATGGTAGTTATTCGGAATTGCATTATCCCCACGATATATTTATATATATAATTCTTCTGTGAGTGTGTATGTCACTGAACTTCTTTCAAACGACTTGACCGATTTTGATGAAATTTTTTGTGTGTGTTCAAGGGGATCTGGGAATGGTTTAGATTCACAATTTTGTCCGCTGGACAATGTTTTTTTTATTAATTTTTTATTTATTAGTAGTTGTTGATACGTTTTTTTTTTACATTAGATTTGACAACTAACTAACACATATGTCAATCGTACTGTCTCACTTCAAAACACGGAGATTTATGGCTTTAATAGGTGAACACCAAAAATATAAATAAAAAAAACGCAACAGATATTTCTTGATTATAGGGCGATACGAAGTTCGCCGGGTCTTCTAGTGTCATATATATATACCTGAATGTGGTAGTACAGCGAGCGCCACAGATCGATCATGTCTTACGACCCCCACAGCCCCGTCAGCCCCCAATAGCCTAGTCCCGGGGGCTATGGCGCGCCCCGCGGCCAGGGCTGCTTGTACTTGAGCCGTCATAGCGTTCACGATACTTTGAGTACTCGCACTCACACCGCCCTGGAAGGTGGGAAATATATCACTTAGATTCATTATACTCATGATAAGTCAGTCATGGTCTAGTGGTTAAAAGCATGAGGGCTCGGGTTTTTTTTTTATTTATTTATTTATTACACCATGAACTCTAGGGTCCATGCCCTTTTTAGACTACAAAATTTAATTTTACAAAATATTTCTTAAAAATTTTCTCTCAGTTATTTATAATAAATTTACATATTGTTACAACTTAGGGCTGTATTAGACATATTTATGTTGATTACAAAGATTAAATATTAAGTTGAATATTAGTTCTGTGATCGAGCATGAGGACTCAGGTTCGATCCTGGCAAGTACCAATGTGATTTTACCAAGTCATATGTACTTTCTAAGAGTATTTAGACATCACTGATTAATGATTCCCAAGTGGGTTGATGTCAGGCAAGCGGTTGGTAGTAAAAACAATTAGTCAAAACTATTCACAACATACAAGGCAGATCCAGGCTAAAAGCTGGGAAATTGCCAGGAAGAAGAAAATTCCTTATACTAATGATACTGGTGGAAAAGACATAAATTGTCTGTATATATAGAATATTATCGTCAAACGGTTTGAGTTATAAGAAAAGATTGAATAAGAATGTCATTTAAACTTTTTTTTGTATGTAATGATACTGAAGGTGGCACTTGGTTTAAATATATTTCGATAACGTGTTGTAAAAAGATATGATGCTTGTATAAAAAATTTAAATTTACTATATAGATTAATACATATATTTTAATATTATTCCTGATATATATGTAATTAATATTGAAATTTTTATATTTGAGTATATATATTACCTGTGAGAACTGCACGTGTTGATTAACAAACTGTCCCTGCGGCCGTTGTTGAGTGGTTGCGGGCGGGCCGGCGCGGACATTGGGAACCTGCTTTGCAATATAATGTTAAGCCCTTACACCATACAATAAAATAATTAAAAGAAGTTTAGTAGCCTCAGAAGATATTTCTTTAAACCAACCTTTCTATGTTTTAAGTTAAATGATATGATGAATAATTATTAATATAGTTTTTATAATATTTCAATGAAACAGTAAGGAATTCTAATGATCGCATCTATGGCGAAGTTACATTAATGTCAAAGCCGACCATCGAGCACGATCACACCATGGATAAGCCGAAATAACTTATACCCTCAATAACAACTGGGTTTACATAGAATCTGTAATATATTTTAATAATAGTGTTATATAACGACTAATTTCGGATTACTATGCGTTATTTTATTATTTTTAAACTACAGTGGACCCCCGGTAGTCCGACAAACATTTTGCAGGGCAGTGTCGAACTATCGAATTCGTTGGATTATACAGTACTGCCTAAGACCCCTATAGTCCGGATTTTTTTTACAAAAGAGTACCTTGTAATCCGACAAATTACAGATTCAATGATAAGATTTTTTACATAATATATATACATATGTACTTATATGTACTCTGAAGTACAAATTCAAATTCCAACTAAGCAATCATAATCAAAACAATACCCTACGCGTCGAGCAGAATAGTGATGGTGCGTACAAGTTGTAACTTGTTCAATCATGTATTAGCGAATAAAAAATATGTATTCAATAATAAATAATAGATTATGTCGGATTACAGGGGGTGCCGAATTACCGGGGGGCCACTGTATACTCAAAACGTTTATAAAACAGTGTGTAGCAATCCGAATATATTAGTTCAATTTAAATGAATACTGTAGTGTTATATTATATGTTTGTGACCTGTGTCTGCGCAGGTAGCTGCAGCCCATACATGTGTGAGAACACAGGTCGCGGCCAGTCGCCGTCCTTGTCCTCTCCCTCAGCCTTCACCTCGGCCTTCACCGCCTGCATGGCCTGCATGGCTTGCATGGCCGACTACACACAACTTACATTATTAACAACATTCAATGTTCTAATTGAATTTTTAAATTTGTTTGTTGATATTGCTCTCTATGATATATTTTATTCAGCGTATTGTTTATGCCGGTGTACGGATAAACTCGACAGGGATTTTGTAACACCGTAAAAGATATTTCTAATGTATTATATAAATAAATAATAATAATAATAATAATAAAAAGAGTTTTAGATACAAATTTTCTGAAGCCAAAGTTTGTAAAGTATATTAATAAAATAAAATGCAACAAGGTGATAGTTAGAGATAATTAGTAATACAAGAAAGAAAAAGTGTATTCATATTGAAATCGAAAGTTATCAATAAATATCGACTCACGTGTAAAGCTATTTGTTGATTCTGCGTGATCACTCTTGGCACTCCGTCGGGGAACATTTGACCCATACTCGATGAAACCGGCACTTCCGGCTTGACGTCTTGCAATTCAGTTTTCACTTCCGGTTCACTTTTCATCTCAGATTTCGGCTCTACATTTTTGACTGCCGTTTGCAAGTCGCTGTCCATTTTGTTGTCTCCTTTTTGATCAGCGTCATCACTGTTCCGAATAATAATTATTAACTACAGGTGTACGAAAGAGGTGTTTTATGCAATAATCTTAGGAACTTCAACTCAGGCTGTATGAAACTTTTGTAAACAGATGCTGCAGTCAATAAATAGGCAGTGCTGCCATCAAGAACATCTAGGCTGTCTAACTCAGATTGAAAAGAAATTTTGAACATAATCGTAGATAACATGTTGTGTAATACATGCAGGGAGTGAGTTTACTTACTTAATATAAATATAGCAATAAATTGTATGATAAAATCAGAGAAAATGTTATTATTTACATCTCCTTGTTGTAAGCACACGTGCGTGTGCGTGAGTGTGCGCGCGTGTGTGTATATGTTCGTGAGTGTTCGTGTGTGCGTGTGCGTGTGTGTGCGTGTCTGTGTGTTGTTGTGTGTGTGTGTGTGTGCGTGTCCGTGTACGTACGTGTTGCCCCTCTTGTGGTGCTGCACGTCGTCGGGCAGGTCCAGTCCGTCCAGCAGCGTCTCGTCGTTGAGCGCGGCCAGCTCGGGGTCAGCGTACTCCAGTATGTTGAACTGTTCGCCGATCTCAGCCGTCAGAGACTCCAGCAGTTCTTCGTCGTCCTCCGCTCCAAGACCAGTCAAGATGTCAACCTGGCGTGTATAAACCATTATAAATTTATTTTCCCTACCCAATAAATAATGAAAAATGAAAATTAAATAAACTAAAAATTATTATTAACAAAAAACATTATACAATGAAATGTCCGGTGGTACCCACACTAGGTATTCCTGTTTCGTGGGTAGCAATTGATAGTTTTACAGTACGTGTTTATTGTTGACGCTCGGCTTAGAATATAAATTATATAACTGTTTCACATACATTGCATAATTTAAGTAGAATTAACTTACATATGGTCTTATGTCAATGAATAGGTACTATACTAAGTGCAAGAAGTTTTTCGGTGGTATCATACATAGGTCAATGAGGAGAGCCAAGAAATAATTTTAGTTTTAGCTTGTTTTACGGAGCAACGTTTAATATCACAAGCGTTGGCTACTTTATTGTAAATAAACGACTCAATGAAAGAACTGAAGCGTTTAGCAAAAGATGTCTTAATTTTGGACAAGGGAAGCCTGTAGTCCTGACATTTAAGTAAAAAAAATATTGATGTTAATGTGTAGTTCAGTAGTTAATATATGTATTTGTACCTCTCCAATGTTCCCGGTGTCTTGTTCCAGTTTGTCCATGTCTCCAATATCCATTTCGTCGGTTCCCTGTTCTGGACCGCTGTCTTGTTTGTCGTTACTGCTCACTGTTAAAACATTATGTTATTAATATCTACATCACATATGTAATATTTATTTCATTATTTCATACACTAGTTAATTCTGTCATGTAAGTAATCGCTTGTATTTCTATTTGTAAGAAAAACAAAAAATAAAATTCACAAACATAATTTTCTATTCTCCAACATAAAATCAATCTGAATATGTCTTGAATCAGGTTGAAGAACGATGTTGGAGTTGTACTAATTTGTAAGTATAAAGATTGTGAAAACGTACTGTTTCCTTGGGTGACTTGTTTCTGCTCCATGATTTGCTGCAGCGAGGAGTTCTGGACGTTCTGCTGCATCTGACCGCCGTCCGAAAACACCAAGCGATGTTGAATGATCACTGGAACGGAAATACATCATGATTTAATATATAAATTTTAACCAAGGTAAACCAAGTATTGATAAGGGTAATTTAAAATAATAATAATAATTTTATTTATTTAGGCATCTTTGACTCATCTTTCTTTTTTTAGTACACATTTTCCTTATACCTATGTTAGTAACAACTTAATTTATTATCAATTAACTATGTTATTACATTTACAATTAAACTATTATCTAATTAATAAATATAGTATTATTTAATTTAATACAGTTTGGTTAATATATAATAACATTGTTTAGTATACAAGTAATAATAGTTAGTCTGTTTGTATCATACTATGTTCTGGTCTATGTGCGTGATGTAAGGGAGCGCGCGGTCGGAGAGGCACCGGCAGCGGCGGACGGAAGGACGGGCCTCCGCCCTCCACACAACCCGCTGGAGACTCCTCGCCAGAAGCTGATGTATACACAAACATTATTATTAACATAAGTAATCTGACGTAACACTTCCTTCTTCATTGGTAGTACATATTGATAAGTATAAGTCTTTAGCGCTTTTAAATTCATACATTGGCGACAATAAAGGTCTCAATTAGTACTATAAAAAAAAACATCCACATTTAGTCGAACATATTCTCCGCATGTAGTGTTTACTTGTAAAGAACGTGATTACTGATTTGTATAACCACAAGAAATAATAGTTACTATGAGCTTGTGTTCAGTCGATCCAGAGACATAGGGATTACTAAAAGTAAGTTCCATGATGAGTGCTTAATCCTTTCTAATATTGTAAATGCGAAAGTAACTCTGTCTGTCTGTTTGTTACGCTTTGACGCCTAAACCACTGAACTGATTTTAATGAAATTTGGTACAGAGATGGAGTTGACCTTGAGAAAGAACATAGGATAGTTTTTATCCCAAACTTTTGAAAGGTTCTCTTGGAAACGCGATATAACCGAACTCCACGCGGGCGGAAAGCTAGTAGTTCATAGTGTATACTCACGTCCAGGCCACATCTTCTCAGGATGTCGCTGCAGCAGGTCCCGCAGCTGGCGGTTGATGTCCTCGTTGGTGGAGTACAGAGGGAACCGGTGAGGAGCAGCGTGGGGGGGAGGGGCGGGGCCGGGCAGTGCTGCCGGGGTGGGGGGCGGCGTCGCACCCGGCGGGCTGCCCTCCGTGCGGAGACGCTGCATCGCTGCTTCAACAACACACGAGGAAGTTCTTATAACTAGACTTTATTACAAGTAGAACTCAGTAGGACAGGCACTTTCACCATGCCAGCAGAAGGTATGCTAGTGTTGAGTTTGAATCGAATGTAATATTGAATGTTAATTAACAATATCAAATGATATTGTTATAAAACTGTTAAATAATTCAATTTCTTTTTAATTATATAATTGATCCAAAGAAAACAATCTTGTGATAATTACTAATGTTTAATATATTTAGTGCATGCTGTGATTACCTATAAAAAGAAATACAATTATCAAGTGTGTTCAAATGTTAACTATATGTAAATGAAGCTCTTTTATTCTTCATTTAATTTAATAATTACACTTACTATAATTTATTATCTATGGTAGCACCACTTTTTACTCTGCATTCATTATATATTTTTTTCTGTAGAAAAAGGCTCTCCGGTTTTGTACGTTTAAGTTTAGCAAGATTTTTGAAAAGCAATAACGATTGTTTAAAATAGAAATTGAAGCAATAGCTTTTAATGTTGTTTCTCTTTACAGGTTAGTAAATAATATAATGTTAATTCGTACTGGATATACAGGGTGACTGGTGAATTACTATCGATACTTGAGGACGTGATATTGGACGATCATATATGACAAAATAAAAATTAATATAACATAAATATTAATAAACTTCTAAGTAAAGTTAACCAAAAGTTGTGTAATTAATTACGCATCGTGTGAACACCCTACAGATTAGGTATACACACACACACACACGCGTGCGGCGGCGTGGTGTTGTATTTATTTATACGGAAATTTTGTCAAAAATTAAGTGCCTATTTTTTTTACATAATTCGAATAAGAATCATGTACCGAGTATTCTCCTTAAATATTGATAGTAATTCACCAGTCACCCTGTATAGGTAGTCGTAAATTGTATTTGCAAATATTGTATCAAACTTTCAAAAATAAAATTCTCTTTACAGAGCAACAATTACAGTTTTTTGTTTCAATTAACAACATTTTACAAAACAACATTAATAATAGCTGTTGGAAACAATGGAAAAGTTAAAATTTGAATTTATCGTGAAACCGAGTGAAGACCCGAAAACTAATGTAATATGCATAACCTCAATAATGAATACCGATAAACATCTGTTTTTAATCCCGGAACATTTACAACCGGTAAAACTGAATAATGAGTTGATAAAAACTCAATTTTTTCAAAAAGTAAAAGCAACCTTACAAAGAAGGCACGAGAAAAGACACGCATGGATTTCATTAACACTAGAATTACGCGATACTTATGCGGATAAAGATGGAAATATGCAATTTAAGGGATATTTACTGTAGGAGAGTACATCAAAAACACAACAGGATTTTACGAAAGAAACCTCAACAGAGACTCTTACAAGAATCCTTGAAAGTTTTTCTGAATTTATCTGAAAAGTTCGTAATAGAAAAATGCACAAAAAATACATCAAGTGTTACACAGTGGATGGATATTTTTGAAGCCGAATGCATTCGTGTAGGTGTAAGTGAAGATATTCAATAGATACAAGTGTTTCGGTTATTTTTGGATGAATCTTGTCAAGATTGGTTTAATTCTATGCCTATCAAATATACAATAAATTCAGAGTGGTGTATGTGGAAAACAAAATTTTGTGAAACATATGTAAACAAAGGCTTGTCACCAATAAGGTATGCTATATTATTTAAGTATAAACAGGATTCATTACTAGAATATGATTTAAAGAAAGAAAGGCTTTTATTAGAAATTAACAAGTTAATTGATAAATCTACTTTGATTGTTTTAATTGTCACTGGACTACCTAATTTCATAGCAGACTAAATAGATAGAAATAAGTTAAAAGACACTGAAGATTTATTTAATAATATTCGGGGCTTGGAACATGTTATTAACAAAAGGATTGTTGAAAGAAAAGTAATGGATTCGGAAAGTAAAATAAAAGAAAAAAGTTTAAAAGACTGACCATGTAAGATTTGTAAAAAAGAAAAGAAAGGGGTTCGTTATCATTCAGAATCTGTCTGTTGGTTTAAAAATAGAGATGATAACCGCTCTAGAAAGGAGCCGATTAGAAGTGTGAACAATTCTGAATTAGAAATCAGTTTAAATAAAATAGATCCAAAAAACTAATAATTTCACCATTAATCAAAACCAAGTCATTAATAAATGATTCCATAGAAACGTGGGGGGTTTATGATTCAGGATCTAATGTGACTTGTGAGTATAATTAACTCAAGATTAATATCATTCCCACACAAAAATTATAATAATCAAGCAAATTTAAAAACGATTATTGGTGCAAAAAAGGCAATCCTATAGCCTTTTTTAACATTAAAGATAAAGATTTTTCAAATAGAAAGAAAAAATAGACAAAACAAAAAGACTTTTTAATCGGATTGGATTGCAAAAATATCAACTTATTCAAAATGAAAACTTAGAAATTACACAAAAAATGAAAGAAATTGAAAGTAATGCAAATATTTTGTCATAGACAAACAAAAATTATGACTTTTTTGATTAAGAAAGGAACGGTGAGAAATGATTGCTATATGAATGACTTTTTAATCTGAAGAGTTTGTTTGGATTGCATAAAAGTTCGAATTTTTCAACTTATCGATTCTATATAACAAATGCAAAGAAACTTAGAAATTACACTTTGAAGCCTTCCGTTGCGTGCGCCGTGAAGAAAAATACACAAAAAATATCAGAAAGTATTGAAAAATGCAAATATTTCAGGTGATAAAGTTAGCTCTTGAGAAATGATTGCTATATGAATGACTAATATGATCTGTTTGAAAGCGCTAAAAAACAGTCCAGGATATAGTGGTAAATGTGTAAAAAACGGGAGAAATTATTTCATCTTTGAAGCCTTCCGTTGCGTGCGCCGTGAAAACGGTTCAAGATACACAAAAAATATGTCTAATGATCTTCCAGGACAGTATATGTCTATCTTTTAAGATTAACTCACAAAAACCGTTTTTATGGTACCTAATTTTGTCGAAATAATTTGTTTAAGTTGTATCAACATAATAATATTAATCTTTATTCAAATAAACAAATATAAATGTTGTTGGTTAAGAGTACTTCATTGTAAATTAAAAAAAACATAGGTTTTATCCTGAAAATTCTACGGGAACACGACCATTCCGAAAACCCCGCGAGAACGGGAACTATGTGGGAAGAACCAAAAATCTGCCGGCAGTCACTATTCCACGCGGACAGAGTCGCGGCAAAGGCTAGTGAATGATAAGTGTAAGGTTAACTTTAATGAACACATAGAAGCAACAAAATTTAACATTTCTGAAAATAATTTAGACAGTCAACAACAATCAAAAATAAATGAATTAATCAACAAATACAAATCATTATTTGCAAAAGACAAATATGATGTAGGCTTAGTGAAAGGCTATGAGGCACACATTGATTTATTAATAGATTCATATTGTAGCAAAAGACCATACAGATGCAATTTTGAAGACAAAAAAGAGATAGAACAACAAGTTACAAAATTATTACAAAATAAGTTAATTGAGGAATCTTATAGTGCTTTTGCAGATCCTGTAACACTTGCCTATAAAAAAGAAGAAGGAAGAAAATGTAGACATGCATAGATTTTTGTAATTTAAATAAAATAGTTGTTCCTCAATCACAACCATTCCCACTTATAGAGGACTTAATGATTAAAACAAGAAATTGTAAAATTTTTTTCAACGTTAGATATAAATTCTGTTTTCTGGTCAATAACTTTAAGAATAGAAGATAGGAAAAAGAAAGCATTTGTTACTCAAGAAAATCATTTTCAGTGGACTTGTCTACCGTTTGGATTAAAAACTTCACCTGCTATTTTTCAAAGAATACTTAGTAGCATTATCAGAAAACACAAATTATCAAATTTTACAGTCAATTTCATCCATGACATCTTAGTTTTTTCCCAGACATTTACAGACCACATTGAACACTTATCATTGTTATTAGAAGCAATTTCAAAGGAGGGCTTTAGACTAAAATTTTCTAAATGTCATTTTGCACAGGACTAAAAAGTAAAATATTTGGGCCACATAATAAAGGATAATACAGTTACTCCACTAAAAGATAATTTAATAGCTATAAAAGAATTTCCTGTTCCAAAAACGAAGAAAAATGTTAGACAGTTTTTAGGAAAATCAACTTCTATGGAAAATATGTACCAAACATATTAGATCGCCTTCACAATTTATTAAAGAAAGATCAAATATTTATATGGACTGAAAAATGTCAACAATCTTTTGACAAGATAAAAAACTACTTTGTTCAAAACCTATTTTAGAAATCTTTGATCCAGAATTACCTATACATATTTATACCGACGCTTGTATTCAGGGTATAGGGGCTATTTTGAAACAGTTACAGGAAAATGGAGAAGAAAAGCCATGTGCCTATTTTTCAAGGAAATTGAATGAAAGTCAGAAGCGGAAGAAAGCTATTTATTTAGAATGTCAAGCAATAAAAGAAGCAGTAAAATATTGGCAGCATTGGCTTATAGGAAAAAAAATAATGTGTTTTCAGACCTTAAACCTCTAGAAAAATTAAATATTAAGGCAAGGACAGATGAAGAATTAGGAGATCTCACATATTTTTTAACACAATTTAATTTTGAAGTCATATATTCACCAGGAAAGAACAATTTAGAAGCAGACAGTTTGAGTAGAAACCCAGTGTTAGAACCAGACATAAACCAAGAAGAAATTATAAAAATTATAAATTTTATTAAACTAGAAGACATCAAACATGATAAAGATGAAAATAAAGACTTAAAACTATATAAAGATAAACTGATACTAAAAGATATGATATATTTCAAGAAAACAGGAAAAACAGAAAAAAATATTCTCACTGAGGAATTTAGTAAAAAATTAATAAAAAATGTACATTATAGATATTGCCACATAGGAGTAAAACAAACAGAAAATAAAATCAAACCATTTTATACAGCAAATAATTTAATAAATAATATAAAAATAATCAGTGAGAACTGTGAAATATGCATAAAAAATAAATCTAGAACTAAATTTAAATATATATTGATGTCACATTTGGTGGCTCCCACTCTACTAAAACATATCTCCATCTTCTGGTAGATCATTTCACCAGATATGCCTATATATGTATTAACATCCAAAAACCAGAATGCAGAAGATTTCATAAAACTCATAACAAAAGTAATTCCTAACAATAAAATTGGAATGATTCTATCTGACCAATATCCGGGGATAAATTCCAATGAATTTAAAAACTTTTTAAGAAAGGAAAGCATACCTATCATTTTCACTGCAGTAAATGCACCTTTTTCAAATGGTTTAAATGAACGAGTAAATCAGACGTTAATTAACAAGATAAGGTGTACAATTAATGAAAAAAAAGGGAAAATAGCTTGGACAACTATTGCCCATCAATGCACCCAGAGATATAATGAAACTGAGCACACTGTTACAGGATTTTCCCCAGTATATTTAATGGAAGGAAGAGTCATTAGTATCTTACCGGATGAGTTAAAAGAACAAAAGACACAAAATGATCTATTAAAAGATAGAAAATTAGCATTGGAAAGAACAATAAATTGTAATAAAAAACAATTTGATAACAACAGAATAATACCCAACTAAAATTAGGAGACTTTGTATATGTGGAAAATGGTAACCGATTTAATAGGAAAAAGCTAGATGAATTAAAAATTGGACCTTACAAAATTTTAGAAAAATTATCTAACTCAATTTATAAAGTAAATACTGGATACAAAAAGTTAGAATCAAACTTGTTTCACATAGCAAAACTTATACCAGTGCCTAATGATTTTGTAAACCAGGGGGGAGGGAGATGTAAATCAAGCTCTTTTATTCTTCATTTAATTTAATTATTACACTTACTATAATTTATTATCTATGGTAGCACCACTTTTTACTCTGCATTCATTATATATTTTAATCTGTAGAAAAAGGCTCTCTGGTTTTGTACGTTTAAGTTTAGCAAGATTTTTGAAAAGGAATAACAATTGTTTAAAATAGAAATTGAAGCAACAGCTTTTAATGTTGTTTCTCTTTACAGGTTAGTAAATAATATAATGTTAATTCGTACTAGATATATAGGTAGTCGTAAATTGTATTTGCAAATATTGTATCAAACTTTCAAAAATAAATTTCTCTTTACAGAGCAACAATTACAGTTTTTTGTTTCAATTAACAACATATTACATATATTATTAATATGTATTTGTAATACTATTGTCATTTCTGTTGGTGATCATATAAAAAAAAATGTTTTGAGTGCTTCATCAAAGCGCACGTGGTACCTTGTATCCGCTGGTCGTGTATGATCTGCTGCTGCTGCTGTGTCTGCTGCTGCCTCATCTGCTGCAGCTGTTTCCACTGCCGCTCCTGCTCCGCCTCGCGGGCGCTCCTCTGCTGGCCGCACGCCCTCTCCTGCTCCTGTACACAACACCCTCGTCAGTATATCATATAAAATATTTCACAACATTTCTATTCAACCGAACTAACGATTCACTTGATGTCTGTTGTGCAAACTACATTAATTATTATTTAATAAATAAATACAGTGTTCGTGTCTGTTTGTGAAGCCAACAAATCTTTTATTATCTTTGAAAAGAATATTTTTACAACGAAATAAAATACAACAACTATAAACATGCAGAATTATAGTCTCAATGACTTCCTCATCCTTATTCCGTTATATCATTGACAACCTATAATAATAATTATTGCAAGGCTTGAAAACCAAAATGATTGCTAGAAATAAATAAATATATTAAATCATATATTAATTAAAACGAGTGAGGGGTCTGAGGATTTTGGTTTGGAATTATATTAATAAAAAAACTCATTTGCCTTTTTTTTCATATTCAAATATGTTAAAGAAAAAAAGTGGTCTCAAACCTTGTTTTATATATTTATAATAAATATGTAATTACGTGTGTTATGTATGTATTTACAATCAAAAGAATTATTTGACATGCCGAGTTAATTTTCTTTATGGTTTTATTTTAACATTAGCTCTTTCAAAGTGACTAGTTAGTTGAAATTATTAATAAATTATTTTAAATTAATGTGACCTAATAAAAAAATATTAATGACTTAATAAATATATATGTATATAAAAACAATAAATACTTATGTTCAGATTAACAACTATCATATAAAAACATCATCTCAACTACCGTGTCAACTAATTTAGTGATTAATTTAATTTAAAATCAGTAATTTTTCTAATTCTCTTCTAAATTGTTTTCATAAAATTCACATAATAAAATATATCAACTTAACTCTATACAAGACATCAAGAGCCTAAAATGCAACTCAAGTTTTAATAAAAATAATAATAATTATGATCTAGTGTTAGGACTGTTAGCACACCAAAACCAGCCACCAAATTCCAATGTTAAAGCCAATTCTACCAAGACAAAGCAAAAATGAAATTAAACAACGTTACGGAAACAGAGGACGCGAGTCCGGGAGGCGTCACAGATATATACCCTCGGTTTACAACAAGCTAAAAGAAAATAATAACAAAAAAAATAATCACACAGCTTACAACGCCATTAAACAGCCAGTTTGTTGGGTGATGACTTTACATTAATGACGAGCGACAAAGTTAAAAGGACGCGAGGAGAGCGCGCGATCACCCAACAAGGAGACGGGAAGCGACTCGCACACACACTACACTGTACGAGGACCTGTGTGGTGGGGAGAGTGAGAGTGTTTGTGTGTGTGTGTGTGTGTAGAGGGTGGGGGATATTTTAATGACATCTCGGTGTGGAGGAGGACGAGTGTTGTATTATTTTCTGTTCCAACGTAATGTGTGTGAGTGTGTATAGTTCGTGTGTGTGTATGTGTATGTGTGTGTGCGAGGGCAGCGCGGGGCGAGTACCGTGTCGGCGGAGTGCGGTGTGGGGGTGGCGGGGTGCGCGGGGGTCGCGGGAGGGGGCGCGAGCCGCGGCAGCGTGCGCATGATCTCGGAGGGTGTGAGCACGCGGATGTGCGCGTCCGCCTCCAGGAGCCCGCCCGCCGTCACCGTCACGTTGGGGGCGCGCACCGGGGCGCCGGTGGTCGGGGCCTGCGGGGGGACGGCCGGGGCCTGCGGGGGTGCGGGCTGCGGGGGCGGGGCGGGCGAGGCTGCGGGCGGCGGGCCAGCAGGGGAGCGCCCGCCGTCGTCAGTGCCGCCGGAGCTCTGTTGCGCCAACTCAGGCTTAGTCTCATGGTCCGGTTCGATTTTCCGAGCGGCCGATTGTCGAGTTCTCATTGCGGTGAGTGCGAGGACGCTTCCGCCGTGGCGACCGCGACTTCAATCGGCCGAACGCAAAATCGGGCTCTCGGTACATTTTAATCGTTCACCACGGACAGTCATGGTTTAAACACGATGTCCTGAGTTCTCAAATATTTCCATACTATGTGAGGCAACTATCAAGTTGCCTATGATAAATAATACAGTTTCTGTCGTTCATACACTCCTTCAAGGATTAGTATTATTACATTTAAGTTTCACTTAAGAACTATTAAGAAAATACACATTTTTATAATTTTAAATATATCATTTATAATAAAGGAAATAACACAGTCTTTCCACTTAAAAATACTCAATTATATACATACAACAGGCCAACGAAACGAGATAAATTTCGTATACAAACTAATTCATCATGATATACTAATAAAACAAATAACACATTGTGCCAAAAACCACATTCAAATTTTAAAGTTCTCCTACATTGTTTATTTCGTTAGTTGGGCCGCAGTGTACTCAATACCTTAATTTAATTATTTTAATATATCATATAAACTAAAAAATGGTCGCTGTAGATTCCTTCGCATTTATTGTGATATATTTTTTTAACTATATATAACAAACTATATGAAAACTAAGTAACAACTGTAAATAAATTGCTAAGTTAGCAGCAATACTGAATAATGAATAAAAAAATTTTAATCATGTACAGAGTCAATTTATATCAGATATAGGTTACAAAGATTAACCCTTAATATACATGGTATACTTTAAGTATGAATAATTGTATAAGGAATTGATAACCTTAGTGTTATATAAATTACTTGATTCATTGAACAAGGTTCAGTTCAAAATTTGTGTCGAAGGTAATATTAAATCATCGTAATACAATATAAACATGTTTATATACAGCAGTGCCATATCTAAACAAGCGATAGAATCTACAGCTCGATGTTGAGTGACGGAAAGCGTGCGGAGAAATTTATATCCCATGGCGTTCATCTCATTAAAGCTAACGTATAGAACGTATATGCAAATATAGGTACGTCATAATACGTCTCGTAAATGACGAGTCGAGGATCATCTTAAACACCTGTCGACCAACAACTGTCGCCATCGACAAAACACATTCAATGAGCAACGATAACACCAAATGAGAACTGTTAACGGAGCGGACGAGTATTTATAAGCGGGCCGGGAGTGGGGATGGGACGTGGCGGGTGGGCGTGGTCACACGGGTGAGTACGAGACAACACAGTGAGTGAGTAGTGGTTAGCACACACGTCCGGTCGGACTGGCACGTACCTGCTGCGCCTTCTTCATGCGGATTGCGCTGCGGTTGTCCCTCGCCTTCTGTAAGTACGGCGCCTTCTGCTCGGAGGGCAGGGCCCGCCATTTCTTCAGTATCTGCTTGCAGCGGTCCACCCAGTTGGGGAACTCGGTCTTCCATTCCGGATGGTTGGTGTTCGCATACAGCACTGCTGATATAGTCGCTGCTGATCCTAAACCTGAACGAGAATATAGTGTTTGGTGTTCAACCGAGCCGGCTGGGGCGATTAATGGTAGTTTCTTGAGATAAATGGGGACGATACGTACTTTCGTCGGCACGCATTTTATCGGCGCTGCGTTGGTTATAAGAGGGCGGTGGCGCGGGCGCGTCGGGCCACGAGCCGGCGCCTGAACCACACTCGTACAACGGACTGAGAGAACTGCTGTACGAAACATGTCTCGACATTAGAGAGATCAACACTTGATTGCATATTGAAGTCTTACTTTTGAACAAACTATAGGTTTAAGTAATATATCTATTTTCAAACATCATATATCAGAAATTGATTCTGTTGAAATTTAAAGGGCAAAAATATGAATTAAAATGTTTTGGTAGCCAAAAAAGTAGAAATAGAATGCATAAAATACGTGAAACTAAAGTTTTACGTACCTACTACCGAATTCTGTATGGTAAGGTGAAGCGTAATCCATGGGACTCTGTAACTGCTGCCGCTGCTGAGAATACGGGGTACCGGCCATGGAATTCACATAGGAAACTGACGACTCTTGAGATTCCTGAGACAAAAAAAAATAATTAAATTTTAAAATATCAATGTGTATGTAGTGAAGTGTAACCTGTACTAGGAAAAATATTTAAACTTGAGCCATTCAAAAGAATATACAAACATTTTATATTCCTGTATACTTATATGTTTAACGAAAACGATTGAATTACAATACGAATACAAAATATACAATGACAAATTTATCGAGACGATCCGAAATGAAATCTACGACTACTTGATTATAAGGTTCAATTTCACATCGCTGGGTCGAATTCTGTTTATTATAATGTCAATATTTTCTTTTTGAATATTAATTCTAACGAATCCTCACCTGTGAGTCGTCTGTGAGTACTCCCTTGAATATCTCGTCCACATCGTTGCTGTCCATGTCAGGCAGAGTATCTAGCGACACTCCCAGCAGAGACAGCTCCTCCTTAGCGGACATTACGGATGATTGTGGGGCGCTCTCTGTACAACAAAAATAAAACTATATATAGAAAAAGCCAACACAAGAATAAAAATAATTTGTTAATATTACAATCATAAATGCTGGCTATCAGGCAGACCCTGGCTAAAGCTGTGAAATTGCAAGGAAGAAGAAGATAAATGCTGGCTATCACTTTAAGAACAGACACATTTGTGTGTATATATATATATATATATATATATATATATATATATATATATATATATACACAGGGTGACTGGTGAATTACTATCGATACTTGAGGACGTGATATTTGACGATCATATATTAATAAACTTCTGAGTATTTACTAAGTCAACCAAAAGTTATGTAATTAATTACGCATCGTGTGAACACCCTACAGATTAGGTATACACACACGCACACACACACGTGTGGCGGCGTAGTGTTGTATCAGCACGCCGCCACACGCGTCCACACTTGGAACACTTGGAACGTGTCCACACTTTATTTATTTATACGGAAATTTGGTCAAAAATTAAGTACCTACTTTTTTTACATAATTCGAATGAGAATCATGTACCGAGTATTCTCCTTAAATATTGATAGTAATTCACCAGTCACCCTGTATATGTGTGGGTATATGACAACATATATAATTTTAACTTAGTAGGGTGAATTGATGTATTTATATGTAGGACAGCTCGATGTAATAAAACACTGAGAGAAGCCTTTTGTGCTATTATAAAATGGATAATTTTCACGACCGAGACAGGGAAAGCAATGCACCGAAATATATAGAACTAAAAGTAAGTCCATACTAGATGAACACATTCGTATTTAACTAAGTATGTGACGAATTCTCTCAGTATTCAAGTCTATGGGATATTAATGTTAGGTCAATCAAAAAAAAGTCCTAAATGTAGTGATCTAAGGTCGATGCTTTGTTACCGGTGTTCTGTTCATTGGCGGGCGGGTGCGGCGCGTGCGGCGCGTGGTCGGCTTGGTCGGGGCTGGGCTGAGGGCCGAGTATCGCGTTCTTGAGAGCAGTGGAGTCCTCTGTATGTTTAAGTTGACTTTCATCACACTCAGTCTTTATCTTGACTTGCTCAATGTTCAATGTGGACGGATCGTCCTTTTCGTCCTTAGGTTTAAGTGACTGCAGCAGCTCCGTTTCTTCCTGTATTGAAAGATGGAATATTAATATAATAACATATTGTTATTGTTTTGAAGTGTAATAAATATAGTGTGTATGCTATATGCTAAGTCTAATGTAAAGTCTCCTTTATAAAACATCTCATGTATACATCCAAGTATGGTGGACCACCCATTGGCCCTAGCTTTCATTATGCTATGTTAGAATCTTCTAATATTATTAAATACGACTTAAAGCTATAAAGACGTTTCCTTTCAAACCCAGTAATTAACCACGTTAGAGTTTAGTCAATCAAACGATATGTACGTACTGTGTTGAGTGTTATAAACACGGTAGTGTCGTGTTCGTTAAATGTATGTAGAGCTGACAACACGTCGTCTGACTCGCTGTCAGAGTTCTCTCGATCTCCTAACAGACCTTCTCCATCCCCCGAGCCTATAAGGATAAAGTATTTTTGTTATTTCTTTGTACTATATATTTTTTTATGTTTTCTACAACTCTAATTGCGTAATCAGATGTGATAGCTGAAATTAAAATTATGTTTTAAAAACTGCATTCGTCTTTCTAATATAGTTAGTAAATATGTAATTGAGAAAAAATATTTATCGTTATAATTTGACATAAATAGATTTGGTATATGGCTGTAAGAAGCGATTCGTAATAACATTGACTACGCCATAAATATTTGTATAAAATAATATAACCATTTTCAAACGTACCTGTTGAACCCATTGCAGGTTTCACGGGTTCGAGCAAGTCTTTTCCAAAAAACGCTTCCTGCATGTACGAGGGAAATTGCTCCATCAACTTAGACCGCGGCTTCCGACGAGGCTTGCGCTTGTTACTGGGCGACTCTGAGTTTCACATTCAATATAACACAATTATCTTTTATATATATATATATATATATATATATATAATATATATATATATATATATATATCTTATTGTAAATAATATCTGCGGAATAGTCCATATACCTCTTTTAAAAGAGTTCTACTTTATTCTATATTATTTATTACGTTGCTTTGTTATATATATATTTATATATTTTTTTGTGATTGCATGCTGAGTTAGCCTTTAATTGTAGTGTACTTTGTAAGATCATTGTACATTATGTTGGCTTCCTAATAAAATAATAAATATACAGCCAAGTTTCAGAACTATATAATAATATATTAAAACTCTACCTCCAGAGCCCTGTGTCCCGTCTCCATCTTTCTCATCATCAGCCTGAGCTTTTGTAGTTTGTCTCTGTCGAACAACAAAGCCCCCTATGCCGAGCTTGTTAAGATTTCTTTGTCGTTTCCGCCGAAGAACCGTTAGTCCGAGGTCGGTTGTGTAAATAGTGAAGCCTTCGGGAACTGGTCCATCATTTGCAACATTCCATAGAATGCCTTCCTTGAGATTGGTCGATGATAAGCCTGTCGCGATAAACACGTAATTAACTATAATGATATATGTTTATAGAAAAAATCAAATCTTTAAGTAGTAACATACCAGGTTCCTCCTTTATTTCAGCGGTGCTGTCAGGCTTCGAGTCGTCTCCCATCTCCCCTTCTACGTTCTGAACCACTGTTTCAATAGATGCCATTATTTCTATTCCAATATGCCAGCAGTCAACATACAAAAAATTATGTTAGATACATGATTACATAACTTTTACTCTCTTTATAATCTGTGTTCTGCATTAACTATTAAGTGTTGTTCACAACTATTTTCTAATTCATGTATCATCAATGTATCTATTAAAGAAAAAGCTATATCTCACCGGCATCTTTTTCAGTGTTGTCGTTCTTAAAGCGTCGTTTGCGTCTCGTATGCGTGATGCCGAGCTCAGCCTCCAGTTGCTTCATGTGGTGCGCTCCTCTCTGCGACAGACACACATCGTCGACGTAGTATTCTCCGGCGAGGCCGAGCGCGTGCGCTGTGAGGCGGGGGCGAGGGCTGTGCGCGCGTGAACCGGGCAGCGCATGCGGCGGCGGCACCTCCCTCCCGCGGCACCACGTACACTTGTATCCCGCCCGGCAGCACGTCTCCGCGTCCGCTTCGGAACGAATCGAGTCGCAGGCCGCGTGCAGCCACCGCGAACAGGCCGTGCACTGGATTATTAGCTCCCCGTCCGAATACGGCTCCGAACACACGCAGCACATCACTAGGGACGCACACGGAGCGCACTCTGTAACATAATAAATACAATTTAACAATATCATTTTTTACTACCATAATGACACATTGGTATACTGCGTATTTATATAACAACATACAGAATAAAGTATGTTATGAACATTATACAGTGTGATATCGATTTAATAACTATTAAGAAAGACGACCAAATATCAAAAAGTATAGTAATGTAATAATATATATGTTTTTTTTTATTAAAAATTACATACAATCCAGACAAATTCTTGGTATACCCATCATCATTTACCTCGTTTTTTTTTATCGAGAAATATTACATAATAAAATAAATAAAAAAATAAATATGTTCTATTTTTATATTTTACCGGTGTAGTTGTCGCACCACAGCGGTGTATCCCTAGTGCCGCACACGAGGCATCGTCTACACCGTCCACAGCGCCAGGCGCCGCGCGGCACCTCGCTCAGTGCAGGTCGCGCGCAGTATGTATGCCAGGCTGTGTCACAATCATCACACAACACTAGTAGTGGCTCATCCCCGCGGGAACCGCAACCCTCACACACAGTACAGTCAAGACATCGCCAGCCAAGACTCACTATCACTTGAGACACCTGAAATAAACATTAACTACGCTTTAATGACTGAAAATAAATTTGGAATATTCGGTGATGCAGACACTTTTTTGAATTATTTCCTATGGTCATCCCAACTAATATAAATGCGAAAGTAACTCTACCTGTCTGTTATGCTTTCACGCCTAAACCACTGAACTGATTTTAATGAAATTTGTTACAGAGATAGAGTTGATCTTGACAAAGAACATAGGATAGTTTTTATCCCAGACTTTTTAAAGGTTCTCTTGGAAACGCGATATAATCGAACTCCACGCGGGGGAAGCTACGGGCGGAAAGTTTTGTCGCAAGCAAGTTATAATATTCGCTTATGACGATTATGAAATACAAAAATAACGTCTACAAACTATAACACTTTACCTTAATATTAACGCAATAAGGATGATATGTCTGTCCACACTGGGAACAAGCTATGAGACAGCCTTCAGAGTCTGTACCCACAGCACCGCACATAACACATAGATCTTGAGTCAACACAAACTTGTCTTTACTCGAACATAGAACTAGTTTATTTTCCACTCCTGTAATAAAAATATTGCTTGGATATTAAGCTGGTTAAAATAAACATTAAATTAATTAATAATTAAATGGATTATATATGTATTATGAAAAAATAATTGCAGGGTTCGAATCTTCATCTTCTGTAATATCGCATTTATTCTATATATTTTTAATGAGTAGAGATATAGTCATAAAAATAGTATATTGGATATTACCTGGATCATCTTCAGAGGTTTTGGTGTCGGGCGCCTGAGGTCTTTGCAAGCCCAGGCCAGGGACTCCAAACACACCCCTCATCTTTGGTTTAGCCCCTCTTTTCCTTCCGAAATCTAAAACAGATCTCTGTCGTTTTTGAAAACCTATTTTTCCTGCTGGAGGACAGCCTCCCTTAAGTTTGTATCCACCTATTTTTTTCTTAGCTACTACCGATGATACAGTATATGGTTTTCCTTTACCGAGTCCAACATCAGGCTGAAAAAAGACACATTATTATGTATGTAAATACAGTGAGTTAATTATATATATAAAATTAATTTATATTATATATATAAAATTAATTTATATTACCTTAGACTCAATAGCAAGAGGATCCTGCTCTTGTGTATTTTCATCACCAAATGATGAATCCTGTGATGTTGAAGCCATTGTATCTTCATCAAATGCTAAAATTACGTTTAATTAAAGATATTTTTAATTTCAAAATTATAGATTCTTTTTGTGTTTAAAGCAGAATAATCAGAAGCTGTAACAATTAATAGTATATTTAAAATATGCAACTTACAGCCTGATTTGGAGCCAGCCATTTGCTGATTAGTTTTACATATAGGGCATGTGTACTCATATGATGAATTCTGTTCTTTCTTTTGTCTGTAGTTTTGAGGGTCTGCTTCAGGATCGCACATCCCGTGTACGTATCTATTAGAAAAATATCATATTGGAATAGAAAGAAATTACAAAAACAATTCATAGGGGGCGTTCATAATATACGTGAGATGTTTAAGGGGGGAACAGATCTAGTCAAATCTAATCTAATCCTATGTTGGAGGAAGGGGGGTCTTGGCAAATATCTCTTAATTTTTTTCCTGAATGAAACTAAAAGTATATATGAATTTTGATTATACTTACAATTAAACTCTCAGCAATATTGATTACTAGTGTTAACTAGTAAATGAAAAGAAATCGAATTTTCTTTTTACAATAATAATCTAACATGTATACGTAAGAAACCCACATTTTGTAAAATCTCACGTGAGATTCTAGGTTGGGGGGAGAGGGGTCCAATAAAATCTCACCAGGGGGGGAGGATTCAGAAATTTCAAAAAAATACCTCACGTTATTTATGAATGCCCCCATACAAGCTAAAGTATAGCTACCTCCGACAGGCGGAACAGCGTATCATGTCTCTATAAGCGGCAGCGCGGTACGCCCGGCGACACAGGGGACAACACGAGCCCTTATTGCGCTGTTGGTAACAAGAGTCACACACTGTGTAGTGCGCGTGCCACCGCGACGAAGGTCCCGCGCCCGGCGAGCGAGCACCACAGTCGGAACACACGCGGCAGCACTTACACTTCCAACCGTACTTGGGTACAGTGGCCATGACGGGTCGTAGGCAGGCCGCGTGGTATAACTTGTCACAGTGTTCACAGGCCACAGCCCGAGCCTCCCCGCCCGCGCCGCCGCCCGCCTCGCCGCGACACACCTGACACACGCGGCACGATCTACACGACCAGCCGGCGCGCACGCCTATACAACGAAACAAACACATCAATAACTTACTCTTATACAGGCTGACTGGTGAATTACTATCAATATTTAAGGAGAATACTCGGTACATGATTCTCATTCGAATTATGTACATAAAATAGGTAGTTAATTTTTGACCAAATTTCCGTATAAATAAATAAAGTGTGGACACGTTCCAAGTGTGGACGCATGCGGCGGCGTGCTGATACAACAAAACGCCGCCGCACGCGCGTGTGTGTGTGTATACCTAATCTGTAGGGTGTTCACACGATGCGTAATTAATTACATAACTTTTGGTTAACTTTACTTAGAAGTTTATTAATATTTATGTTATATTAATATATTATAATATATTATATTATCCTGACCCGGGCAAGTACCAATGTGACTTTTCGGAATCATATGTACTTTCTAAGAGTATTTAGACATCACTGATTAATGTTGATTCCCAAAAAAAAAAGAGGGTTGATGTCAGGCAGGCGGCCGGTCGTAAAAACAAATAGCCAAAAACTATTCATAACATGTAAAGCAGACCCTGGCTATAGCTGGGAAATTGCCAGGTAGAAGAAGAAGAAGATTTGTTATATTAATTTTTATTTTGTCATAATATATGATCATCAAATATCACGTCCTCAAGTATCTATAGTAATTCACCAGACACCCTGTATAATTTTTCTGTGAGTGTGTATGTCACTGAACTTCTCTCAAACGACTGGACCGATTTTGATGAAATTTTTTGTGTGTGTCCAAGTTGATCTGGGAATGGTTTAGATTCACAATTTTGTCCGCTGGACAATGTTTTTTTAAATTAATTTTTAATTTATTAATAGTTGTTGAACAAACGTTTTTTTTTGACATTAGATTTGACAGCTAACTAATATGTCAATCATTCTGTCGCACTTCAAAACACGGAGATTTATGGCTTTAATAGGTAAACTCCAAAAATATAAATAAAAAAACGTAACAGATATTTCTTGATTATAGGGCGATACGAAGTTCGCCGGGTCTTCCAGTAACTTTATATTTAATTATCGCGTGATATTCACCAGGTAGTTGAGCGAGACCGACGCATGTTCCGTGGTAGTGTCCACCACAAGTGACGCACGTCATCAGATTCGCCATATCGCCGATGGTGCGACACGTTCGACAGTCTATGTCCGCTGTACCTAGTAAAATATTTATCATATTAAAAGCCATTTTTATCACAACATAAACGTTTTTTGTTTTATTTATTATATAAATGGATATAAAGAAATATAAGTAAGACTGGTAATAAGGTACTGAATATACATTTGCTATGAACTATTATATTACAATTATGTATGTAAATAGTATGTATACTTACATATTAATGGTGCTTGATGTAAATGATCTTTACAAAATGATGATTTTGTTTGAAAATCCATGAAACCACCAGATGCAAGAACACATGGTAGGTGAAAATATTTACTGCAACTCATCTGAAATTTATATAACATTTTATTTTGATTCTCAATAATGATATATAATTAATTTACAATTATGTATTGTATATACCTTGCAGGGTATACTAGCACCATGTCTTTGACAAAAGGCACATTTTCTTCCCAAAGCAGCAATCACAATTCCTCTTATCCTCGCTTCTTCTAGCTGTTCTTTGTCATCATCATTATTACATGCGATCGCAACTTGATCTTGATAAGGTGGGCTGAATTCAAGACAGCAGCGATGTATATAAAACATTCCCGATGACACCACAGCAGGAAGCTCTAATGATTCAGTCCATCCAATAATTGATAACTCATCTGTGTGTTCCATGTTGTACAGGGGAGTTCTAAAACCATGCATAAAATATATTAATGATATGCACTTTCTTCTTCTTCCTGGCAATTTCCCAGCTTCAGCCAGGGTCTGTCGATATAATGATATGCACTTTATATCAGAATTAAGTATTGTATTGTTAAACTCACTTGCACTTATTAAAAGCTTTTTGACGTCTACTCAAAGGCAGAGATTGTTGTGTTTGATTTGAATCTAACATTTCAGGTGAGGGCGAAGTAAGACCGGGTGGTAGAGGAAATGTTGGTGTACTAGGTGTCGTTATGCTGGTCGGTGTTGCTCCGCCAGAGTTTGAGACCCCTGGTGTGGTACCACCCTCACTTTCTATATTACAAACTATTTGCCTCATTTCTCCTTGACCGAGTTGACTACGCTCACTTAAATTGCATAAGGCACACAATTTCCCTGGCCTGAAACAAGAAAACCAATATAATCCTAACTTACCATTCCAATAAAGTTGTTTTTTAAAAACTCTAACACTCAATAGGAGTTAACGATTTTTATTTTCAGCCTATCACAGCAAAGGCCTCTTTCCCACATGGAGAAGGTTTTGAGCATTAATCACCACGCTTGCTCAAGACGGGTTGATGATTTCAAACTTATAATTTTGAAATTATAAGTCCAGGTTTCCCCATGATGTTTTCCTTCACTGTCTGTCAGTGATGCTATACCAATTTAACTAATTGCAATACCATTTTTCAGGTGTATAGGGGGGTTCTTCGGGTGCAGGCATAGTGAAATCATCTTCATCCATCATATCATCAAGAGCCTCGTCACGGCTAGTGCGATGCCTTTTAGCTCCTCTTACTGATCCAGCATTGCCTCTATATCTGAAAAATTAACAATATATATCATTTGTAGTACTAAACAAGATTACTATAGTAAATAATACTCTTAGGTAAATATCTACCTTCTGACGATCTTTCCTTCTCGGGCTAATTTCGCGCCCTCCTTTCGCGGCCGTCCCGGTCCACGTCTTCCCGATGTGAAAAACGGGCGTGTATATGTTTGGTGGTGGAAAAATGTTGGTTGCGACACCACAGCGAGAGGAGAAGCAGGCTCCTCGCCCCGCGGAGATGACGCGCATGACGTCGGTGTAGACGCGGGCCCTGCATAAAAGTCTGTGAAATCATTTGTTAATAACTAATTCACATAGATTATCTATCATAGTACAACATTTTTTTTCTATTTTGTTGCTCACAAACGAAAAACAAACAACTAATTGTTGTAATGATCTTCTATAGTAGATAAATAATGTCTGTGGCTAAATTAACTTATTAATTAGATTTTGACATGTACCTGAAGACGGCTGGGCTTCGCATTCTTCATCAGAGCCATCGTCAGCTAATAAATCCACATCTAACACCCCTTCGTCTTGTCCGTCCATCTAAAACAGAAGTTAATTAAAACATCACTTCATGAATTCAATAACTGGCACATGTCGCACTTTATTAAATGTAAATATTAACACTACGGACAGAAGGATAAACTTAGTTTATAAAACTAAACTTATTATAATAATCAGACCGCCATAATGAACGACAAGTGGATACTTGTAAAGTTAGCTTGTAAACTTACCGCAATACGTTGCGATGGACTTGAGTATATTTAAACTTATGACAACGATATAAAATACGTAAATAAACACATTTTTGGTTTATTACATGCAAATACAAATAAATTAGTAAAGAAGAAATACAGCATTCGCTACAATTGCGAACGAACAGTATATAACAGATAATACTTAAAATTGACAAAGCGTCATTTTAAGAAACAGAGTATACTGAAAAGTTTTAACGATCATCTAGCAATAAACATTTTGTAGCTCTAAATTAGTTTATATGATATATCAATATGTAAATAACTATAATGTTAAAAATGTAATTTTTACAATACTTAATAAACAATAATAATAAATATAAGTTAAAATTTTCAATTCTTATAAGTCTTTTAAATGAACAACGCCAGCGTGATAAACTTATAAAAAACAATAATTTATAAAGTCTCACAAATCATAAGGAAATAATGAATACAATTACATATACTTTCTTGGGCACCTCAAATAAATGAGGTTGGTAAAAAATTGTTTTCCTCCATTGGCTCACTGAGAAGATTGAAAAACTTTTTACCTATACCAACTAAAGTTACGCTTTCACAATCTCTCCTTCTACCCTTTCTTGACTATGCCGACACCTGTTATACAAACTTAAGTGAGGAGCAATTAAATAAGCTTGAGCGATTACAAAACCTATGTATTCGGTTCATATTTGGTTTACGCAAATATGATCATGTTTCTGAATTTCGCCAAAAACTCAAGTGGCTCCCTATTCGCCTTCGCAGGAATACTCACATTTTATCTCTTCTTTATTCTATTCTTTTTAATCCAGCGACACCCTTCTATCTTAAAGAGCATTTCACTCTCCTTAGGGAAACTCATAAGCGTGCTCTTCGCTCGAGTGAAATTTTAATTCTCTCCATTCCTTCCTTCTTCTAACTATTCTAAGTCCTTCATTGTAGAAGCTTCTCGAATTTAGAATACATTAGCCTTAGCTGTAAGGCGCGCACAGTCTTTAGCCGTTTTTAAAAACATGGTTAAGGGCTTTTACTTATCTCATTAGTGCTAAGCAGTCGTTTTTGCTGTTAATTTCTTGTTTAGTTATTATCTCCTATTTTATTATATATATTCTATGTATATTTATATTATATATATTTATTGTTATTTGTGTACCCTTCCACATTATGATCCTTTACCCAAAGATTGCCTGGAAGAAATCTCTGCTTAGCGATAAGGCCGCCTGTTGCACCTAATGCTAGTAATATATAACAAAAATGTTAAATTTTAGTTTTAGTATTGGGTGTAATAAAGAATAAACAATAATAATAATTTCAATCTTAAAATAAAAATTTAAGCCTTTGAAACCTAAGAGATCAGAGTCTTCAATCACTCATTGTTACTCATCCATCCAATGAAATCTGTTTATCTCTTAAATTTTAGCTAATATATATAATCAAAGTGATTTACTATAACATAATATTTTGTATACATATACTTAAACTCAAACTTATTTTTATATAGTAAGAAACATAATGGCAACGTGTCACTGTCAAAAACAGATGAAGTTTAACCGAAGATAATATTAACCGGTTTTCGTAGCGAATTGGCAGCCTTTTCAATATTCTGATTTAAGTTATTATTAAGATTCTAGTATTTTTACTTGCTCAATTTAAAACTGTTTTGATCATGCTTTTGCCAACATTATTATTTTTATTTGTGAGCTTATCACAAAGTAGTGCTACGTTATTTGAAAGTGATTCCTGTTATTCTTTTGGAAGCGGCAATGTTTTTCCTGGCGGCGCCAGAAAAATTGAGCATAAACTGCAATTCACTAAGGCAATGAGTTAGTATTTTTAATATATCGTTTTTGCATGTAAATTCCACTGCCAACATTATATATCGGTTATTTTCAGTCTCAAAACCTGCCCCGGAGTGGGAGGCTACCGCTGTCGTTAATGGCGAGATAACGCAACTTTCACTATCAAGTTTTAAAGGAAAATATTTAGTCTTCTTCTTTTATCCTTTAGACTTGTAAGTTATTTTTTGTATTTTTTATTCTATCGTAAATATATACTTCTTTTATAATTTATGTTTAATATTTAACTTAATATTTGTTTTAGCACCTTTGTTTGTCCTACTGAAATTTTGGCCTTCTCTGAAAGAATTGAAGAGTTTAGAAAACTCAACACTGAGGTAGTAGCATGTTCTGTAGACTCGCACTTCACTCACCTGGCCTGGATTAATACTCCTCGGAAAGAAGGAGGTTTAGGAAAAATCAATATACCATTATTAAGTGATCTCACACATTCCATTGCCAAAGACTATGGTGTATACTTAGAAGATTTGGGTCACACTTTAAGAGGTTTATTCATAATTGATGATAAGGGAATTCTCAGACAAATTACAATGAATGATCTGCCAGTTGGTAGATCTGTGGATGAAACGCTAAGGCTTGTTCAAGCATTCCAATACACTGACAAACATGGCGAGGTTTGTCCGGCGGGATGGAAACCAGGACAAGACACAGTAAGTGAAAACTGTTTGATTAAAATAAATTCCATACTTAAACAATAAATTTTAACTCCAACTTTTTTTCAGATTATTCCCAATCCTGATGAAAAGAAAAAATATTTTGAAAAAATGTCAGACCTATAAAAAAAATAGATCAAAATAACAAACATATTTCCTTAATTTAAGCTAAAAGTCAAGTATCTTTAAAATTATCAAAGTTTTGATAAATTAATTATTGATAACAGTTCTGATATCTATGTGACATGATTAATATAGTTATATATTAATTTTATATATTTTTTCTTATATTTAAAGTTTAGCTACAAAAATCCTTACTTAATCTAAGCATAATATGTTTAGATGGTTTTGTATTTAATTCGGTGAAGTCTTTATATTTTTAATACATATCTACATGTTAATACTCACATACATCCACAATTTTTTTTTTATTTTTATATATTTCAGTGATGAGACTGATGAGTAACAATGCATTTGTATTTTTTAACTACAGATAAAGTTTATATACTAAATAAATATATTTTGTTATGTTTTGTTTTATTTTTATGAAGGATTCTAATAAATAAGTATTGTGTCTATCAGAGGTTGGTTTTTACATCTTGGCCAAAAATCTGAAGTGAAAATCTTCTGGTGGAAATATAGTCATTTTGCCAAATTTTCTGGCAAACCCTTCCCTACTGTATCAACAGTCTACTTCTTAAATCAGTGTCGTGACATTCTGTTTTACAATATCTTGCTTTTACACAGCAATTATTGAATTAGAATAGTAATCAATAAGATATTTTGATAATGCTGATAATGAAGGAATATATTTGCTAGTAAAATACATTCTTAATGGTATTAGAAGTGTAATCAATCAACCAACAGTCTTCTGGTTAGGGGAAAACTGGTGATTTATATTAAACTGCCTGTCTTTGTTACTATATGTCACTTATGAGGGTGGAAAATCTTCTATGCACCTCTACTAAGCAATCTTAGTTTTACTTTAAAAGTTTCTCAGCAGATTAACTGTGACATTGTAGGATAACTCAAAAGAGAATTAACCGGAAAGCCACTCATTAGTTGTTCTTTCTAAATAGTCCATCAAATGAAACTCTTAAAAATAAATTACAGGTTCCTTTGACATTATATTGAATCTCTACTTCTCCATTACCACTGAAAAACTAAAATAGTCTAATATGTCCTAAATATAAAATTATTATTATAATATTTTCAGAAAAATACGAGATAACAATTACTAAATAAACGACCAAACCTCTTTGTTCTATATTATTAAGATGGATTCTATATAGTATATTGAATAAACTGATATACCTAAACACACTCCGATTTACGTACATAACTTTTGGCGTAAAATGTAAATAGCTTAAGACAAAAATGTATACCACACGACTATATACCAACGATTAGGGTCTATATTTATATTTCCTTGGTTTAAAGTATGGTCACCGAAAAGAAACAATAAGAACACCTTTTTATTCTAATACATGTAATATAAAAATGTTTTTTTCGGAGTACGAGATTAGTATTAAAACTCTTTTTAAGAATATTATTTTAGAGTATTTTATAAGCTTGTATTCTTACTCTTTATAAGAGTAGCAAAAAGGTATTTCTAGTTCCCTATTCTTGTAAAGGCGTCATCATAATATTCTCAAATCAACATTTTCTGCATTATGTATTACATATCAACTTGTCATCGATATTTATCAATTATTGGAACATACAATTATAAAGTTATGTACTGTACATTGATAGATTTCAAAATATTATTATTTGTTTTGAGTTATTTTGACATGTTACGTAACAAGTATGGTACTTAAAACTAGCTTTTGCCGCGACTCCGTCCGCATGGAATAGTGACTTCCGGCAGATTTTTGGTTCTTCCCACATAGTTCCCGTTCTTGCGGGGTTTTCGGAATGGTCGAGTTCACGTAGAATTTTCAGGATAAAACCTACTTATGTTTTTTTAATTCACAATGAAGTATTCTTAACCAACAACATATTTATTTGTTTATTTGAATAAAGATTAATATTATTATATTGATACAACTTAAACAAATTATTTAGACCAAATTAGGTACCATAAAAACATTGTGAGTTAATCTTAAAAGATAGATATATACTGTCGCGGTCTGTTTTTTATATCATTTAAAGAGCTGTTATTCTTTCTAACATAAATTTCTTCTATTTTGAACCGTTTTCATGGCGCACGCAACGGAAGGCTTCAAAGATGAAATAATTTCTCCCGTTTTTTACACATTTACCACTATATCTTTGCTCCTATTGGTCGTAGCGTGATGTTTTATAGCCCACAGCCTTCCTCGATAACTGGACTATCCAACACAAAAAAAATTATTCAATTCGAACCAGTAGTTTCGGAGATTAGCGCTTTCAAACAAACAAACAAACTCTTCAGCTTTATAATATTAGTATAGATAAAAGTGACACAAGTGACAAGCAATTGTTCCGTTTGACTATCTACTAAAAGTAGCGCAGAAGGAACTTAAATGATGGCTTTTAAATTGCATTTTTTTATTTATAAATGTGTTTCTTATTTATTAAAATTATAAACTCGAAATCTGGACCACAAATATTTATAAATTTGAGGATAATTCTATTTTATATATTAAAGCAGGGAGAGGTACTTATCTACCTACTTAGATAAGTACTTTATTTTTATATTTCTTATGACGTATGACAGAACAATCACAATGACAAATGTTACGGAAAAACATTCTGCGGATTATGTATTTATATAATATATAATATTAAACAATCTTATATATTGTTTGTATTCATTTGGAATAAGTCATAATATCACGTAGACTTAAAGGTATAACAAATCTGGTTTCTCCAAACAAAATACATATTTCAGTTTCAACATGCAATTGCATTTGAAGTTTCAGAGTAGGTACATTCTTATCAGCTTAGTTCTTGAACAGTTGTGATAACTGAAGTTATTGTTAGAAAAGTATGGGAGTTCTTATTATTGTATTTGTAATTAGCATTATTATAGCGCAGAACAGTTCTTTTGCTGTGTCGCAGTTCGCAAGTATATAAAAAATATTTATTACTTATATATACATGAAATTTAGTTTTTAGATTTAACATTAATTTTTTAAAAATGACTCCCTATTTGAAATTAACTATTTTCAAAAATGGCCTTTGAGTTAGTGTTTTTTAAGTTTTTTTTAGATCAATGACTTATTGTGTAAAACCCTGAAGTAAAAAGTGCCACCAAGTAATAAATCTGATTTGGATACAATTACAGGAGAATAGAGACCCATGTTTTGATGACAAGATATTTTAAATTAATCTGAAGTTTTACTCAAACTCTTATTTTCTTTTTATTAAAAAAATGTTAGGTACAGTTTGTGATGTTTTTGTTAGCTTTTTTTCTTACCATTAAAGAGGAGACAATTTTTCTGCTCTATTTCATTGTGATAAAGAATGTAAAATTTTATGAATATGTTTTTTCGTAGCTACCAAGATATTACGCTACATTAATAGAGTATCAAAAGCTCCATTTTCTAATATGGTTGATCCCAAAAGAGTGGTCAGTTATGAAGATATGCTTAAAGTCATTCAGCAGCCCGAGAAAGTCATAATTGATGTTAGAAACCCCGAAGAAGTGAAATCTACTGGCAAGATTCCATCTAGCATTAACATTCCATGTAAGAATTACATTAAGAACATTGCAAATAATACTTAATTTTAAATAATATTGTTTGAATGAATTTTTTTTTTAAATAACATAAATGCAGAAATCAGTATTGTGCCTAACAGGACTGAAAGTTAATTTTAAGAGCATTTATAAATTTTTTTATTTACATTTTCCTACTTTAGTAAATTTTGTTTACAGTAAATAATGTTCAAAATGCACTAGCAACAATGTCCGAGGAGGAATTTAAAAAGAAGTTTCAGAGACCTAAACCATCCTCATCTGATGAGTTAATTTTCTATTGTCAATCTGGGCGTCGCTCTACTGAGGCTTTGGATAGAGCACTCAAACTTGGATATACAAAGTAATAATGACATTTAACCTTTTATCAACAACACTTATCTGTTTCCAACTACTTTATTTCAGTTATTATTAATGTATTATCATACAATTTATTTTACAGATCCAAGACATATTTGGGAAGCTGGAATGACTGGTCTAGCAGACAGCAGTAATTATTGGATGTCAAATAAAATTGCATAATTAAAGCACATTATTTATCCCACAGCAATTTTTTTAGACAATTTTTGTATCTGTAATCACTGGTTGAAATATACCAATGCAGTACATGGTTATGTAACAAAATTAATTTATGACTAGGTATGCCTCTAATAAATATTGGTTTTGGCAAAATGTTATTACATCTTTGTTGCCCAATCGGTCCAGCTGCCAACATAATTTTTAGCACTGAAACAATATTGTGTATAAGTTGTACTCATAAATTTTCACTCTTTGAAGTAATGATTCTGAAATTTTAATATTTCAAAGTTTATAAACTGAGAAGTCTACATATTTACTTATATTCTTTACTTATAGGTTACTAGTATTTTTCCAAAGAACTGTAACTCTTGTAGAAAGCATCCATATTACAACTTTTTATTGGACAAATATTAAAATATAAACTCACTTTTTATAACCAAGATTTAGAGCATTCTGTTGTGCCATTCCAGACCTTTTTCCTATCATACAATAGAAAATAATTTCAGCATCTTCTGAAGGCTTTGATCTATTGTATGTTTTTTCAAATTCTTTATCAGACATTGGACCCAGTACGGTCGAAACTGAACCCACTATAATTAAAATATGAATGGAAATAAAACTGAATTGCAATTATTATGTAACTTCTATAACAAACTTACATGGGATATTGACACTGTTGGGTATTTTACCATGTTCCTTAACTTCCTCGGGTTCCCTTACATCTATTATGTATACTTTATCATCAGAAGTTGCCTTTTTCACATGGTCATACTCAACTATCATATGCTCTGTCTGTTGCGAAAGGAATCTAGGAGCAGCAAAATACTGAAACTTGCCACCTGTACAGAAAATTTATAAATTTGTGTTTAAGGTAGAAGATTATTTTTCCAGTAAATAGTAAATAATATTTGATAGATCATAATGAATTATATTATGCTTTGCTTTCTTTAATCAATATTCATTAAAAATGACTGTAAAGCAGAAGTAATTGTGAACCAAAATATTTAAGTTAAATTATTCTTTTATGTCTTGTCTATTGTCTTTTTATATAGAGGAATATGTGGTTGAATATTGAAGAATAACAAAAAAAACTAGCCACAAAAACAACAACAAAATATTTGTATAATACATAGACATATACGTGGATATATCCTGTAATCTTATACTTACTTACAATAGGAACACTTTTTGGTGATACTTTGTTAAAATAATTTACATACGAAATAGATCTCGACATCTGATAAGCAGATGCGTAAAAAATCCTGCTCAATCGGCTGGCCATAATTTTTATTTTAGGGAAAATCACCGAATAGATTTAAACTTTTTATCAACAATAGATTTTATCTTTTAATATGTAACAAAATTTGTTATAAGAATTGAAGATACGTTATATAACATTTACTGTGTTTTTTTCAAACACAAAATAGTTATTTAAGATTACAAAATTTAAGAAGTGATCAAGAAAAACTCCGGTAGATGTTAATAATGGATTTGAGCTTTGACTAGTGCGATAAGGACTGAAGTATTGACACTTAACCGACAAAAACATTTATCGCTGTTGTTTTAATACACTGTATCGTTTATTGCACATGAAAAGTAATGACTTCTTGCAAATAAATATTTTAATTTTATTACTTGTCGTTTCTTGAAAATAAAAACAATATTGTAATATATCAGCTCGTAATTTGATTTTGTTTTTGCGTGAAACGAATTATAATAAGTTAAATTAGATCTAAAAAAGTAAAAACATGATATATGGATATTGCTAATTTTCGAAATAATTTACAAAATCATAAATTAAAATTATTTAACATAATGATATCTACACTATGAATATATTGAATTTTTTAAGACTGTACATTGTTTACTGTGTTGTCATATAAAATTCCGTGACTAATGCTTATGGTATAATAATAGACAAATTTTATAAACATAGATTTTGACAGCTGGCTGACCCTATCTATCAACTATTGTTGAACTTAATAGTTTTATATATGTATAATTTTTTTCTTTCCTACCCAAGATTATTGTACAGTCTCTATATGTTGTAAGTGTAAAATAATACAGTGTGAATTTTAAAGTGTCAACTTTCTAGTATTTCGTCAAGTTACTTGAATGTATTCTCGACATAGTTTACTCTTCGTTTTTCTTATTGCTGTCCATTTCTATAAATATGTGTGATGGTAATAAACAGCAGGTATTACATGTGTTTTCAGATGATTTAACATAATATAGTGTGTGAGCGATATAAATGCTATGAGTTTGTTGTGAAAGAATGTTGAAATTTTAAGGTCATATTGCAAACATGGGGTCCATGCGACCTAATGGACGTTTCCTTTCATTTGCTAATAACATACAGAGAACTCAAAAGCAACCTGGTGAGTAAAATTAAAATGTTTCTTTGTTAAATTTAAACTTATGTTAAGAAATTAAGAAGTAATATCTAACTAAATTGTTAAACCTTTTACTTAACATTACCGCTTCATGAACAAATAAGTTCTGCATTATCGATCTCCATATCAAAATATTATTTGTATAATAAGGACTTTAATTTTAGTCCCAAGTGGATTTCCCCAAAGTCTATCCGGCAGTGAGACAGATGTGTCCACATCAAATGAGAATCTGTCTAGAGAGGAGAGGTATGTTGTGAGGCATACAGCACGAGTTGAACCACAAGGACAGGAGAATCAAAGCCAGACTAACAATAATAATAACAACAGCAATAGAAATACATTGAAGGTCATAAAAATATATATTAGTTATATATTACTAAGCTTTTACATTAAAAGATTATTGATATTATGTACAGGATAATGTATCGGGCAGTAACCGCAACTCATTAAAAGACTCGGTAGGTGGAGGTAACAGCAATCGTAGTTCCTTGGATGTTTCATCATCATCATACAATACCCTCATCATTCATAATCAGGATGACTCCTGGTCTTCAAGACCAACACCAATTCGGTATGCTTTATGCTTCCATTAAAATAATATACAGTAGAAACTAGAAACTTGATTATCTGGCCCTCAGTTATATGGATTCGCGACTATCCGTACTATGGACAAGTCCAAACAAGAAAATATGTCAAAGCATAAGAGAGTGACATACATCTAATGACTAGTACCAAATATTCTAAACCAAATTAAACTTATTATTTTAATTCATGATTAAATCTGCAGTTTTTAGTACATACACTTATATATTATGTACTACATATGCACAAAACTGGCTTTTCTTCATACATTTGATTATCCAGATTTTCGATTATCTGAATGCCTATTGACAACAATTAGTCTCGTTAATCGAGTTTCTACTGTATAACAAATGAAAAATTTCCTATTGGTTCTTATTCTGATTGCTTATTATGTAATCAGGGAACATGAAAGAACAAACAGTGAAGTTAAGCATACAACAACACAGTCTTCACCATACCACACCTTGAAGAAGAGTGATGCAGCGAAAAAGCCTAGCGGGATACCTCTACCGAAAGTTCATAAAGAGCAAACGGTTACAACAAGTGCTAATTATATAGATATCGGAGGTCAAAGAATTTATACGAGCCCACCCGATCAAGGAGTTCAGGTAAAATTACTGATATATTTTTTGTATGCTACCATCATCCTTGAACAGAGGCTTATAAAGGCATTAACTATACTTATTGTATTATTCAATACAACTATATTAATTTTGTAATGTATGTATTATGCTAAGTAGCAAGATTCAACAACAGAAACCAATATAATACTTATTTAACAATACCAACCAAATATAATACAGTTATTTATATATGTAGGAAATAACTGAAATACCGGATGATTTTCTGAATCAGTCATCAGTTCTGAAACATCTTGCCAAGGAAGTTACCCAATCTCCGACACCTCGAGGGCTCACACCTCCTGCCTCTCCCCAATCAACTCGAGCTCCCTCGAAACCTCGTGAAGAAAGGAAAGGAAAAGGATCGAAAGCTAAACTCAGTAAAGAAAAGTTGAATTTGTCAAGATCACAGCCGGATCTAACAAGGTATATAAGTCTTATTATTATTATATATACAGGGTGACTGGTGAATTACTATCAATATTTGAGGACGTGATATTTGACGATCATATATGACAAAATAAAAATTAATATAACATAAATATTAATAAACTTCTAAGTAAAGTTAACCAAAAGTTATGTAATTAATTACGCATCGTATGAACACCCTACAGATTAGGTATACACTGACACTCACACATACGCATGTCGTCCACACTTGAACAATTGGAACGTGTCAACACTTTACTTATTTATACGGAAATTTTGTCAAAAATTAAGTGCCTATTTTTTTTACATAATTCGAATGAGAATCATGTACCGAGTATGCGCCTTAAATATTGATAGTAATTCACCAGTCACCCTGTATATATTTAATAAGTAGTATGTATACTATTAGTATATACACTACTTATTAAATATGTATATGTATATGTAAGAATAGTAGTATGTATAAATACAAAGCATTTGTATGTCTTAGAATGGTAATAATAAAAGCGGCTTAAAGTTGTAAGAAGTCATATAATAGTTAAGACATTGTTTATTACAGCAACATGCAGTGAAAGAATACATATTTATGCATATTTTATGTTTATAGTAAGTTTATTTACTCAGCAGCATATTTATATGAAATTGAATATCTTTCCATATAAACTTTTATGTTTAGCCAAAAGTTTGTTTTAGTGTGTTTATGTTTTATGTTGCCAATTTTAATAGAGCCTTAATGTATTTTATGATTGCATACTTAATTTATATTATAATTGTATGTTTGTTTATTTAAGTGTTGGTGTCCGAGCAGTACCTGGTGGTTCAGAATCCAGCGGTTGGTGTAGCGGAGGCGAGGGTTCTTTGGAGGAGGCTGATGATGCGTTTGCAGCTGTTCTGGATGCTCTAGCAGCTGAGAACCACGCGCTGAAGAGACAGCTGGCTGATGCGTGCGAGCGAGTAGCCAAGACACATAAGGTATGAGACAGAAAGAGATAGATAGAGAATTTAATTATTGTCTAAACTGTTACTATAAATATTGAACACTTTATTTAGCTCAAACATTATTTCTTCTCTAATTAATATGGATGAAATTTAAGAGAAATTATAAAAAAAATCATTCAATCAATTGTTGGTGAGAAAGACAATGACCGATTTTGTACAATTAAAGAAGTACTTTTTTAATTAATAAGTCATAGGAAATATATTATATTTACAACTAACAAAGGATCCTAGAATACAACCGCTTTTCATTATAAGTAATTTAAATTTTAAAGCTTACTGAGAATATCCCTTGTACATTGTAATAATGGAAATAAATCCACGGTATGGTTTGTAATTGGTAAACATTAAGAGACACGATTTTTTAAGAATAATTTTTATTAAGTTTATTAATTGATTTATTTCAATAACTATTTTTTTTATTTCATACATCAGTGTATAATTATCATCAGTCTACTTATTTTAGTAGCTGATAAAATAGGTACATGATTTAGAATATTGTTTAAATACATAATTGCTTTTTGCTGATTGTCAAAAATATATATATTTATGTGTCATTTTTATTTAAATTATCGACTATTCTGAGAAATTTATTGAAGAGCTTGTACGTGAAATAGAATAACATTATTTTGGTTAAGTTACAGCACTCCTTCAATTTCTCATTAATTTAATACATTTATACAGACAGCTGTCAGACAGATACGCAATAGATTTTTCTGTTACATAATCCCTCTTTCAACTTTCGCTTTCTATTGTTATTCAGTCAAAGTAGAGAAAAAAGAATATTCTTTGTTTATTGGTTGGGTGAAAGCAGCAACAGTTGTACAACATAGTTTTTTTTTTCAAATCTTTCAACATAAGATCAAGTATATTGAGCATTTTTTTTGTCATACTTCGTAGTCAATAATATAAGACCTATAAAAATCTATTTGATTAATTTATATAAACAAAAAACCTTACTGATGTCCGTTCAGTATTGTTTACTTGTGTATTTCGAGACGGTCGTGAGTAAGTTTTTATTTTTATATGCCTGTGATGTCACACTATTTCAATGAAATCCTCTTAAAGTACGTTGCACCGCGTCTCGATCTATTTTTCTTAGTGATTCATGTTACTTGATCGTGTTTAACATTATTACAATTTGAGTTTCATTCTTCATCATTATTTAAATACGTATTAAAAATGTAACTTTCGGAAAAATATATTTACATATTTTAATTTAGAAAAAAAATCCTTGTTCTTTTTGATAGAAAGAAATTAAGTATTCAACTTTAAAATGTTTTTCTACCTAAATAAAACAACCTGACTTTTTAAAGAATTTTCACTATAAGAATGAAGAACAGTAATTGTCACTAGTCCAATAAAAATGACATTAACTATTGTCTCCAATTATAAATGGTTATGTTAAATCCTCTGTATAAAGTACCTTTTTCCTATAAATCATATAAGAACGAAACAGCTACTTTTTAAAAACAGTAAAATATTGTTAATTCAATCTTTAAAATCTGGCATTGCACTTAGAACACAGTCTAGGAAGAATATACCTGGATCAATAACAAAATTTGACCGGATTTATTTACTATCTACTACTTAGGTGTACAAATTATTTGAGTAATAGACTTATCTAATAGAAGACCTGTCTGATTTAACTAAACCTTAACCTTGACGACTTTTGATTTGGCTTTTGTACGTAATGTAATATTAAATAATGTATATTATTTGTATAGTTGGAGCAGGAAGTGGAAAAGGTTCGTACAGCCCACGAAGAGCTGGTGGGGTCGTGTGAGAGAAGGGAGCGCCTGGAGCGAGCCGCGCGGGTGAGGCTGCAGGCTGACTGTAGGCGACTACACGAGATTAATAGGGCTCTCAAACACCAGGTAACAGAGATAGAGATATATTGTTACAAGTGGCGCTCTCTATGTTGTGCTAATCTATATATAAAAAAATGAATTGCTGTTCGTTAGTCTCACTAAAACTCGAGAACGGCTGAACGGATTTATCTTAGTCTTGAAATATTCGTGAAGTGTCAGGGAAGGTTTAAAAAGCTGAAATTTTTTTATTAATTTCCGGGAAAACCCTAAAGACAGCCCTTTTCTATTTCCCATGTAAACGTTTTTTTTGACATTAGATTTGACAACTAACTAATATGTCAATCATTCTGTCGCACTTCAGAACACGGATATTTATGGCTTAAAGGAAAACTCCAAAAAAAAAAATTTTTTTTTAATTTATGAATTGAGGCAGTACGAAGTCTGCCGGGTCAGCTAGTTATAATATGTATGTAGTAATTATTCTTATATCTGATTAAAATTAATTATTATACTGATTGTTATTTTGTGTGCAACATTTAAGTATCAACCTGTGTTAGAAAACTAGGAATACAAGTTTCAGCGATTTTGTAAGATTTTATTGGATGTAACGCTGAACATTGAAAAACAAATCTGAAACTGTATATCGAATGACAATGTTATATTATATTAAAATATATGTTCCGCTTACCTGCAAAGAGGATATTTTAGTTCATACATAATACGGTACACTATACTCTGTAGTTAATAAACTCTTTTTTTTTAATTCACTTATCTGACATATTCATACCGGTCATTACTTTGATAGTATTGTACATTAATTCAGACTAATAGACTTTATTTCTATATGAAACTGTTACTACTGTTGCCACAATTATACAACAACTCAATACATACGGATTATTTTCCAGTTTTTCATTCATAATTTTCGCACCTGATAATATCAATAAAATCACGATGCGGACTTGTCTTAAAGATATGGTATATGTACATATATGTGTGCGTGCGTGTGTAAGTGTGTGTGTATTCATACAAAGTAACTATTAATCCACAATAAGTATGTTGTTTGTTCTGTATTAACAGACGGAGTTACTATCGTCTGGAGGTCGGGCGGAGGGCGGCGCTAGTGTGGAGGCTCTGAGGAAGGAGTTACAAGGACGGGAGATGCTCATAGCGCAACTAATTACACAGAGTTAGTATGATACACTTATACAGTTATAGTACAGGATATTCCCAGCTTTAGCCAGTTTTGGCTAATTGTTTTTACGACCGGCCGCCTGCCTGACATCAACCCTCTTTGGGATGTAGAGGATATTATGTATATGAAAATATCGTGATACATCAACAAAGAACCTGAAAATAAGAAGTTTATAATTATGGTATATTCTTAATTTGTGTTTATTTTTAGAATTTTTTCTGTGTATTTCATTTATCCCACTATATGGAAGATTTTTTTTTCTTTTTTGAATAAGACTAATTTTTCACTATCCCTTCAGAGAGTTTTTGTTTCATTCCCTATATAACATATTTATATGCGTGTGTTGTAGATAAGGAGCTGGCCTGCGCTAAGGAGCGTCAGGAGATAGAGATGTCAGCTCAGCGGGCGACGTTACAGGAGCAGAGGACGCACATCGACATACTGGACACGGCGCTCACTAACGCTCAGGCTAACGTGGTGCGGCTGGAGGACGAGGTGAGACATACACACACGCACGCGCACACACACACACACACAGACACACACACACACACACACACACAAACACACAAACACAAACACACACACACATACAAAACATAAACTATAAAGACAATCTAGATCACACATTATATATTAGGGATTTTTCACATATATTATACTAGCTGCTCCCCGCGGTGTTATCCGCTGATTTCCGGGATGTAAAGTAGCCTATGTGTTATTCCTGGACGTCAGCTTCCTGTATACAAAATTTTATCAAAATCAGTTTAGCCGTTTGAGCGTGAAGAAGTAACAAACATACACACACACTCACAAACTTTCGCAATTATAATATTAGTAGGATTCTTCTTCTTCTACCTGCCAATTTCCCAGCTTTTAGCCCGGGTCTGCCTTACATGTTGTGAATAGTTTTGGCTAATTGTTTTTACGACCGGCCGCCTGACTGACATCAACCCTCTTTGGGAATGCATTAATCAGTGATGTCTGAATACTCTTAGAAGGTACATATGACTCGGAAAAATCACATTGGTACTTGCCAGGATCGAACCCATTCTCTCATGCATGAGTGGCGGGTCTTTTAATCACTAGGCCACCACTGATTTTCACATATGTATATTATGTTATGTAAATTAAATGTAATGTTTTCTTGTGTAATATATATGGTAAGTCGTTATAAAGTATGTATCTGGTAGTGTCGTCACGCGAGTGGGTACGTGGAGCGCGTGTTGGGTCTGCAGAGGGCGCTGGCGTCGCTACAACAGGCATCGGACAGGAGGGAACATACCGAGAGGAAGCTGCGGGCACAGCTAGAAACGGAACTACAGGCGCTCAGGTAATACACGAACATATGAATGAAACTAATATTTTCGGATTTTACTTCGCGTTTTTTATTTTTTATTACGAACTACATACTCCCGACGTTTCGGCTACTTTTCAGCAACCGTGATCACGGGCAGACACATCTCGACACTCAAACGCGAACTAAAATCCGAAAATATTAGTTTCATTTAAATGAGTACTCGCGAAAATGTTAGAATGTAGTAGTAGAAGGTACTTCTGTCTTACGAACATGTATCAAAGCATTCAAACAAACTATCGTGAAAATCTCCTTTTCATTTCTTATTTTATTTTAATTCTATTAATGCGGTCATTTGTGGTTGGAATAATGTATATTTTTTCGTTTTCCTGTCAACTTTTTTGTGTATGTTGGTGCTACATACATGTTATTATAACACCATGAAATTTTGATTTACAAACTTGTATTAGAAAAAAGTTACCATTATGTACTTATTTTATACGGTTCTGAAGTTAAAGATCATTGGATATACTTTTTTATCTATGAAACTAATCCCTACTAATATTATTAATGCGAAAGTAACTCTTGTCTGTTACACTTTTACGCCTAAACCACTGAACTGATTTTAATGAAATTTGGTACAGACATAGAGTTGACCTTGAGAAAGAACCAGATAGTTTTTATCCCAGACTTTTAAAAGGTTCTCTTGGAAACGCGATATAACCGAACTCCACGCGGGCAAGGAAAGCTAGTTTTAAATAAATAAGTACAATAAGTGATACATATGTATTTCAGAAAACGTGAGTGTGTGTGCGGTGGTGTTGATACGTCTGGTGTGAGTGGTGGAGGGGGCACCGCGTGTGGCGGGGAGGCGGGGGCGGAGGCCGAGCTCAGGAGGGCGCTTCGGTCCAGAGATGAGAGGCTGCTGGCTTTAGAAGGGGAGTGCGCCAAGTGGGAACAACGATACTTGGAGGAGGCCGCGCTCAGACAGGCGGCTGTCTCCGCAGCATCCATACCTAAGTACGTGTTACACAGGGCATTTAACTATCCGTGTTGCGTAATCATACCGAATTAAAAATTGATGCGACCGTACTAAAGGTTTATATGCATCGATCTATTTTCTAATTGGACAACTATTATGTCCTATAGACTCGCGTTAATTAGAAAATAATTAACTATAGTGTTTTGACGGTAATTTTTGACAGAAACAAAATACTAATTCGTTTTGTTCAAATAGTTGGAATTATAATCTACCCTAATATTTATTAAATCCGTGTTGTATTTCAACCGCGTAACGTACATATGATCTGTCCAGGGACGCTAAGATCGCTGCCTTAGAGAAGACGTCAGCGGAGTCCGAGAGGTTGATGGCGGAAGCTCGCAGTGAGAAGATACGACACATGGACGAACTACACTTAGCACAGAAGAAGGTGGCTGACTTGGAGAGTAGGTGAGGATAAAGGATATATGACAGACGTGTGGCAATTATAACATACATATCGTCGGGATAGTGCTTCTTCTTCTACCTGGCAATATTCCAGCTATAGCCAGGATCTGCCTTACATGTTTTGAATAGTTTTGGCTGCTCGTTTTTACGACCGGCCGCCTGCCTGACATCAACCCTCTTTTGAGAATCAGCATTAATCAGTGATGTCTAAATATTCTTAGACAGTACATATAACTCGGAAAAATCACATTGGTACTTGCCAGGGCCAAGATCGAACCCGCGCCCTCGAGCTTGAGAGGCGAGTCTTTTAACCACTGGGCCACCACTGACTAAATCCGCGTAACTATCACTGGATAATTCCGCGTATCTACATTGGAAGCAGATTATCAGAAGAAAGTTTGAACTGAAATATTTTCTATACTAACGATTTTTGAGGTAATTTTACCACGATTAATAATAAATTAAACACTAAATAATTAGTAATTGTGAAAAAAAATACCTTAAAAGTCGTTAATTTTTAAATATCATTTCATATAATGTCCAACAAGTTATAATTAGTGTAATTATTTTTTTAATTTACATATGTATTATTAAATTTTTAATAACAAATATTAACATTTTATTGATGAAGCAACTGAAATATTCTGCAGGTTGTATGTTCAAAGCGTGCTGATCTCAATAAATTATTATCGTTTTTTCTAATATATTTTTTAATATATATGGCGTCACACATTATTTAATATGTCTAACTGATGGTATAATTATTATTGTAGGGTTAAAGAGCTGGAGTCTAAAGTGGCTGAGCGTGATGCGATGATCAAAGTGTTACAGAAACACACGAGCGCCGCCTCCCTCAGAAACAACTCGAGTAGAGAGGAACTCGGTGAGTGAAAATTACTACTGCTATGAAATATTACTTACGATACTGACATATAGACTAGCAAAACATCAAATCACAGATAAAGAAACATATTGCTGTACATTACATGCTTCTTTTTTGGCGATAGTTTCTTAATACTGATATTAATTTAATCTTATGTAATACATAGTGATATAAGTACGTTTACTATGGAAGGGAATATATGAGACATGAAGTCACACAATTTGAAAAGTAATCGTTATAAAAGAACGTAAAGATTTTCGTCAACATGACAAATCCCTACTAATATTATAAATGCGAAAGTAACTCTGTCTGTCTGTTTGTCTGTTAAGCTTTCACACCTAAACCACTGAACTAATTTTAATGAAATTTGGTACAGACATAGAGTTGACCTTGAGGAAGAACATAGGATAGTTTTTATCCCAGATTTTTGAAAGGTTCTCTTGGAAACGCGATATAACAGAACTCCACGCGGGTGAAGTTGCGGGCGGAAAGCTAGTTATTATTATATAATTGAAACTAAAGACCATATAAATATTAATATGAGCCATTATTCATGGTATATATGTAATTTCACTGTCACACAATGGACATGAAATGCTCTTAAGTCTTATATATATAATAAACTCGTATGTACGTACATGTTGTATATATTCCAGTGGGCCTATCGTCGGGAGCGTCGTTCTCTAGCGCGGAGGGCGTGGGCTCGGCCGGCGTCACCAACCGATACAGGCACCTCGCACGGAGGAACTACTCCCCACACAACGATAACAGCGGTACGAACACACACACACACACAGCACCTCTCTTATATACATCTTCTATATATATAAAAATGGATTGCTGTTCCTTAGTCTCGCTAAAACTCGAGAACAGCTGAACGGATTTATCTTATCTTAGTCTTGAAATGTTCGTGGAGGTTCAGGGAAGGTATAAAAGGTGAGAAAAATTTGAATAATTGCCGGGAAAACCCTAAAAACAGCGCTTTTCTATTTCCCATACAAACGTTTTTTTTGACATTAGATTTGACAACTAACTAATATGTCAATCATTCTGTTTGATTGAAACAGGAAAAACCTGATTATTTATGGCCTCTAAGACGGAATAGAGTTCGCCTGGTCAGCTATACCTATATACAGGGTGACTGGTGAATTACTATCAATATTTAAGGAGCATACTCGGTACATGATTCTCATTCGAATTATGTAAAAAAAAATAGGTACTTAATTTTTGACAAAATTTCCGTATAAATAAATAAAGTGTTGACACGTTCCAAGTGTTGCATGTGTGGACGCGTGCGGCGGCGTGCTGATACAACACTACGCCGCCGCCGCGTCTGTGTGAGTGTGTGTGTATACCTAATCTGTAGGGTATTCATACGATGCGTAATTAATTACATAACTTTTGGTTAACTTTACTTAGAAGTTTATTAATATTTATGTTATATTAATTTTTATTTTGTCATATATGATCGTCAAATATCACGTCCTCAAATATCGATAGTAATTCACCAGTCACCCTGTATATTACTCTTGACCAAACTAACGCGGACGAAGTCGCGGGCAAAAACTAGTTATATATAATGTTGATTGCTATTAGTCACTCAAAATACTCAGTCAGAAGACATTTGGTGACAATCTATGAAAGTATAAATGTCCATTAAAGCCGGCCGTCCAATTCAGATCGGAAAGTAACATTCAGCACAACACGTATTCCTTTTTCATATTGCGTCTTTGTAAGAATGAAAGAGCATTAATTTGATGTTGTCAATAATTGTGAAGGCGATTTAACTTATTCCTTATATTATCCAGGCTGCGGGTTCGACAGTTCGTCTCTCCGCCTTGAGGAGCAGCTGGCCGCGTTAGAGTCCCGCCTGGAGCGGCCGCCGGTGCCCGCTGTGAGTTACCTCTCAGACGGACCCCCCTCCCCGCACTCCTCGCACGCCAGCTACTACTAAGACACACAGATACGGTCTAAACTCGAATTAATAACCAGTCTCATGAAAATATATCTCTTATACAATATATACTTTAACTATATTTAATTAAAAAAAATAACTAATATTAATATTTTAGTAACAAAGTATAATTATTATCAATTGGTCTGAAAGCAAAAGTATTTGAATATTTCATTAATTACAATATATTTCATTAAACTCATCCCTACACACATTCCAAGTATAAAATGTCGCATTAACATTCCTCGAACCGATATTATAACAGATATTAACAGATTAACTTCCCTTCATATACTCTATATAAACATTGAACTTGAAGGTAATCTGTTGTAAGCGTGTGATTATATAGTAAACCCAGTATCAACGAGTGTAGCTTTTTGTTTAGTTTCTAAACTTATTTAACCTCATAATCAGCTTTTTAACAGTGTTTTGTCTAATATAGGACACAAGTATTGCATCTCATAGATATTAGTATATATTTAATGTATGACTGGAAAATGACTTGCCTTAAACGGTGGCCTTGATATTGTTATAATATATACAAACTGTAGGTGCCAATATATTTTTATAAGAATCTCTGAGAATAGATTTCGTTGTGAACAGAATGTTTTATTTGGAAACTGTTGTATTATTAATGGATGTGTTGTATTGAGTCGGTCACAAATTAAGCCAAAGCTAGTATAAAGATAGTCTCGAGATATTCTTACTGTAATATATATTTTGGTAAAAATGTATTCTTATTTTATATTTATTATAGACTAAGAATGTACTCATGTCTGATTCGTATCTTTGTATATTAAAATAAGTCAATGTATTGATAATATTTCTTTGGCAGCTTTCACAGTGAGGCTTTATAAGTGTTAACATGAAAGTGTAATCAATATATTTTGTATTGGATTTTGTAATCGGCATATTTAAAAATGGAATGTCCATAATAAATAATGTTTTGTTTGTTGTGGTTTTAATTGTTCCTAATACTAGAGGCTTGGAGTTTATATATTAACTTTAATTAATTTATTTATTGGAATCAAGGAATATTTCAATCTTTGAACATGGACATGGCTGATATTTCGTGATTCCAATATGATTGATAATGTTTTGAGCTTCAAATAACACTTGTTTATTTTGAGTGTAGTGACAAGTTGTGTGTGTTGGCTGAGTTTTATTTTTGACCGTGTGCGACTTACCTTTAAGTGAGTATAGCTACAACAATGGAATTTAAAAAAATAAAAATTAAAAAGGTATAAATATACATGTTTGTCATGTTTTTATTGTGTCGGATGAATTAAAAGAAATATTCCTCATAAACAAATAATAAACTTTTTTTTATAAAAAATAAATTAATTAATATATTAACAAATTCAGATAGGATAGTAAAGAGATCAAAAAGTATGTTGTAGTTTAAGAATTACTTGATTTCGAGTAATATTTTCGAGTAATGAACAATTAAATATATAAAATTGTTCCGTCTATAGACTTATACGAATTCTTCGTGAAGTTACAAAATAAGACCTCTCCGTGGTACATATTTCAAACTCAGGTCGTTGCAGGACCACTGTAACAAACACAATTTCGTTTCTTGTTGGCCAGAAATTAACTAAAACAATAAGTTAAATTTAAAATTATAGTGTTGACAAAAATATAAAATTTGAAATAATTAAGGTTAGAAAAGCAATATTGTGCATATTCATAGCTCACGTTGAAACGGATGATGCTTTCACGAGAGCTGTTTTCGCAACAAGGTAAGCTAAGAAATCATTCAGTTTGTTTGTATTGTTCTATTGTGCTGGTTCATTAACTCAATAACAAAGTGCAGATTGCTTAACACTTTCTGAATATTTCCAATCTAATTAGATGCATGTAAATGCATAAACAAGTAAAGCATTATAGAATCTTCACATACATATATTATCAATACGTGTTTACGATACAAGAAATAAATGTAGGGGAGTAATTTGAAGTCGATGAATAGATATGAATTAAAAGACAACTCTCTTTTATTGGTTATTTGTTAGATTGTTAATTGTATGTGTTAGCGAGGGTTGTGCTGTTTCCCTGGTCTGAGTGCTGCGGGCGTTCGTGGTCGAGGCGAGGAAGCTTTACTTCTGGAGCGTCAAGGTCGAGCCTCTCAGCAAACACGTTCGTCCAGCCTCCCACCACCACCGTCAGCCCTTCCTCGACCGCCACGGAAACCCTCCGCCAGAAACACCAGATACGAGAGAATGGAACACAGGGACGCTCGGAAAGTAAGCCATTTATATTAATTACGTATGGCATCACCTAAATGAGCTGAGGTATACCTCAACCTTGTTTACATTTAGGGTTTTTTTTCTAATGATTTATATACTTATATCCATATTTAACATTCGTCAAGGACTCCGACGGATCTGGTTCTATCGCATCAACAGCGTCTCGTAGTTCACCCTCGCCGTACGACACAGTCCGTAAGTTACCATCAGTACCAACATCAGCTTCCCTGCCGGCGGCCGAGTCTCGTGAGTCTCTCGTAAGGCCACGCGACTCCAGCTTACCGTCGCCTTCCAAGCTGGCTGTCTACGCTGCAGCTAGACGACGCTCCGCTGAATCAGCCAAAGATAACAATAAAAGAACACACCACTATCGTATACAGTTCTGAATTGTTTAACGCTAAACTTGCGGACAAACGTAAAGGACTATTGTGCATCATTCTATCATTACGATGAATAAAAAATCAAATTACCGTATGGTATGAATATGAAGAAATTTTAATAATGTTTAAGAAATCTGGTCCTTTAGTTAAAATATTAAAAATTTCTTTAATGTTTGAAACTATCTCATGACAATAGTCTTGGATATTCTAAATTAAATATAATAATACTTTTTTTGTAAAAGTTCCACCTAATTGACTATATTTTTAATTATTGTTTTGTTGTGGTTTTCGTTATGTTTTTTGTGAAAAAGATGTGTTTTTATATATCTACTTCCGTTTGTTCTACAATTAAATTAATTGGTTAATGATCTGTAAAACTCATCGATAAAAAAAAACTTTCACACTTTTTGCGAATACATTTTTTTTTTTGTTGAATCGTTAGTGTTGCATGTGTTTGCCATAAAAGTTTATTTTGAATCGTGTCATATTTTACATCATTCATTAGAATTTGCTTCTTCCAATCATATATTTGCAATATATCGTAGTTTTTACTACCTTATTATATACAATTGACGACAGACAACTAAAACTAATGATGAAATATTAGTTTTTACTGTTGTCTCGTCTGTAACACGCGTGTAGCTCAAGCTACATTCAAATATGAATTCATTTCATACGATATTTAATGTGTCAATATTTTTCATATATTGTTTATTAAAATGAAATTGTTGAATGTTGAAACATTAAATTTGTATTACATTCTATTCTAAGATAATATTTTTTAACATCGTTGCATCTATTTCGGTATGAAATTGTTTGTTTGAACGATATAAGGCATTTTTCAGTCTGGTTTTCAGGAAGAAAAAGAAGATGCAAATATATAAACACTATTGCAATATCATGATGAAAAGCAATAGTTTTTAAATGAATATGTACCTTTTTACTTAAAAATTATAAGTAAATTTTTTGTCTGACATTTAAACGTCATTGAAATTGTCATTTTCACAGTTGTCACATTACAAGCTGATAAAATGTGTTGTGGCTGTAAAAATTCTTTAGTTTTGTGGTGACTCACGTAGTAAAGCATAAATTTTGCTTTTATTATTAAAATTACCTATGTAATCTCAATTGTACTAATATTTAGATGTTTTGTGGATTATTTCGAAAAAATTATTCATATCTGTTATAATTTATACTGACTTAGTGAGTTCTAATCTCTGCTTATTTTTTATATCTATAATTAATGATTAATTTGTCAACAAAAAGTTAAAGGGAATTGTTATATAATAATGAATTGTTTGACGTTTAGCACAAAGTTATTTTCTTAAGAACCGAAACTAAAGCAAAGATTTTATTATCCTAAGGATAAAATTGTAGATTGGCTTTGTGTAAAATTTTACTTACATTGTTAATTCGATTCAGTATTTTGTTATCAAATTATTAATTTTCATAGAAAATACATTTCAGACGTCACATATATTTTAAATTATGTTCTTATATATATAATTTTTTTGAGTTTCTGTATTTCATGAAAAATTGGCTACAATGATTATGGCCTAAAGCTTTTTAATTTTTTACAGTTGAAAGTTATTAATATAGATAGTGTCGCCATTTTCATTGAGCGCTTTTTAATTATCTGTCAATGATTGACAGCCATGTACTATTTTTCCTAAAATTACTATGAATGAATGTAGGTTGCCAATATAAACAATAACATGATCAAATGAAATTCTAGTCTTTTAAGATGAAAAATTTATTTCTATATAGTTTTTAATGTATTTTAAGGTGTTTTAAATATTTCATTAAACTGTACTTAAAAAATATCAAGTTTTATTACTCTTATCAATAAAAAAGCTCTCTATACCGCAAATTGCTTTTTTAAAACAATAAAAAATGTAATATTGTTTGTGTGTGGTCATGATATGTAACAAATAGCTGTATCAACCAGCCTTTTCCCATTCTTATTAGTATCTTATACAACTTTTTTTGAAGCGTTCCATATGATATCAATCTTAACGGTTTTTTTACAGTTTGGACCCTTGATGTCATGCGTGAAGTCGTGAAGGCATTCAGAACGACCATATACAACCGACAAGTACCTACACATTATTTAGTCCGACATTATAAAGTTCCTTGTACGGATAAAGTGTGTTAATAACGTGTTTAGAGTATATTACTACGGATCAGATACAGATCTTCACATTTAGAATCTTTAATTCATGGCCCCATATTATTTATTAACGAAATACTTTATTAAAATAAATAAATGTAATTTGATAACGATATTTAACACAAAAAATCGTTACACATTCATGTTAATTTGTTATATTTCACAATAATGATTTGGACAGTTTTAAGGATGTATGATAAATGGGCGTCTCTTTTTAATAACCTATAAAAATAAGTAGGGTATATAAACTAACTTGAGTATATACAATACATAATTCAAGCGTAAGAATCCCTTAGCAATAATTGAGTATACGCTTAAAGAGTTAAATTAATCAAGGAAACAAAGCGAAGGCCTTGATATTGGCATTAGATGGAAAGAACGAGATCGGCGACCTCGGCCGAGCGACGAACAAATGAGCGAGCGAGGAAGTTTGTTAGCTAGTAATCTAACAAGCAAACGGGTTTCCTTATCTTTAATACTATACTACAATAATCATTGTAAAATACTATATTTGTTGTATATCTTGTTAAAAAATATAACGGCTAACTACTTCCATATAATACGCAAAAAGATTGTTATAATAATACTAATAGATGTATTTATGTAATTAATTATGCAATTCTCTTGCGTCGTATAAAAATAAGTAGTTTTATTTGAAATTCAAGCATAGGTTAGGTTTATGTGTCATACAAATTTGGAAATCACTTGATTAATATTTAAATTGTAGCTATACACTCATAAATGTACTATTTTTATACGTGATGGAGTGAAGTAGGTTAATCCTAAAATATTGACCAATACGATTCAGTTTCAACCAGACGCTTTGACATCTTTTGATGATTTATTTATATTAACCTCGACAAATTTATTGTAATACAATGTTGCCATATACATTAAATATAATTTTATTGTATATTAAAGAAAATTTATTTTTATTTATAAATTATAGATTATGACATAATATAATTACAATTTCAACCGTCTAGGTTTATATGAAGTTAGTAAATGATTACATAGAATTAACAGGCGGATGGTGAATATTTTACTTGTTACGATCATTTAATATATTAGAGATTCCAGTTCTTCCTACATTTTTTAATAACATTCCAGGACAGTAATATAAAAATTCCCCAACAGAATATTAAAATATAATTAAGCAAAATCAATAACCATCTTTGATCTTGTGCAAAATGATTCAATTATTCGTTGGTTTTGCATTAAGAAAGAATGACGATATATTAAAATAATAATCTAATGTTTATGAAAATAAAACGTATTAACAATATATAACGAAAACAATATCAAACGAAGGAGGAGTCAAGGGTCATGGAAAATGCAATATTCCTAGATAGGATCTAATAATAGAGCCAGTAAGAGCTTGTAAGAGTAATATCCGAGAAATGCCAAAGGTAACTCCGTAATTAGCTCCTGCCGTTAGTCAGGGACTAATTAATATGGTATTTATAGACAACCTTTAATAAACTAATATTTTTAATATATCTAAGAATTATCTAATTATTATTACAAAAAATATTTTTAATGATAAATCATAAATTTCATTAAATAAGATACATAAAATAGACTTTATTTTTCGTAATATACAGAAATGATACATGAAAATATTAACAGAAAAAAAAACGTCAGTCATGTCACGTGTATGTCAATTGCAAAAGAGAAAGAAGTTAAAAAAATTACAAATGTCATCGTAACAAATATTTTAAAACAGTTCTGTCCCCAGACAAACATTTTCTTTGTTTTGAGAAAGTTCGCGAAAAGAGCAAACGTAGACAGACATAAATAACGCAAATCGATTCCTTGCGACCTGAATACGGTCAGGTCAAAGTCGTGTCACGGCTGGAGTCACAATATTTGGTCACTTGGGTATTGAATAAGAGGATATTAATATTAATTATATGTAGAATTAGTTGAGACCATATAAAAAGGTTAAAAAGTAATCTTTTATAGAAAATTTATAATAAACTATGGAATCACTACGCAAGTGGACCTTATTCAGTATTTAGAAGTATCTCCTAAGTTAGAAAACATAAATGACATTGAAAAACAATATTAGATATATTTTTTATTTCATGTATATTGGTGAAGCGTACATAATAAAGACAATTTTTAGTTGATGTTCATGCTAAAACTTTATTATATTTCTTAAAAAGTAAAAACACGCAAATATGTACCGTGAACAGTTACACCAATGAGTGATCAGCTGATGCCTTATATTGGCCGCCATATTGACCTTGGGTGCTCTACTGAGTGCCTTTTACTTTAAGCCTACTTCGATGTAATGTGACATGTGATAGATGGTCGTAAAATTTAAGAATAATAATGAAAAAAATCACTTTTAATAGCAAGAAAATTTAAAAAACATGCAATGCATAGCATTACAGATGTCATAAATGATTTCTAATTCCATATTTATACAAGAAATTTTCAAATAACAACTAATAACATCATTTTGGTCTTAATAGGCCAATACTATTCTATGTAATAAGATAATTGCATAAAAACCCAGTAAAATCACGAAATTGAAGACAATGTGACAGAGATAACTGTAATGTAACAGTATAAACGAGTTGAATAAAAATAAATGGTCAGTGGTGGAGCGCGCGGCTCATACTAACCCAATTCCTGGCGCTATCGGCTTTCACAGTTGCGTCATGAGATCATGATTATGTAATAATACTTCCTCTTAATAAGGTGTTCGCGATGTTATTTAGTTTTAAATTGAAGGTCTTCTGATGATGTTAGAGTAAAAAAAATACTATTACTATAGAATAAATACTTTTTGTTTGATAAAACGAGTTTTACTTTACACATAATTGTTAATAATATGAAAGATTACTTAAAGAAGTTGGATGTTGTAGAGGTAACTTTGAAAGTGAATAATATATTAATTTAAGTATATACAGGGTGACTAGTGAATTACTATCGATATTAAGGGCGTGATATTTGACGATCATATATGACAAAATAAAAATTAATATAACATAAATATTAATAAACTTCTAAGTAAAGTCAACCAAAAGTTGTGTAATTAATTACGCATCGTGTGAACACCCTACAGATTAGGTATACACACACACGCGGCGGGGGCGTGGTTTTGTATCAGCACGCCGCCGCACGCGTCCACACTTGGAACGTGTCAACACTTTATTTATTTATACGGAAATTTGGTCAAAAATTAAGTACCTACTTTTTTTACATAATTCGAATGAGAATCATGTACCGAGTATGCTCCTTAAATATTGATAGTAATTCACCAGTCACCCTGTATATTGTGAAAAATCAATAATAGTTTTAAAATGTGATACAAAACGTTGTAAATAGTCGAATCAAAATATTTCGATACATGTATGTTTGTCGTTTCAATATAATTTTAGTGATGCTCGTTTGTTATCTTAATTATATTTAAATGGAGCAAATAAGTTCAGTTACAAAAAAAAAACATAGAACGTTTAATTTAATATGTATCGCTTTCCGATACATTTCTAGGTCAAGATAAGTCGTCATGCAGAGTCAAATGCGCTTGCCAAGCGAGCTCATACAGTAGTATATATGTATATACTGTACACTGTACAGTCTACCACAGACATTGACCGCAGCACGTGCTCAACATTTTTGGTACATCAAATTTTCCAAGTAGGTACTATAAAAGTCAACTAATGAGAATTAAAATCATTAATATATCATTTTTCAATAGATTATTATTGGTTATTGATATATGCAGAATTAGGAAATCCGCAATAATATTGTATGTGTATTATGTATACCTACATCAACAAGAAATATTGACTTAAATTACCTGAATCTATACCTCTCTTATTCTCTCTTTGTGTTTTGGTTTCAAATTATATTTTATTTACGCCAACTTTCGATTTCTTTAAAACTAACATCTTTGCAGTCGAACATTCAAATATAAATATTATAATGTATGAAACTTCAATAACTGGATTACTGTTTTCGTGTTTTCCGTGAAAATACTATAAATCATCACAAAATTAAACAATTAATCAAAATTCTTGAGTGTGTTATTTATAGGTGGAATAATATAATTTAAATGGAGGAGAAATTAAAATAAAAAGAAATCATTTAGCTGTGTTTATTTATGTCGACCTAATTTATGGATCATAGTTTTAATGGTCGCAGAGACAAGAGCATCTGTCAAATGTCACAAGTATTCAGTGCTTACTAAACATTCCATTACGCAATATTTAAATTTAATACTTCAATTCTATTTTTAGCTTGTAGGTTCTTAAATAATTATGGAAAATACACATATAAGTTAATTAAAAATGCAACTATTATTTTAACAAAAGAATATATCTCAAACGAAAGATATGTATTTATTTATAAAAATCGGAATTCTTATTTGAATTTGGAACACCATCTTTGACAAGCTAACCGACATCACATCTAACATTAATACCAGTCGAAAATAAATAAAATACCATTTATATGTTTTTATACAAGTGACAGAATGCATATTTTCTTTCAGACGGGCTTAAAAATAAAAGATTTCTTCAAATGTTTACATAACACATTTCTGGATAGTGAGAAGGGACATGTCTGCATAAAATTTATAATTTGTTTTACTAGAAACTATTTGTGAAATAAATGTAGCAGAAATAAAGTTAATATAAAAACATAACATTGTTTTTGTTTTATATATGTACAATCATAGAGCCAAAGAGGATTTTTCAGTAATAAAATGCCTAAAATTGACCCATAATATCCCTAAATATTTTTGCCTGAGGCTCTTAAGTTTTAACCATCAATATATTATTCGTTGCATACAACATCACGAATACTAAAAAACCTTCAGACTTCGTAAAAAACAAGGCGGTTTAATGTTAAAATAACTTACTTCCTTATTGTGTTCGAACTCGTTGCCAAGTATGTTTTGTAGAAAATCTAGGAAACAAAACAAAAACACGCTTCCCACGTGCTAAAACAATGCCTCGGAAAGTTATGCGAATGTGTGGAGAAAAGTCAAGCGAGTCCATACGCATCAAGTGAGCCATTCAAGTCATGTAGGTGTGAGAGGGACGGAGCTATGTAGTTCTCTCTGACCTCTCGCTCTTTAGAACGCAGATTCGCGTCAGGCACGATTCGAGCGTGAAACATTCGAAAAAAATTCTCGTGGAGAAATTTTCTCGAACGCTTTTTTTTACTATGCAAATGACTTATAAGCGTTTTATATCAATATATAAAATATTTAAGGAGGAAAAAACTTCTATTCTCGAAATGTTTTGATCGTATTTACTATATGCATTTAATTAGACATACATTAAACAATAAGTAAAAATAAGTAAGAAACAATTGAGAGTCTATTACACCATCATAATTCATAAGTAAGAGAAATAAATATTATACTTATTGTATGTTTTTAAAAATAAACATTTTTATGGGCTTGTTTTTACTAACTTCATGTTTATTTTTCTCAGGACTTCACACATAAACAGTTGATTATTTTAGAACTCGTTTTCGAACTCTAATAGTAGTAGTCTAATAACATTAACATTATGTGTTGAAGATTATTGTTATCGAATGTGACAGTTACTTATTTCTTGAAATATTTAACCAAAACAGATTTGTAGAATTAATTATTTTTTTCTCCCCTTTGTTCTATATATTTGTCTATCATGAAGCATCCAATATCTTATTTAAATCCATTCAGCGATTTCTGAAAAATACTCTTGTAAGCCAAGTATAAAGATTATTAAAGAGATATGGTATAGACGAACATTAAAAACAAAAACTAGCTTTGTGTATTGGTATCATATACAAATGTTATCACATTCATTTCAGGAGCACGAAAAGACACTTAATCTAATTTATATTTGTTTAATATATTTAAGATGGCTATCCTAAGGAAGCCCTCGTCTGAAATATTGGGGTACATCCCGGGAAAGATAAATGTTAATTTGGAAGCAAGTGAATAAAGACAACCGAATTCCGTCAAAACGTGTCTGACGTTTGGGCTTCAAGCTTTGACAGCGCGCTGCGCGGCGTGCACCAGCTCCGATGATAGCGGGAATAGTTGGCAAGTCGCTGGTCGGGCAACATCGGAACCGTTCGGCTAAACTCGGCCGTGATTACGTGAGCCTCGGGAGAGAACGAGAGCTCGTCTCCCTTCCGCCGCACATCCGTCGTTCTCTGTCGAGCTATCGTCGGATCGTCTCTACTGTCTACGGGACTTCAGTTTTCAGCGAGCTATCCGTGTGTGTGGTTGTCGCGTGCGCTAAAACTGTATTGTTCAGACTTTTAATTCGTAAGTTCTTTGTGAGCACTGAAGACTCTTGGATTTTATATAAAAACTGGATGATACGCTTGTTCGGAAGGTGGGAGCGTGTTGTGCGGGTGTTATGTTGTTTGTGAGAGTGCTAGTGACTTGCGCGACGTTGTCGTACTGAACGAGTCGTCGTGGATCCTATGGTCTTCGAGGTAAATACAGAAACTTCTACTTGTTTGTAATATCGTTTCTCAGTAGTTACGAAACTGTGACTTGTGAAGTGCATAAATATATTGCTAAATAAATTTCAAGATATCTTTTAAGGTCTCTCTCGTTTACGAGCGATATTTTTACCGTTATGTGACGTGTCTTATTGAAAGAACAAATATAAGTTGATCCGTAGATTATGTCACCTTATTTGAGCAGCAGTTCGGTGGATTTTGATAATAGAGTAAGGAAATAAGAGTTTAACATAATTCAATGTCATTACCTATCTATGGAGGTTGACGTATACGGAAGTGAAGCTACTTCACGGTGCTTCCCTGTTGGAATTTTAAAGATAGCCGTCTTGAAACATCAAATGTTCGCGAAAATAATGTTATGAATTTTCATTGAAATATACATTACAATCGAATGTCTACGTTAAAAGATAATTTCTAATCTCATGCATGTATCTATAAAGCATACGATAAAATTGATTAGCTTATACATATATGAAGGAATACAAAGAGCCATCAAATTAGGGATTCCATTAAGATTGCAGTGTTAAACTGCTTTCGAGTGTATACGGGCGTGGCAAGCAGCCAAGTATTTCCAAGGTCCGCGAGGACGGGTTTTTAAAACCACCACGACTTACCAATTGACAGATTACAAAATCGAAAACCAACTACTCAGAGCTAGACTAACCTGGACACTACACTGGACATCCAACTGTTAAATATTTATACTGTTTGTTTGTCATACTATTAAGAGAACGTGTTTATATTACAAATATTTCTTCATCGTAGCGAGCTGCATTTAATTTTAATCCTATCCGACTCAAAATATTAAAATACTATAAATAAAATAAATCGAAACTATTTATTATTAGTATCTCAAATGACAGCTCATGTAGAATTTATAATGAATTTCGTGTAATTTCGCTATAATATCCACTCATTCGACGTCCGTGGCCGCCCGATGAATATAATAAATCAATATGACGTCAGATAAACATTTTCCATATAAAAACGGTTCAGTAACATCGTATCATCAATTAGTATAGCTCAGCTTTCTCAACATTTCGTCTATATTTAGCGGTGTAGGAGCGCGGGCGTCGTATAAGTAGGTCGCGGAGCGCGCTCGGGCGCGACGCGCTGTACTACCTGCGGCCGCGTCTTCACTGACACACGCACGAAGGACAAATACGTCGTTAGTTAACATATCTTTAGCTTCTATGCTAGATAAACGAATTTGTGATTATTTTCTTTGTTATTTTATTATTTTTTCGTGTTATAAGACAGTTGTTATGTGGCCATTTTGAAACTATGTATGTATTTTTTAACATTTATTTCCATCTGCAATACGAATGGCAATGCGTTCATATTTCAGAACGTTCTTAACAATAAACAAAAAAAAAACTTGACTTATAGTAATAATTGTTGTCATTATGGAAGTCGACTTAAAAATAACATTAAAATTTACGATTTGAAAATCATTCGTAAGACTTTCGCTTTAACACGTGAGTATAAGTAATAACGTGTTAATCAAAAGTGAAGAGTTATTGGTGAGTACTAAGCAATGATCAGTAAGTCGGCAGTCAGTTTAGTGCAGTCGATCGAATGGCATCATTGATAATATCCCCCGCTATACAGCGATGTCGTCAGCTGATATCCGAGGTTAACGACCTCGACTTTGTCTCATGTCCGCGCACTTATCTTGCATGTAGTACGTAACACGGGGTCGGGGGGTTATCGGGAATATTATAAATCGGATTCGAGTCTCAGATAACACGCTAACGGTTAAACTAGGACGTTTATTTGTAACAATACATTAATCGATCGTACTAAACAATATTCGATTATTAATACAATCGATTAGATTAGAATTGTATATGTTGGTTAGAAATTAATTTTATACCAATAGTTATTTGATGCCTTTGATAATAACTAGTTTATTGAACGTTTAACGATACTTACATCGTGATAAGGTCTCTCATTTCGATCGTTGCCAAGCGGTTTCGTCAAGGTTATCAAAAAAAACAGCTATTGTTTTTAAACAACTTGATTGAAATATACATACTTTTTAAATAAATAAATGAAATATATACATAGTTATTTTAATTTAAAATGTTATAAAAGTTCGGTATCGAATATTGTATTGGTATTTGGTAGACTAAAGAATTACTGAACTATTTACATGTCAGCGTTGGAATTGAGTTCGGCCAAAGCACATTATTAACATTGTACACATAATGAGTAACGAATATACATCTGTTACATAGTTTTAGTATTAAAATATATAAATGAAGCAACAATTTAAATAATATTTGAGACAATGGTCCATCGTCGAACAATTGTTAACGTAATATATTTCGTATGATGACGTCATCTCCAATTCGCCTCAAGGTTATAGCTGGGCGTCAGGTAATTGACCAAGATTACTCCCTGCCATTATGAATCATATTTCAATACTGACACCAGTCTGCTTTACGATCAATATCGAACCCACTAATCTGGCTATCCGTGGAGCTCGCTTACATATTTACATATTCTGTAACATATACATATACCTCGAGTTATATACCTAATCTGTAGGGTGTTCACACGATGCGTAATTAATTACATAACTTTTGGTTAACTTTACTTAGAAGTTTATTAATATTTATGTTATATTAATTTTTATTTTGTCATATATGATCGTTAAATATCACGTCCTCAAGTATCGATAGTAATTCACCAGTCACCCTGTATATAGCATGAAACAAACTAAGCACTCGTATGAAATTATCAAAATAAACTGAGACCTTAACTAATATAATTACATAAATTTATTATTCATACGAAATGAGTAACAGAAGTTTATGTCAACAAATAAAATATAATCTGTTCAGCAATTAAATAACAAATACGTAGTAATAGTTCGCTATAATATAAAACTTGTAGTATAAGCGTTTTTTATTCATAAATCATAAATAAATGTACTATTATATATAAAAACCGATTATATATCAGTTTTAAGGAACGATGAAAATTTATACAGACTAAGAATACATCGACTGTATACAATTAAGTAACGTCCTTTCATTTACAAAGTTACCTTGAAACTCTGGAAGCCTTGTTTTATTCCTTTGACGTTTTAATGACAAGGAAATTGTATTACGTGCGAACTGAGTAGGGAATGGTTGAGGGTTCGATGTGGGCTTTTAATGGTTCAACAATATAAGAACAAAATATGCATAATAAACTTCTGCTGTACTTAAAAATTCTCAGTATGTGTTATACGAATACTATTTTAAAGCATGTTTGTATATATATTTAAATTGGTTTCCAGTTACCCAACAATATCATATAAAAAATATATATCAGGTGATTTGTTTTAAGAATGGGTAGTAAATGTTTCGTTTTTTTATTTCGTTACTAGCAAAACTTTCATATGGTTTTAATATAAAGCTTGGTTTGAAACTTTAAATTATGTTAGTTTATATTTAAATTATTCATTTAATTAACATTTAACATGAAATTTTAATCTTAAATTATAACTAGTCTTAACTATTCAAAGTTTATTACATATTAATCCTTTTTAGAAAATTACTCCCAACATCAGAATCTATAAAAACCGTAAAGTAGGAATGATTTAAATATTCCAATAAGATTTACATAATCTGATAGCATAAGTTAGATTAAGCGTCCTCTTATATTATATACTTGTTATATAATTACGAAGTAAATAAATTACGCAGACCTCTGCCTCTTTATGATTTATCCTTAAGGTAAATAGAAGGTGTTTAGATTAAAATTATTATATTTAATAAACCTAGTCTATATAACGATTTTTGTTATCAAGTCGGACTTTTTCCGTTATGTGTAATAACAGATCTGTTAATCATAACTAGATTATCCACTCACGTCTTTTGGAAATAATTTATCGATGATAGATTCTTATCTCATTACGGCTGATTTTTCCACAAGATAAAATAATTGTAAACACAATATTCTCATAAATTAAATTTTTTTCTTGATAATTTAAAATTAATTTTTAGTTACGGTAATCAACCTCTGGCATCAGTGAGTTTTGCGATCGGAAATCGTCTACTAGCACTTTCACCGGCCGCCATCTTGTCGACGCGTGTCATGAGCGCGCGCACCTCATTGAGGAATTGGCACGATTATTGTTACTTTGTACTAAAAATTACGTCAAGTTTCTCAAACAATGTTCGCGTTGGCAACAAATAAAAAAAAACTATCGTTTTAGATATAGATAGAGTTTTGTAACTATCTACGTATATACGTATTGCTTGAGAGATATAAGTTATAATAGAATTATGGCGATAAATGACATTTTAGGTATTTCAAATAAGTGTAGGAGTGTATTATCCACAGGTGCGCGGTCGCAAGTGTGATTTGACGTTCGTGCGCCACTGACATCGTTAAATGTTTGTGTAGCCTAAAAACTTATATTCTTATCAATTCACACCATATTAAATGTATTTCATTTAAATCTTCTATATTTCGTTATATTCAATACTTAAAGTTTTTTTTTTATAGTAAATATTCCTATTTAAGATTTTAATATTATCAATGTCACGAGTGAAAAGTGACTTTGTTTAAATTTGTTTTACTTATAATGAAATATAAATTCAACGATATGTATTTTAAACGATCGCTTCAAACGAATCTCAATTTTTTTTAAATTTTATTTTGCAATATTCATTAACAGAAAAAAATCACGCCAACCATAGATAATCATTATATCGAAAGTCGTAGAAAGTATGAGAATTAAATGAACTTCAGCTGAATATAATTGTTTTATTTAGTTTCGAACAGTTTTTGTGTTTGTTTATTTTTTTTTAATGTGTAACATGTGCTGTTATGTTGTCATCAGTGCACTCGACGGCTCTGCTCTCTAGTCGAGTGTTGAGTGTTAAACACATGCTGGGATAGTTAAAGTTTAAGATTACGATTGATTAGAGCATTATATTAGACTCCAATACATAATATACAAGTAAATATATTTATATATGTTATTCTATTCATATCTTGAGTCTAAATGAATGAACGGTGTCGCTTCAAGAGATGGGCAATGAACTTGACCCCGAAAATTTTGGGCGGTGAGGTGGAAATTGCTTCTCCCGTCTGCGTTCGGGACCTCCTAATCAATTCTGTCTGAAGTTACATAGATTTTTTTTTATGCATCTTCTAATGGAAACGTAACCATGGAGTTTTTTTAGTATGTAAACATCCGGTACCACCGTCATTACAAAGCTAACGTTATTAAGCACCTAAATACACCCATTGTGGTGTTTCCTCATCACCGCCGTTGAAAGCTTAATCGAGTTCAGTCGTCGGGCGACTTTAGCAAAAACGTCTCCGCTATACCGAATTTGATTCGCAGTGCGGGAGTACAATGAAGTTACGGTTAGCGCGGGTGTCGGCGCGCGGGGGGGCGAGGGGGCGCAGGTCAATGACGTCCCTCCGTCTGGGCCCGCACCCCCTCACCCCCGGCCCGCTCTGAACCAGTTTCCGACCGACTCATATAGCTTACCACCATCTAGTTTACAGTACATACAGTACTCTACCTGCCAAACATTCCATCTTATATAAATTCCCAACGGCGTGAGGTCCTATTTCCATAGCCCTATCTGGTATATGATACTCCTAGAACTCCCACGAAGTGTGATCTCACGATACTGTACCAAACACACGTCCAGATGATATCGAGGAATGGACATGTTCGTGTCGCAACGTTTTCTTTCGCAAGATGTTTCGTAATTCTATTGAGCCGAAAATAGTCGAAAGTTAATCTCCAATTATATTTGGCATGGCCGATGGCCGTCAACTAGAATGTTTTTTTGTTAATTTATACATAAAATGAAGTGAAGGAATTGACGGAGTATTATTTATAATTTAAATTAATCAATTTGTTCGTTTCCTTATAATATATCGTGTGACTTATTTATACATATATTAAACTATAGTTAATCATTGTAAAAAAAAAGAATGTATTCATTAATAATACGTCTTAAAATTAATTACAATAGATCCATTCAAATAAGAAAGTAGGATAGAAGACAATGACTGTCGAATTTATTACAGCGTCGGCGGGCGACCTACTCATACAAATATAAATATACAAATGAATCAGTTACAAGAAAACCAATTAACTTAATACAAATTCCTCATTTAATAAGAAAAAAATGTGATTATTTTCTGTTAATTTCATATCTTAATAATAAATCCTCTTCACTTGATTCTTGGTCTCAATAGATGAAGCCAGAGTGCTAGCGGGAGGTAATTTAATACGTCTATCTAACCTTTAATATTACGTACGTTGTATTGCAATCATGTCTATTTTTAAATATTACATTGAAAATCATAAAACTATACAGGGTGACTGGTGAATTACTATCGATACTTGAGGACGTGATATTTGACGATCGTATATGACAAAATAAAAATTAATATAACATAAATATTAATAAACTTCTAAGTAAAGTTAACCAAAAGTTATGTAATTAATTACGCATCATGTGAACACCCTACAGATTAGGTATACACACACACACACTAAATTTCAAGATTAATATTGGTAGGAAAATCGCGTATATAATAGGAATAGACGAGAGGTGATCATTATATGTAAATATAATAATTATTTAGGTTGAACATGATTGTACACAAATTTATGTTACGGGAACAGTCATACATAATTACTTAAAGTAGGTATACAAGGAAACATACGACGAATCCGTGTTAAGACTTAAAGAGGTGCATTTGTTTTAAAAATTACAGTAAGTATTTAATGAACCCGGAAAAACTTGTTTGTATACTCCCCCTAACGGCTAACAACGGTAACTTGTGTGACGATCCACTGAACTAATGAGATGCACTCAAGATGCAGACCATTGAACAACATGAAAAAACTATTGTACTAGCTATACTTCCTACTTCCTTCACATATAATATGTATCCCTACTAATATAAACTAAAGTAACTCTATCTGTCTGTTTGTTACGATTTCACGCGTAAACCACTGAACTGATTTTAATGAAATTTGGTACAGATATAGAGTTGATCTTGAGAAAGAACATAGGATAGTTTTTATTCCAGACTTTTGAAAGGTTTTCTTGGAAACGCGATATAACCGAACCCCGGGCGAAGCTAGTTTAATATAATTCTTTCGGTACTTCGAGTCGAGTGATTCGAATCCTACGCGGATGTGTTCTTGGTTCAACAGTTCTCCTTGATAGTATGTTAACCTCCATCGACCTTCTCATGAACCGCCGATGTCGCCATATTTAAATAAAACATATATTACATCTATTAATATATACTATTTTAATATTAATTATTATCAATCCTAATATGTATTTGTCATTTAATAAAAACCAAATAAATCTATGTCATTTCTTAATTATTACAAATAATAATTAATTACAAGTTAATTTTTTCTACGACCACAATTTAAGTAAATTGAATACTATTGACTATCGAGTAACAAATCATTACTAAACTGTAAACATATCAATAAAATATAATTAAATGTTTTCTTTATATTACAATAAATTAGTTACAATACAGATCGTAAATGTCCGAGTTGAATCTTTTAATACTACGGCCTTGTGTTCACTGTATGTACATACTTTACGCGTTAATGTAGAAACGGTCATAATTTAAAGGGTCGATGACTTGGTAATAATCTTTTACGAATTGGTCATTACGATAAATCGATTAATCGATACAAACACATCACTATGACATAATTAAATATCGATGTTTTTATGTACACTATGTATATATGATTAGATCTGTTTAAAGTACTTGTATTCCTGCACTGGAAAATTGCTATATTCATATCTCTCTATACTTCAAAGATGTTAACGTTAAATTGCTTTTAAATAAAGAGTAGGTAGTTCTTTTGTAATCCACGATTGTTAATATGACAAGTAGACTGAAACAATGACATAGGAAGTCTTTTTTCCGCTGTTTTAAATTTTAAATATGTATGTATGTACAAGTATATTTAGTTTTAAACTAAATAATTTAATTTTATTATATATTTAATTTTATTTTTGATCATAAACTACATACTCCCGACGTTTAGGGATAAAAAATCGCGTAGTAAATCCGAAAATATTAGTTTCATTTCAACTAAATAAGTTGTTAGAATGCAACTAGACTTAGATTTATTGAGTTAATTATCATTATTGAGGAAATATATGTATGTAAAAAGTCACGGGTATTTTTTCATATATATAATATTTTTCATATAATTAAGAAACATCTAGACTTACGAGATTGTCTCAATACCTTAAAAGCGTTCATGATTGACCTTCGTTTATTTTCAAGAAAGACGTGTTTTTGCAAAAACTGGACTTTAAAGTCGCCAACATTAAAGGTCAAGGGAATTAAATAAACTCTAAAATATTTAAACGACAATCAAATCAGATACATGTATGATGAAAGGTGAACGAACGATACAGATACCACAACAATATATATATCAGATAATAATTTGTTCTTATAAAGAATTCTATATATACCCATAATAATAACAAGTTTTATAATCACAAAGAAAAAATATATGAATAAAGGATATAAATAAAACGTCTAGACAATTCAGATTGGACCAATAATACAATAAAAACAGATTCTAAATTCAAATTGCTGTTTTTCATTACGATTGGCCATTGTTTTTTTTAAACGTAATTTTAAATTTGGAATTCCATCAATCATTTAACAAGGAGTCTTTAATGAAAATATACTTCTACTTCAAATATTGTCACATAATACGGTGTTTTTTGTCTAGTTGTGTAAAGTTAAATAAGGAAATAGCTATAATATTATTAAATATTTCGTTCGCTAGTGGTCGTGTTAGTTACTCGCGCAACCTTGCGTCGGCTCAGGTCAGATATTTCGAAGGTCGTTGACTCGTTTGTAATCGCTACGAGTTATTATTATTTTTAAGCTCACTCACGACACTATGGAACGTATTTAAATTCACATTTACTATTTTAATTTGATATATCTAGCTAAAAATCTATTATTTCACATCTAAGGAGGTTTTATAGTATTTGAAAATAACTTCAAATATGTTTTATATTTTGAAGACATTTCAACCGTTTTGTCTTTATATTTTTTTATTATATTATTATAAACTGTGTTAATCGTTAATAATAAAATACAATGGATGTATAAACGCGGCGTGTCATTACGAAGACATTGTCCGTTGTTTGCGCAACATCTGTGGCAATCCAATCCCGCCAACGATGTACATAATAGTCATGTGAATTTACTAAATGTGCAAGCTGAAATGATAATTACGCTTACGGTATAAAGATCATTTTCGTTTAATATAATTATGTATTTTAGTATAATTTCACAGATAACATATAACATAGAATTAGTTATTTTTATACATTGTATAAAAGTAAAAAAGTGAAGCGTGAACTGTGAACCGATGGCATTATGTAACTTATTTATCACAATGCTCGCTAACAAAGGACAAATAATTTAATAGAAAAAAAAGTTTCTCTAAGGAATCCCTACTTCACCTACCTGCGACGCATAACGAGTAGAGATAGGACATTTTGGACAGGTTTTTTTCCCCATCCCAGTCAATAGAACATTATTTATAGAGGTATAACTAAAGATTCACGCGAACACGTGGAAACACAAAAAAAATATATCCATCGATACGAAAAGACATTTTTATTACCTTTCCGTTTAAAGAAAATGTTTATTTTAACCGATACCATCCCGAACTAAGCTATGATATTTACACTGTGGTCCCGATAATTATTCTTACTATTATTTATACACTGTGACTCGTATCTATTGAAGTAGTAACGTAAGTTATGTAGGCAACAATAATTATTATAATTACGTAATATTAATGAATTTATTTGTTTATTATGCAATTCTTTTTGATTGTTATGTGTATTGCGAATGTCAGTACAGTAAGTATTGGCCGAGTGACCTTATTGCGGTGTCCGTGAGACACAAGGTCGCGTGTTCATACTCTATTTGGTCTAAAATCATAAAATTTAAAACAATTCAAACTCCTAAACCGGTAAGGATAAAGGAATCGAGTTATTACACGTTTCGAGAAAGTTCCAAAATGCAGTGACAAAAAAACTATCGTATTTCTTATATTTGTGTTGTTTAATAACTGATAATATATATGTATTCTATTAAATCATAAATATTTAAGTGAGCCACGATAATCATAGAATATGCATAATAATAATAAATTATTAATTAAAATCTTGACAGATTTATTTAAATGTATCTATAACGTACAGATAGATGTTTATATTTTATTATTATTAATTATACGTTAGCAATCCAAGTTACGACGTAACGGAACCGAATACCGAAATGAATCATTTAACAAACGCTCGTAACGAAGTTATAAAAATGTTGAACATTCTGTAAACACAAATTAAAATGACATTATAATTCGGATTTTATATTGAAATTAATTCGCTGTTTCTAAGACATAAATAACTAAAGAATTATTTTAGAATCGAATCACATATCATATACAGAAAGAAATCTGTTTTTGTTATTTTTAATAACGTTATCTTTCCATAATTCTGCTTATTAAATAATTAATCCAATTAGTAAACTGAAAGAAATGCAATTTATTACTTGTACGCTTCAATTTATCTATAGAGATTTAATGAAGGAAAATGACTTCCTTAGCAAATATATATATATAGCCCTCCTTAAAGTTCTATATATATAAATATGAGTAATATTACTTTGAAATATTCAATGCGTGTACCAAAATTATTATTATTAAATTTCGTGTTTTATTATTATCTTCCTTTGTCTCATAATATTAGAATACTTTATATATATTAAATATTTTACTAAACTTTATTTTCGTATATGTATGTTATATTTAAATTCGTTTTAATATAAAGGGCTATATTTACAATCGGTTTGTATAGAGGGCATTCCCATTATCCCCTCCTTCAATAGTACGTTGACTTGTTATCGCTGTATTTTATTGGGTTTCGTGCGAATAAACTTGTACATAGATTAAAAATATTTTTACTTTTTTTTAATAAAATCATTTAATAGGAACTCATTTCAATAACCTCCTTATATTATTTGTTGTTGTTGATATAATTAGTTATTTTTAAATCTTAATGTGTGTTATATGATATTAATACCGTAGTTAGTTGTCATTGTCAGCTAATTAAGCTTTCATAAGCTGGTACACTAATTAACGTAAGCGATAATAGTTTTGAATTTTAATATTGTTATATGGGATTACCCGATAATTTAGCGTATGTTATAATTAAGAATAAGTATCAAAAGTATGTCTTTACATAATATGTTAGGTTGCTAGGTAAATAATTGAACTTTATAATGACCTGGTTAAAAAGGGGGTAACGGTAGCCTCCGGAGTATGCACCACGGACCGGCTGGAAAGTAATGGCTTGGTCACTTTCTCTAGAACAGGTCTCAGTGTTCGCGCGACGCTCGAAGCTTTACGTTGCCCACGTGATATTTGTGTTGCAATGTTAATGAAATTGCGAATTTAAAGAAAAAAAAATACGTTTAAGACAGTATTTCTATAGTATACTCTATACATTTTGTCGTTATAACCTTGTGAATTAAAGTTTTGTAATGCGTATGTCGTACTGGATACTATAGGTGAGTTTATATATATTATTTTAAGTCAATAATACTAATTAACGGTATTAATCATAGTTTATTTGAATGTGGAATCCGATGAAACGTGATAGCTGTCAGTGAATTCGCATGCGACCATTAAAAATAAAGAATCGCCAAGACGATGACTCGGCCGGCGAGCAAAAAAAAACCTGTACAGTTGAGTGCGAGAGGGAAAGAGGTAGAGAACCCAACAAGTACGTTACCCCCGCGAAGATTACCAACTTATTTATTTTTATTTATCTCTCCGTATACCGCTACGCGTTCGAATGTGACTTACAGTGTCGTTCCAAATTTGAATATTTTAAAAAAGAGGTTTCTCTCATTTGAAAATATAACAATTCATTCACACTGGCACTTTATTTTTATTTTTTTTTTAATAAATTGCTTTGGCGCGCTTTTTAATTATAATTTATTTTTTCTTCGATCATATAGTAACAGTATATAAAGCGTATGGTAGGTAATAATTTAAGAATAGTTTTACATTTTAATGCAATACAGGCTGTAATACGTATTTTATTTACACAAATACTTTTAATAATTGATACTTTCGTTTCCATATCGCACCTGTTTGTGAAATTCCTGTAATAGTTTTTAAATGGTTTCATAGTAGAATTACATATATTTAATTATGTTATTTATAATATAATAATTATCCCTACTAATATTATAAATGCGAAAGTAACTCTGTCTGTCTGTCTGTCTGTCTGTCTGTCTGTCTGTCTGCTACGCTTTCACGCCTAAACCACTGAACTGATTTTAATGAAATTCGGTACAGAGATAGAGTTGACCTTGAGAAAGAACATAGGATAGTTTTTATCCCAGACTTTTGAAAGGTTCTCTTGGAAACGCGATATAACCGAACTCCACGCGGCGAAGCTGCGGGCGGAAAGCTAGTCAACAATATATTTCATTGTCATTATGATTATGTAATTATACGTTCTATATTATTAATGACTATTCTTTAATACAGGAAGTTCTTTTTTATCATTAATTAATTATTTATATACTATTTATTTTAATTAACTGACAAATTTATTCTTTGTAACTATGAATGTCTGTATATACATGTATTTATTCTCTTTGGGAACGTCAATGTTATTAATGATGTAGGGTTCTATGATAATTTGTTGTCTGTGTATTGGCAAGGTTTCGTGTTGTTTCAGACGAACTCACTGCTAGCGAGTAATTTGACTGACATTGTTATTTCGCCAGTATAAGATGACCTTTATGGTCGAGCGCGCGGCCATGAGAACTCCTGAAGGTTGATTTTACACGTTCAGAACAATCGCAGATATTCCGTGGATTAACTAGCTGGTTCATTATAATTATAAAGTTATTCAAATCAAGTTAAATGTGCGCGTAAATTACCGCGTTCTTATATTATAATCTCCGTCAGTGGATACTAGAGACGCGGCTGTAGGCGTCAAACAAATCAGCCTCGAGACTCTACTGGAGTCGCGTTTGTGTGTGTCGTGGCAACAGGTCGTCCGACCGGTCGGCCAACCAGTCGACCAACCAGTCGAGCAGACAGTCTCCCTCCCTCGATCTCCGTCCTCACTCCTCCACCCCTCCCCTCCCTCGATTTCCCCGTCGGCCAGCCACTAGCCAGTCAGCGTTCGCTCAACCTAACGATAGCACGTCCGGTATCAACAACGATATTATTTACGTCTCCGTTTTTGTGTTCACTTTTATCCATTTCGTTTGAAGTGAGTCTCCGTATAATATGATATATCTGTTATATTTTCTATTTTTGTTGTTTATGATGCATGTATGTATTGTGTACTCATTGCTTTGTCTTGTTACAGGTACCTCGGAGCAGGGTGTGAGCCCAGATACGTTCTCTGTGTGTGTTTTATATAACCATAATTTAAACTGTTACTAGTTAGTGTACATATAAAAACTGTTCTGTGAGTGTTGTAGATATTTCATTCTTGCGTTGTAGTGAATTCGTCCGTGAAGTGAGGAATCTTACTCTATTCTATTGTGTAGCAAATAAGTGTTCTGTGTAGTTTGTTAATGGATTGTTAATCACTCGGATTCCGATCGTCTCGATGGCAATTGTAAGTAAATAATATGTTTAGTATACACAGCCCTTACATTTTAGTTATCTAGACGGGCGTCCTTCTAATTGAGGTTATCAATTCGACACATTACAGTTTTAACGACTGCGGTGGTACGTATTAAAAACGTGTTCGGTATTTGAATTAAATTCAAATTAACTTGATGGCATTCGTTTGTGAAAAATGTTTGGAGTTTACATAATATTGATTCTTTAAACAACTAATGAAGATAGCATCTAAAATCGATGGATTCTGTTGCTTATAGAGTTTCATTTTATTGATATTATCTGGAATTTATTTTTTTAAAGATCGATTTCATATACAAATCATTGTCAATATAGTTTTTATGTGATAATAAAATGAATATTTTAATACATAAATACTTTTAACTTACAACCATCTAGTGAAATCGGTCGCCAATGATCTCGAATTATTATTGCAGGCGACGAAATATAAAAATGATTTTATCATACATAAATTGATTAATGTCAATGTATTCCGTCCTTTGTTCTCAAATAAAGATGAGATTCGTTTAAAATCTGTTGATAGAGCAATAAATATCAATATTGTGAAAGCGTCCGTACAATTTAGGCGAGTTTTATCTCAATTATGTTGTGTCAGGCGTTCAACAAATCTCAAGGCGATTGATCGACCTTCATATACACACGGATCACGGCTCAAGGCTGTGCTAATGATAACTCTTATCCACGCCAACTGAGGAACATCCTAGTTTCACTACTTTAATCGAACAGAACTCGTCAACAATTATTATTAGGCTCAGTATAGGCTTAAGATTATATTAATAACATATAGAGCCAATATGGCCGTTCTATGGCGGAATAAATATAGAAGTATATGTAGTTTCATGATGTATGTTTTCAAATACGAAAGGTAAAATAATTACCGTTCGTTATAATCAAGGTTCTGGTGATAATATTGTTGTATGATGATGATTGCTCGTTGTTAGATCCATAGAGAGGCAACGCTATTGATGAACTAGGTCAAGGCGTTACTCTGTTTCCTACTCGCCACCGCTACAAGGAAGCCACTCGTTAACAGTACTTACAGATTGACGCTATCAAATAATTTTAATACAAACTCCTTATTGTCTATACTCTATGGTGTAGATTACATATAAAACCTCTACGGTTAGATATTGATTTATATTATCTGTAAAATTTTAGTGACATTTCGTTATATTTGTACTAAAATAATACTAAAGTTTTAGCAACAGGTTTCTAAACAGTATAAATCTGAATTATATAGCTTTAATTCATTAAACTATGTGTAGTATTGAGTGATATTCCTTACTTATAATAATCGTAATGTGTTAAGGTAAATTAGTCAGAAATTAAATTCGTAATAAAAATTTCTCGGAAGCAGCATTTTCTTGATGACTCATATTATTTTCGGTTGTTAGGATTTTTGGAATAATTTATAAATACAACGGTTATATCATATTTCGATGAAACCAGACCAGTTGAACATAAACATGTTCAGATTACAAAGATTACGAACGTGGATCGGTCGATTGATAAGTATTAGACAACTCATACTTATGTTATCTGAATTCTTAGTCTTAGTTTGCATATTAAACTATTTACGCAGCGTTTCTTGTTTCTCATATAATAACTTACGATCATATAATATTTGAAAATAACAAAACTGTGACTCTTCGTAAATAGTATGACGATGTTAACTCGGAATAAGTACACAGAATTCAATAATATTGAATTGTTTCAGTCAAATTTTCAACAAAACAATTACTATTTACTAATCAAAAACTAAGAATTGATACTAATTACTTTGAAAATACATACACGTGGTAGTTTAGTTTATTGACAGTTAATTTTAATGAAAGTAAGTCTTGCTAACAATCAGTCTCAGATACTCGACATATTTTATCTAATACAAGCAGTGGGTCACGATAAATAATATTAGGTCAAGGGTTAGATAATTCTTCACTTGTTTCGCCTGTGTTTTGACTGCATCCAAATCGGTTGAGCGAGTGTATGTTTGTAACCTACATTGATATAACTATCAAACTGATAAACGCGCTTTCTCTAACAATTATTTCGTCATCGTTTATGATAAAAGAATATCTGGTTAATAACATTTATAATAATAATGTGTTTGTATGTATGTTTGTATTTAACAAATAATAATAAATAGGAAACTGTTTTCCTTTTAATCAGTTATCTGTTCTGAATTGATAATTGTTGTGCATGTATATTTTGTCGCTTTAAACGTCTAAAGTATAAAACTTAATTTTCACGAGTAACGCCGTCGGAAAAATATATACTTCCCTTAAGCATTGACGCTTTAAATGTAATAATCTCAATTAAATCGTAATGTTTACATACATATTATATATGCGAAGGTTTTACATGATGTATGTATGTTTGTTGTTCTTTGACGCTAGTATATGTATATGTACTATATATGTATGGTAGAACTATGAAATATATACTATACAGGGTGACTGGTGAATTACTATCAATATTTAAGGAGAATACTCGGTACATGATTCTCATTTTATTAATATTTATGTTATATTAATTTTTATTTTGTCATATATGATCGTCAAATATCACGTCCTCAAATATCGATAGTAATTCACCAGTCACCCTGTAAATGTATGGTAGAACTATGAAACTAAATTCGATGAAACCTTATATTGTAGTTTAGAAATCGGAATGACACAGGTTATAAATTGTATATTTAATGTTTACGACCGCGGTATAATAGTTGTATTGTGTACGAAGTCACGTGACAGTGTATAGATGTAGCTACTTGTTGAATACTTATCTTAGTTTTATACCGTTTAGTCTGTATTTTAGTAAACAAAACAATGCTGTATACACGTGTAAGAGCTAATCATACTGGATTGTATATTTAGTGCATATAATATTGTGTTAGTTATTATGATAAGTCGATGGTATATCTGAATATATAAATAAATAAATAAAAATACCGTGTCTATTGTATGATACTATACTCTGAGCCTAGTTTAGAAGTCAGACGAAGTCGCCGACAAAAACTAGTATATTAAATTAATTATTATTTTATATCATGAGTTTATAATAAAGGAACGTGTCATATAAATATTATATATACGTTATCAGTGACGAAGATCACGTGTTGGCATATTGAAAAAAATGAATTTAATCACAAAACGTGCCTTATCAGTTGCTTTGATATATTCAGTAATAACGATGGCACGAAGACAGAACGCCCGAGATACTCTGATAAAATAACTAAATGTATTATAATATATAAATGATTATAGTCAGTGGTGGCCTAGTGGTTAGGCCCGCCTCTCATGCACGAGGGCGCGCGTTCGATCCTGGCCCTGGCAAGTACCAATGATTTTTCCGAGTCATATGTACTTTCTGAGAGTATTTAGACATCACTGTTTAATGCATTCCCAAAGAGGGTTGATGTCAGGCAGGTGGCCGGTCATAAAAACTAATAGCCAAAACTATTCACAACATGTAAGGCAGACCCTGGCTATAGCTGGGAAATTGGTAGAAGAAGAAGATTATAGATTTTTATATATATGGTTCCGTACCATCGTTATGTAGATACGAACAAACAATCATTACGTAATATATATTTATAAACATTCATTTATATAAGTTATGTAGGCCGTGAACACAATTGAATAATACATGCCGGATAGGAATACTTATGAAAGCTAACACAACCTATGGGAATCCTTATGATATAATAACTAAATGTTCGCTTCTATTGTTACTACCCTTTATATAACTCACAGTTTTGAACCAAATTAATTAATTAATTGGTTGGTTGTTTTAACTATGCCCTTCATCCGTACAAAGACGTGCATTATATTCTGACAGTGTCGTGTAGAATGGAGGAAACAGAAAAATTACTGTAATTTAATTTGTATGACGTTAAAAATCTGACACTTGTCATGTATTTACTGTCACTTTGACGTTGTCATCTTTGTTATAGCATGCGTTTAGAAATCATTATAAAAATAGCTTGTAATGCTATTATTTTTTAACACAATGTATTTTATATGTTTAGTTCATGTACAGTGTTGAGAAATTATTTAACAATTTTCAATAATTAAATTTATTATATTTTGTATTCTATAGAAATGTATCTAATAATCATCCGAGCTTAATTTCTGTGAAGAAATTGTGAATCCATGACAAATGGAAAACTGGCCGACAACATGTCGGTCCTCAAAAAAATATTCGTCTAAGTAACCTGATTTTTTTTAAATCTTCAGATTGAAAATATTTTAACCCCAATAATGTAAGTCAAAATATCTCATTATGTTTTTGTTTATTAATTGTAAATCTAAAGCCAAACATATTCATGTAATATAGTACATATTTAGTTCGACATTCTACTCATACATTGATAAATTAATAATACATAAAAACTTCGTTTGTAGGTGGACTAATATATGTATAAAAGGTATTTAATAACAAGTAGTGATTTAATTATCTTTGTAATAACTCCTATCAAACGTCAGTCTCTTATCAGTTATACGAAAGATGCTAATATTAC